GCGCAAAGGAACCGACGGGAAGCGCAGCCGGCTGGCCCGCCCGAGCGGAGCGCGCTGGCGCGGCGAGGGAAGGAGGGCGCGCAGCCTGGCCGCCCCCAGGAAAGAGGCGGCTTTCGACGGGCTTAGGGCGCAGCAGTCTCTACCTCTCCACCTCAAGGGCGCTCAGCGGGCGGAATTGGGTGCGCCACCGCCCTAGAAAGCAAATGTCTCGCCCCCTCGGTGAGGGGAAAGAGAGACGACAGGCAAATGCTCAGCGTTGCCTCATCTCTCCTTTCTCTCTGGTCGGGGACAGAGGGTGGCGCTTGGGGGGGAATTGTCATCGCGCCACTCCTTGGTGTGTGGAGTACCTCAGGGTGCGATACTCTCCCCGATGCTTTTCAACATCTTTATGCGTCCCCTCGCCCAGCTTGTCCGGAGTTTTGGGCTGGGTTGCCATCAGTATGCCGATGACACCCAACTCTATCTGTTGATGGATGGCCATCCTGACTCGGCCCCAGACACACTGACCAGATGTCTGGAAGCTGTAGCTGGATGGTTACATGGAAGCCGGTTGAAGTTAAATCCTTCGAAGACAGAGGTCCTCTGGCTGGGACGGGACGATATGGGATTGGGGGGGCAACTCCCATCTCTTGCGGGGGCGCAATTAGTGCCAGCACCGTCCGTTAAGAGTTTGGGTGTAATCTTCGACACCTCCCTTTCCATGGAGGCGCAGATTACAGCTATAACAAAGGCGGCATTTTTTCATCTCCGCCAAGCTAAGCAGTTGGCTCCTTACCTCTCTTGCCCTGACCTAGCCACTGTGATCCACGCGACGGTCACCTCCAGACTGGATTATTGTAACTCGCTCTACGTGGGGCTGCCCTTGAGACTGACCCAGAAACTCCAGCGGGTGCAGAATGCCGCGGCGAGACTCCTTATGGGATCTTTGCTGCGAGATCACACTCATCCGGTACTATACCAGCTGCACTGGCTCCCGGTGGAGTACAGGATCAGGTTTAAGGTGCTGGTTTTAACCTTTAAAGCCCTATATGGCCTAGGACCCTCGTACCTACGGGACCGCCTCTCCTGGTATGCCCCACAGAGGAACCTACAGTCTGCAAATAAAAACATCCTGAAGGTCCCAGGCCTCAGAGAGGTTAGGCTGGCCTCAACTAGAGCCAGGGCTTTCTCGGCTGCGGCTCCAATCTGGTGGAAGGCTCTGTCACAAGAGACTAGGGCCCTGCGGGACCTGACATCTTTCCGCAAGGCCTGCAAGACAGAGTTGTTCCACCAGGCCTTTGGTCAGGGCGCAGCCTGACTCCCTCCTCTGGCAACCTGCACAGAACTTTGCTTAACGGTTGCCATTAATTTGATTTTAATTAATTTTTATAATGAAATGTTTTAGAATGTTGGATTATTTGATTGTTTGATTATTTGATTGTTGTTAGCCGCCCTGAGCCCGGCTTTGGCTGGGGAGGGCGGGATATAAATAAAATTTATTATTATTATTATTATTATTATCTGCAGAATTAATACAGTACAAGAAGCATTAGGGCTGTGGTGCTTGAAGTCATAGTGAAGGAAGATGAGGACAGGTGACCTCACCTGGGCCCGAAGTCACCCCCCACCAAAGCAGGCTCAAAGCTTCGCAAAACTTTTCAAAATCATTTTCTCAGCAGCTAAGCATCAGAAACATTCCGCTCTGCTGTAACAAAGGTAGAGAACAGTCCATTGTTTCTCAGGCCTTTCTCATGTCTTCTGGCCTCGCTAAAGAACCACATTGCAACTTACTTTCTGTCCGGGAACCATGCCAGAACAAGAGATTGACACATATCTGAACATGCTGAAAACCCCTTGGCTTCTCATTCCCCCTTTCCTGGGAAGAGTCCAATAGTCCCAAGACAGCTTTCTGTACATGCTCAGGAACCTCAACATGGGGCAGGACTCCTGAGGGAGGAGAAAGGAGGAGGGAACTGGAAAGGGGTATATATGCTCTGTGCACATGACTGTGAACTTCGTGCATGCTTTTTGTGACTTATCACACTTGCTCCTTCTACCAGTTCATGGATGGTAGAAATAAAAAGCCTTTTCTCCGAAACTATTCCTTGAGTGTCTGTTGACTCCCACTTCCCTTTCCCGGGCGCAATATTTTTCCCACCCGAGGGCAGAGCCAATTCCTAGGGGCAGAGCATAGCTATCAACGTTTCCCTTTTTTAAAAAGGAAATTCCCTAATAATAATAATAGTAGTAATAATATTTATTTATTTATTTATTTATACCCCACCCATCTGGCTGAGTTTCCCCATCCACTCTGGGCGGCTCCCAATCAAGTATTAAAAACAATACAGCGTTAAATATTAAAAACTTCCCTGAACAGGGCAATAGGGATCCCCGAATAGGATTCCTCGCAAGAAAAGGGAAAAGGTGACAGCTATGCAGAGGTCCCTTCGCCCCGCCCCCAAAAATGAGGGGTCCCCAAGGTAATGGGCATTGCCCTTCAGATGATGTGTGTGCCATCTTCATCTTCTTTGGCGATCACCTCGTTCGTTGTCTTCCATGAACATGGTCTTAACAGTGAGTCCGTAAACGACTGTGGAGGCCAATTCTGGATCCACACGTCCTCCCACAGTGAGGACATAGGTTTCCGGGCAGGAGTTGATCACAGTGAGGGTTTGCCACGCGTGTCTTTGTCTTGGCATGCTTCCTCCTGAGTTTGAGCATCTTTTAAGTCCATGACACCTTTGGTCAAGGCTGTTCTCCAATTGGAGCACTCGCAGGCCAGTGTTTCCCACTTGTCGGTGTTTATACTGCATTTTTTAAGAATTGCCTTGAGAGAGTCTTTGACCCTCTTTTGTTGACCACCAGCATTACGCTTTCCATTTTGAAATTTGGAATAGAGTAGTTGCTGTAGAAGACGATAATCAGGCATCCACACAACATGACCAGTCCAACAAAGTTGATGTTGAACAATCGTTGCTTCAACACTGGTGATATTTGCTTTTTCCAGTACACTGGCATTAGTTTGTCTGTCTTCCCAAGTGATGCGTAATTTTTTTTGGAGACTGTTGCTGGAATCTTTCGAAGAGTTGGAGATGATGTTTATAAGTGGTCCATGTTTCACAAGCATACATAAGGTTCATAGTAAAATAGCTTTGTAAACAAGCATTTCAGTTTCTCTGCAAATGTCCTGGTCCTCAAACACTCTGCACTTAATTCAGTAAAAAGCTGCACTGTGAGAGCTCAGGCGATGTTGGATTTCGGGCATCAATGTTGGCCCTTGGAGAAAGATAACTGCCCAGGTAGGAGAAGATCAACGTTTTCCAGTGTTACACCACTGAGTTGGATTTGTGGCGCTGCAGAGGGGTTTTGCACTTGTTGGTACAGCACTTTGGTTTTTGGATGTTGTGCAATAGGCCAAGCTTTTCGTAAGCTTCTGCGAAGATATTTAAGATGGTTTGGAGGTCATCCTCTGTGTGCACACACACTACATTCTCATCTGCATACTGAAGCTCTGTGATAGAAGTTATGGTAACCTTACTGGGCCACCCAATATTTTATTCAGTTGGCACTCCTGGTTGGAATTGGAGTCCAAAACATATGGAGGGCACCAATTTGGGAAATAATGCACCACATGTCAAATTGTGTGACGTACTGCTCCACTCACAGCTTGGTCATGTGAAGTGCGCTACATGTCTTGCCTCACATAACAAAGACTTCCATTTTCCTACTACTGAACTGGAGAGAGATTATCTGTCACACACACACACCCCAACATGAATGCTAAAAGCTGCTGATTTATGTAGCGTCTGGAGTTCTTTTCGTAACCCCACAAAACCCCAATCAGCAGTTTCTTGAAGGAAACAGTGACAAAACACCCTATTTAAAAAGATGTAGTACCAATGCCTGTTACACAAAGTAGTTTTTCCATACCAATTAGTCAAAAGCCCTTAATAGAAAGCTTTAACAATGGGGAAACAGTGGTGAGATCTACCTGTTGGTGATTCACAATATTATACGGCAAATATATTTCAGGACTTCTAACAAATTGTTTTATCTGTCCATTTAACAATCATATAGTAAGATCAGTGGTCTGTCTGTGGATTTATGGCTGAAGACAGGAGATGGCACATTAAAATATTCATATTGTGTTTGAACTGCATTTTATTGCTTCTTTTATTACATTACAAATTGTATTCTATGGCATTCAATCCTATGCATGTTGATCTAATAATGAGGTTCACCGTATTCAACGAACCTTGCTCAGAGGAAATTGTATATACATTAGCAGCCAAAGACTGTTAACCAATTAATTTTTTTAAGTTAGTTGAACAAGTATGCCTGTGTTAAGTGTGTATGTGATTAAAATAGTTTTGAAGAGGAAGAAGCATGGAACCTGTTTTTAAGTTGGTGACTGTTCTGATTCCTACTCTTGGGACATGGTACTCTGACTCTTAGTTCCAGGAAAACTAAGTGTTTTCTTGAAGACATCAGCACACGGTCTAGGCATTAGCTCAAGGTACAGGGGACATGGAAAGCTGTCTGTGGACCAACGCCGGCTCCCTTGGCTTCAAGTCAGATGAGCGCTGCACCCATGTTGCCTTTGGCTGGACTTAACCGCCCAGGGGTCCTTTACCTTTTACCTTTACAGGGGACATGATTCATAAGCCTACAACAGAGCTCTAAGGTACATGATGAAAGAGTAACTAAGATGTTGTCCCAACACTTGACACCCCCCCTCCTGCTTAACTTTTAAAGAGGGGTGGGATCAGTCATTTGTATGGTTCTTGTTCCGGATGAGAAGATAAAAGTGTGTGCTCTATTTACACTAGTGCAAACAGCAGCGTGTCCTTAGTGACTGGGGCCAGAGTTCAACCCCCTGATTATTATTCTGCCTCTGGTAAAGCTGACCAGCTGACTCCTTGTCTACTATGGGAATTTCCCTCTCAGAGATCCTGCTATCCCTGCCCCATCCCAGCTGATGTCACAGGACAAATGACAGCGCATGTTTTAAGTGACACATTCCTGCTTGGAGAGTGGAGGAAGAAATTCCCCGTGACTTGCAACCACAGTTTTTCTGGGGACTCTTTCTTATGTTGATAAATTAACATGAGACAACTTTTTAGTTGATCAAAAGGTTTTTAATCAGCCAATCTAGCCAATTAATAAACTAAATATTGCAGCTGTACTTAAAATATCTATTCATATCAGACATTATAATGACACATCTTCCAGAACACAAAGCAAACACACAACTCCAATAGGATTACCGGTATTTGGTAAAACATAATAATGGTGTAAGAACACATCACATATGACGCTAAGGAATTCTCCCTATTAAAATGGGTTTGTCTTTCATAGACACCGACGCAGTGATAACTTCCACCCTGATAGAGAATTGGTGCTCAAATGAATGACTGTTTTTTTTAAAGAAAGAGTATTTAAAAAAGGCAGCTGGCAGAATTCCTCATAGCTAGGCAAAAGACGACAAAAATAGCAACATCATGGAGCTGAGAATCAAAGCATGAAAGGAAGGAAATCTGAGTTCACAATGCTTATTGTCTTAACATTCAGCACAAAGCAACACGCTGGTGTCTACGTTTTTTATAATACAGATTAATCCTTCCTCTGAAGAAAGTTTATAGGCAAACATACCCAGGAAGATTCCCCCCCTGAAATGTAGGCACTTTCAAATCGAATTATTCAGTAGTAACTGGAAAGGGCAAACACGCTCTGAATCGTGTTACGTTCACACCAGTGATCTTCTTCTAACGCTACTGAAAACATAATTGCTTTGGAGTTGTAGATACAAAGTCCATAGTAAAAATGGAATAGGGGAAGATGTACTAAGCAAACAGCACGTTTTGTGCTCTGTCTACTCTTGCAAGTAGGTCACAATAACATCCCCACCTTTCCTGAATCACTTAACTGCCTTCCTCTGTAATTTAACAGCACAATATTTCTAGTGTATCAAATCTGTCCTCTTAAGAAAAAAGTTTCAAATTAGTCCTCTGCATTAATTATCCCACACAACCTGCACACAGTTGTAACATAACATAATTTATGCACACTTTTATGTTCCCCTTTCTTCCTCTTTCCACATAGGGCCCACCGCCACCTCAGGAAATGTTTGTGCACCATCACAAGGTCAGCTGGGCACAAGGTAGATCATTTGGCTTCTTTTGGTCCAGCCTACATGTGGCAAGCATATTTGAACGGAGGGGAAGAGAGAGCTAACCTATCATTAACTCTGTGTGAGAAATAAATTTGGGTAGAATCTCAAGCCTTCTACAGAATCATCTCTGCAAAGTTGGCCCATCTTTTCAGCTAGAAGCAGCCTAGAAAAAGAAAAAGAAGTACTTGTGTTATTTTTAATAGATGTCTTGAGGTATTAAAAATGAAGGAAAATTTGTTGTTTATTTGCTTACCTTTCTTTAGCTAAAAGTACAGACATTCCCACGAGCTTTGCAAACTCTTCTGCTGTAAGAGATCCCTTTTCAGAGACCTAGAGGACAAAAATTATAAAATAAAAGCTTTGCATGGGTAATTCCACAGTGACCAACATACCATTTGTAAACTTATTTCCATAACATTTTGTGTTAATTTAATGTTCATTGAAGTTCAAATACTATTAGCTATTTATGTGTTGATCTTCCCTACAAAAATAACCAAGAAGTAGATATAGCTTAAATGCTTTCTTTTCATCGTGTTTCAAAAGATGTGACTGACACAATAGTTTTGCAACCTCACAAATTTATCCTTAACTTAAGACAATTATACATACACATGCACACACACTTCAATGGGTAGAGAGGTCTGTACATGGCATGTAATCTGTAATATGTAAGAGTCATGATGGTCTCTCTCTCTCTCTGCCCCCCTTTTAAAATAAGTGTAAACTCTGCATCCATGGTATGGTGACCCAGTACAACTGTGGTTCCAATTATACACTGTCCCAAAGACAGATACAGATCTCACACGTTATAAGGAACACTGTGCCTGGTTTTGCACATTTAGTATCTGCTAAATGACAAAGGGATGAAGAGTGCTGGATTTTGATTATGGAGCCCTGGATTCAAATCCTTATTTGGCTATGATGATCTCTTTGTGGCCCTGAGAAAGTCACTATCTCTCACCTTAACCCACTTCTCGGGTTTGTGGCAAGATGAAAGATAGGATAACCTCATATACAACGAGCCATAGCTCTTTACAGAAAATGTGATGGAACAATTCGTCTTCACAACTTGTGAAGCAGCGGTCATTTTTTTCGGTCCCGCCCCTCCACTCCAGTAACAGGAAGTCCTTTGAAGTAGGCATGCGTCCCTAACCTGCAGGTCAAATACCAGGCCTTTCCTGCTTAGCAAACATTTAGTTAGGATTTAAGAAACTTCGGGTAAAAACCTGTACTGGAAATCTGCTGCTGAAAGTTCATAGAATTCAGCAGAAGCCCTACGCCACTGAAGGAAGGTAAGATAGCCTGCTCCTGCGACAGATATCCCAGCAGAACTTTCTCAGTATGCTTGCAGAGCCACTCCACCAGTAAAGATACAAAAGCAATAATGGCTGCAGGGTGAGAACACATGTACCGTATCCTATATGCTTTATATGCACGGGCACACTCATTTTGACACCAGAATCACAGAACTGGCAAGGGTATCGGGAGGCCATCCTGTCCAATCCCTACTCAACGTAGAAGTTGACATGAAAGGGAGGTGCTGAGGCTTTGCAGCCTCTTGTCCCTTTTGGCAGCTATCCGGCTGGGAAAGGGAGCAGAGATGGAGTTTGGTGGGACAGGATCAACACAGTTTAGTAGGGTAGGAGAGCTGGGGTGGGGAATCACATCTGGCAAACAACGTGCCTCTTTGGTTTCATATAGTATATGGGGAGACGAGTCATGGGGACACAAATTTTCACAGCCCTCTAGCAGCTATGGTGGCTCATTAACCAGCAGTAATGTATCTAGCAGAGAAGTCACCTTGTCAACAAACGTCCGTACAGTTAAAGCTATGGTTTTCCCAGTAGTGATGTATGGAAGTGAGAGCTGGACCATAAAGAAGGCTGATCGCCGAAGAATTGATGCTTTTGAATCATGGTGCTGGAGGAGACACTCGAGAGTCCCACGGACTGCAAGATCAAACCTATCCATTCTGAAGGAAATCAGCCCTGAGTGCTCACTGGAAGGACAGATCCTGAAGCTGAGGCTCCAAGACTTTGGCCACCTCACGAGAAAAGAAGACTCCTAGGAAAAGACCCTGATGTTGGGAAAGATGGAGGGCACAAGAAGAAGGGGACGACAGAGGACAAGATGGTTGGACAGTGTTCTCGAAGCTACGAACATGAGTTTGACCAAACTGCGGGAGGCAGTGGAAGACAGGAGTGCCTGGCGTGCTATGGTCCAGGGGGTCACAAAGAGTCGGACATGACTAAACGACAACAAATGTATCTAGCATTAACTCTGGAAGTGTACGCTTGATTCTGACTAAACTAAACCTCCTGGAGCAAAATATACATCAGGAACAATGGACGAATACTGCAGAAAATTGCCCACCTTTTGCATAAAGTCAGGCAATGGGAATACAGAGACAAGAGATCTGTCTTGACTGTATCCAGCTATGCTGAGCTTGAGGCAGGTGGGTGTCTATTCTTCTGGCATGTAAAAACATGTGGGTCTCTGTGCATGTGTGCTTTACAAAAGGAAACAGGACGTAGATTTGAAGCTTGGCGACAACAGCAGAAAGCATCACTGTTTCTTTAACAGATTGCTTGAGAAAATAAAACGTTTACATACTGTCTCTAGGGCAGACGCCACCATCTCCTCTTCATTGTGGGACTGCAACTCAATCACCATAACGCCGCTGTCAAATATACGCAGCCTAAACTCGAGACAAGGAAAAATACAAACCTTAACTAGAAGCCTGTGGCCAAAGAATTGGTTGATTAGCTCAAATTGATAAGTAAAATTTAGTCTCATTTATGACTCTCCCCAGTGCTTTATGGGTCCTTCTTGTCCCTTAGCATTTCCAGGTCACAAGGAGGTAAAGAAAGAAGAATTCTCAACGGGCAGGTTTCTCCACAATCTTGCCAACTTCCTTTCTTTCAAAAGGCGCACAGTCTCAATTCTGTTTTTTCCTTTTCTTCTTCATATCTCCATCCTGCTTTTCATTGTCTTACTTCCTTTCACCATCCTGTGGCTTAAGGAGGCCTCCTAAGACTCCTTGCCCCATCTGTCCCCATAGCACAAAGAGCCGTGAGGACTTTCATTCCAGATCCCCCACACCTGAAACTAGCTCCTCCAGTCACATCAACACAATACATTTGAAGCACACTGCTCCCCCCAAAGAATGCTGGGAGCTGTAAACTGTGATCTTCAGATGAAGGGAAGTAAAGAAATTTAATAAACCACCACCACCACCACCGTAGTTTACCGCTCACATTCCTCCAATTCCCAGCACCCTTAAAAATTACAGATTCTTTGGGGGAAGTAATGTGCTTTAAATGTACAGTGTGGATGAGACCCACTCCCTTCCTCAGGATACTGTTTAAAAGATATAAGAGCAAGGTAGTAAAGAACTGATTCTCTAGCCTGGTGTGGTTTCTGCAATCCTGAGTACGCAAGGAAGCAGCGCTTTCAACTACAGTGGTACCTCGGGTTAAGTACTTAATTCGTTCCAGAGGTCCGTTCTTAACCTGAAACTGTTCTTAACCTGAAGCACCACTTTAGCTAATAGGGCCTCCTGCTGCTGCCGCTGCGCCGCTGGAGCACAATTTCTGTTCTCATCCTGAAGCAAAGTTCTTAACCCGAGGTAATATTTCTGGGTTAGCGGAGTCTGTAACCTGAAGCGTATGTAACCCGGGGTACCACTGTATTTCCTTTGAATCAGGTCCCCATTTACTGCTAAATAGGGGCTTCTTGGTAGTGGCACCTGCCCTGCGGAATGCCCTCTCATCAGATGTCAAGGAAATAAAGAACTATCTGACCTTTAGAAGACATCTGAAGGCAGCCATGTTTAGGGAAGCTTTTAATGTTTGCTGTTTCATCGTGTTTTTACTACAGTGGTACCTTGGTTTACAACCATAAATCATTCCGGAGGTCAGTTTGTAAACCAAAACAGCTTTTAATCCAAGGCGTGCTTTCACCAATGGGGCCTCAAAAAAATGTTTGTTCGTAATCCAAAAAAAATGGGTTGTAATCCAAAAAAAGGTTGCAAACCGGGACACGCACTTCCGGGTTTGACATATTTGTAATCCAAAACGTATGCAAACCAAGATATATGCAAACCAAGGTACCACTGTATTTTGCTGGGAGCCGCTCAGAGTGGTTGGGGAAACCCAGACAGATGGGCGGGGTATAAATTATTATTATTATTATCATCATCACCACCACCACCACCACCATCATCAAGTGGCAAGAAGAAAGACTTAACACCATGACCTTCAGAAATGTAGATATGCGCCCACACTACTTGACAACTACAGCTCACATACACCTGCCGGGTTTTTCAAAAAATCAGTTGGTAAGGCAAACACCAAACCTTAAATGGGCATTTGACAGAAGATAGCATAACTGCAGCCACGTGCCTGGTTGCTTCGTGCTACTTCTTGGTTCTAAAGGAGGATGGGGGAACAAGCCCCATCATACCATTTCTGGGGGATAGGAGAAGGGAAAAGATGAGTTAAAATTAAATTCTAAAGGATTCTCACCTGAGAGGTAATTTTAGTGCTTCCAACATCTTACATGCATTTACTAGATCTTCAGGCGAGAGCAGCTAAGGGGGTGAGAACTCAGTTACGTTAATCACATTGCAAGCAGGTCTTATTCTCACAGTTGCATCCTAGAACACTTTTTTTTTTTTGCACTGTGGTGTGAATACAGAAGCAGTAAAATGCACCAGTGTCAATTCAAATATGAATAGTGCTTACATGTATTAACAATCCCTACTCCTCCTTCAAACAAGAATATGTAAATCCTAAGAAATAATGAAGGAAACCACACATGTAGGAGTGGTTCATACGTTACTCATGTGGATATTTACACCTGAAAATACAGTCATAGGAATTGTCTCTGAGTCAAACTACACATTAGGAAGGGAGTATTGCAGTCTCATAGGACAAAGGCTCCTAATAATTTGAAACACACATTTATTTGGTTTCAATCTTTTGCTGGCATTCTGTAACATCACAAATACCAGTGACCTCATAGCACACACCAAGCATGGGAAACCCATGACGCTCCAAATGCTGTTAAACTACAACTCCCATTGAATCATAGAATCATAGAGTTGGAAGAGACCACAAGGGCCATCGAGTCCAACCCCCTGCCAAGCAGGGAACACCATCAGAGCACTCCTGACATATGGTTGTCAAGCCTCTGCTTAAAGACCTCCAAAGAAGGAGACTCCACCACACTCCTTGGCAGCAAATTCCACTGTCGAACAGCTCTTACTGTCAGGAAGTTCTTCCTAATGTTTAGGTGGAATCTTCTTTCTTGTAGTTTGGATCCATTGCTCCGTGTCCGCGTCTCTGGAGCAGCAGAAAACAACCTTTCTCCCTCCTCTATGTGACAACCTTTTATATATTTGAACATGGCTATCATATCACCCCTTAACCTCCTCTTCTCCAGGCTAAACATGCCCAGCTCCCTTAGCCGTTCCTCATAAGGCATCGTTTCCAGGCCTTTGACCATTTTGGTTGCCCTCCTCTGGACACGTTCCAGTTTGTCAGTGTCCTTCTTGAACTGTGGTGCCCAGAACTGGACACAGTACTCCAGGTGAGGTCTGACCAGAGCAGAATACAGTGGCACTATTACTTCCCTTGATCTAGATGCTATACTCCTATTGATGCAGCCCAGAATTGCATTGGCTTTTTAGCTGCCGCGTCACACTGTTGGCTCATGTCAAGTTTGTGGTCAACCAAGACTCCTAGATCCTTTTCACATGTACTGCTCTCAAGCCAGGTGTCACCCATCTTGTATTTGTGCCTCTCATTTTTTTTGCCCCCAAAAAATTGCTCCTAGTAAACCTGGCCAACAGATAGGGATGATGGGAATTGTAGTCCAACAGGACCTGAAGGGCCACATGTTCCTCACTACTGGCCTAAATGGTCACCAGTCTTTGGAGATCAAATCAAAGAAACCCACACACATACTTTGCTAAGGAAAGTAAAGTTTTACTGCAGTGATGGCAGAACAAACCGAATGCTATTTAGCTTATGTTTCAAGCCAAGTTGCGTATTATGTGCTAGTCTTGTAGGCCTCGTAATCTGAAATGCATAATAGTTGGAATAGACTGCTCTCGCTCTCTGTGGACTTATCTGGCTGCTCTGCAATGCAAGACATCTGTGCAATTCAGAAAGTATTCCTTTTGGCACTTGCTTGCTAGTCAGTCTGCAAGAAATAAAGCTGACAATACTTCTGGCTTCAGCTATTTGAATAGCAAAACTTTTAAATCTTCTCTTCCCAATCTGTTTTGCTCACTCGCTCCACATATTTAAAAAAATTTATTGACATCCATCTCCACGCCCTCAGAATGTGACTGCGCTTCAGGTATTTTACAAACCTTCGTTTTATTTCAAAAATACTAAAAACTGTCCAATGCTTCACCAAGGAATCTTGGGAACTCAATGCAAGGTCCAGTCAAGCTCCAGATGTTGCTGGAACTCCCATAATCCCTGATCATTAGCCATCCTGGCTAGAGCTGATGGGAGCTGGAGTCCAAGAACATCTGGAAGGTCAAAGGTACGCCCGCCCCCGCCTTAATGCCTTCAAGACATCCCCACTTCATTGTTCTGTAGCACATTATTGGATGGAATTTACTCTGGAAAATTATCCTGTCTTGTTAGCACTGTTTTTATAATGTTCTTTTAAAGAAAAGGGGAACAGCTAGACACCAAAGGGAAGAAATATTTCCCCACCGCCTACAGAAACAACATCATTTCAGTTTTGGCTACTTGGAGAAGCATCAAGTTGATCAAGCCAACTTTTGAGGAAATGCAACAAGGTAATTGTTCCTCACCTCCAAGCCTCGAGCACGATTCACCAAGCAATAAACCTCTGTGAGTGACATTATTCCTCCCCGCTCCTGTGGACACAATATCAGTTGGTAAGAGAGAACCAATTTAGAACATCCAGCCTGCTGTCTCTAAGAAGTTATGATGGGCTAGTTGACAACATCAACATGCCCAAGCAGAAAACATACAGTGGTACCTCGGGTTACATACGCTTCAGGTTACATTTTAGTGTATTTTTGGTCTCTGTGGAAGCCGCCCAGAGTGGCTGGGGAAACCCAGCCAGATGGGCTGGGTACAAATAATAAATTATTGCTATTATTATTATTATTATTATTATTATTATTACATACGCTTCAGGTTACAGACTACGCTAACCCAGAAATAGTGCTTCAGGTTAAGAACTTTGCTTCAGGATGAGAACAGAAATCATGTTCTGGTGGTGCGGCGGCAGCAGGAGGCCCCATTAGCTAAAGTGGTGCTTCAGGTTAAGAACAGTTTCAGGTTAAGTACGGAACTCCGGAACAAATTAAGTACTTAACCCGAGGTACCACTGTATCTGGAAATGCAAATGGCACAGAAGCTGCAGTAAACATAGTCCTGGAAATTTGTCAGTAGTTTCTAAAAGGTCATCTTCTTTTTCTATTTGACACTGCTCCCATGATTCAAGGGCCTGCTTACTTTCGTATCTTACTTTCAAACAGTAGTTAAGCCAATGTGAATGGAGTGAAAAATCAGAGGTGCTTTGCTCCTTCTTTCTGCTGCCGTGCCGCTAAGCCACCGGCATGGCTTGGCATCACATGCAAACCCAGATTTGTGGTTAGCTTTCTCTAAACAAATGATGGATGTTAAGTCAAGAATCTTGGTTACAACTTGTGGTTTGTTTGGAGAAAGCCAAGCTAGGAGCCCGGGTTTGGACAAAACCAAATCATGGCTTAGATCCCAGCAGCATGGTAGAAGGAGGGGAGGAGTGAAGTTCCTGAGATTTTTCACCCTGTGCAACAGCACGCTGCATGTTCCCCTTTCAGCCATAGTTAAGCTTACCATGATTTAAGGGGATGTACAAACACTGCCAGTGTGGATCTCCTGTGTACTCGGCAGTGGTAACAAAGGCAAATAATGTAGCTTCTGAGCAATTTCCCAGTTCTCCTTCAATATCCATTATACATCTTTATCACTGGACTGAAAAATTATACTGTGGCACCTATTGTTTAAATCTGCTCACAAAGGAGTATCACCACTGAATAAAGTCCACATTTTAAAGAAGCATATTAGCAATAGTTCTGATCCAACAGAGCATGTACAGAGACATCAGGGCTACATGTGCCCAGTCCCTACTTTTAAAAACCTAAACTCCTGTTGATCACCATATGGCGAGGAAATGGGACTGTTTCCATCCCTCATTCCTCCTCTCAAAACAGCTGATGAGGCGGGTTTTTATTTTTAAAAATAAGGCTGTGCATGCACAATCATGTTAGATGAGGCTGAGAAATTGCACGCGCAGCACAGCACATAAATGTCTGCTTCTACGCACTGTCAGCCTCTGTTGCCTGTGAAATGAAAGATCTGCTAGTTTGGAATGCTAACTAAAAGAAATGCCAACTTTGTTTTGTGTTGTTTTTAAAACTGGATGTGCGTGTGAGTTGCCTACTAGAGTGCCCTTCTATCACAGTCCTATTATTTAATTCCCCAAAGATTTAAAATGTGCCCCTGATTAATCTACTAACTGGACAGAATAAGGCCTTTGGTCAAGCGTGTTATGGCTACAATCCTATGCCTACATACTTAGTCCAAAGTAAATATGCACAGGAATATAAAATATGCATTGTAAATATGAAATAAATTAAGATTCTCGAGTGCCTTACCTCTAAAGGTGCCTGTAAAATGCCAGCTAATTGCTTTGCCAGTTGCATATGGAAATGTGTTCCGGATCCATGTGTTTCCCTGGTGACTGGATTAGCTATGCCCATGCTCAACAGGTATGATTTAAACCTGATTGTCTGTGGAAATAGGAGAGAGTGGGAGGGTTAAGATGCCATATTCTTAACAAACAGATGCATCCCAGATAGATGAACGAACATAGGAAGAGCCTGCTGGTCCAGGTCAGTGCCCCATCCAGCCCAGCGTACTGTTCTTGTAGGGTTGAATTCAGCATAGCAGTACGGCAAACATTCCATCAGAGCAAGGATTCCTCCTTGCACAATGGAAGTTTAACCCCCTCTCCGCATACCGCATGCACTCTAAATCTGTTCTGGGGGTTCTCTCAACCCTCTGGAGCCTATTTGGGATGTGCAAGGCACACACAAGGGGAAGGGAGGAGTCCCGTTGCTCAAGCAGAGATGCCTATGGGAAGCAGGTCCAGCAGCAACCCTCCTCTCCTGTGGTTTCCAGCAACTGGTATTCAGAAGTACACAGAATGCAGCCGGCAGCCTCATCCTCCACATTTGTCTAATCCTCTTTTAAAGCCATCCAAGTTGGTGGCCAGCCATCACTTCCTCCTGTGGGCAGTTTGCCCAACCTGAATCTTTCAACATTCAGCTTCACCAGATGTTCCTAAGTTCCAGTGTTATGAGGTGGGGTGGGGGAACTTATCTTTATCCCCTTTCTCTGCATCATGCATCATGTTATGCAGTTCAGTCCTGTTGCTTCTTACTTGCCTTTTCTCTAAACTAAAACAACACCAAATGTTGCAACCTTTCCTCGTATGGGAGTTGTTTCATTCCCTAGGACGGAAGTTCTAGAAGTACTGTTGTTGTTGTTTAATCGTTTAGTCTTGTCCAACTCTTCGTGACCCCATGGACCAGAGCACGCCAGGCACTCCTGTCTTCCACGGCCTCCAGCAGATTGGTCAAACTCATGCTGGTAGCTTCGAGAACACTGTCCAACCATCTCGTCCTCTGTCGTCCCCTTCTCCTTGTGCCCTCCATCTTTCCCAACATCAGGGTCTTTTCCAGGGAGTCTTCTCTTCTCATGAGGTGGCCAAAGTACTGGAGCCTCAGCTTCATGATCTGTCCTTCCAGTGAGCACTCGGGGCTGATTTCCTTCAGAATGGAGAGGTTTGATCTTCTTGCAGTCCATGGGACTCTCAAGAGTCTCCTCCAGCACCATAATTCAAAAGCATCAATCCTTCGGCGATCAGCCTTCTTTATGGTCCAGCTCTCACTTCCATACATCACTACTGGGAAAACCATAGCTTTAACTATAGGGACCTTTGTTGGCAAGGTGATGTCTTTGCTTTTTAAGATGCTGTCTAGGTTTGTCATTGCTTTTCTCCCAAGAAGCAGGCGTCTTTTAATTTCGCGGCTGCTGTCACCATCTGCAGTGATCATGGAGCCCAAGAAAGTAAAATCTCTCACTGCCTCCATTTCTTCCCCTTCTATTTGCCAGGAGGTGATGGGACCAGTGGCCATGATCTTCGTTTTTTTGATGTTGAGCTTCAAGCCAGAAGTACTAGGAAGTTCCTAATGTACTAAAACAGGGAGATAACTGAGGAGTCATAGGTCTGCCAAAATCATGAGCTGTGCTACGTTCCCCATCTTCGCTCAAGTTCACTCTTAAAATTCCCCAAAGAAAACGAAATGCACCTATCATACCCCTTGCCCACCTATCATACTCCTTGCCCAGCGAAGAACAGGTGCTGTTTTTAGGAGGCCAAGCAAAGAAAGGCTTGGGAGTAGGAAATGGCCAGGATTCAGCATGTAGTGGATGCTGACAGCATTCCCCAAGTAGGAAAGACACTGCCATGGATTGCCAAGTCACCTTTTCCTCACCTACAGAAGACTGCTCTCCTGGAAATCAATCTACTTGCAAGGAAGACCCTCGGCCAGCTTATCCTCAAGGCAGCTGGGACAGATTTCTCATGAGACTAGTCCATGTTCGGGAAACAGCCAATAAATTAAGCATCAATACCACCATTATTGTGAGTGAGCGAGAGAAGACTGCAGGTGCATGTGCATGCTTATTTTCAACTACAGGTGAGGTTGTGGGTATGGATGAGGCAAAGCACTGTGGTGAAGTTTCATAGATCACCAGCATTTGTTATGCCGTATTACCAATTCAGAGTTTGGCAGCATTATATACCGTATTTTTCGCTGTATAAGACGCAGCAGACCACAAGACACACCTAGTTTTTGGAGGAGGAAAACAAGAAAAAAAATATTCTGGATCTCAGAAGCCAGAACAGCAAGAGGGATCGCTGCGCAGTGAAAGCAGCAATCCCTCTTGCTGTTCTGGCTTCTGTGATAGCTGCGCAGCCTGCATTTGCTCCATAGGACGCACACACATTTCCCCTTACTTTTTAGGAGGGAAAAAGTAAGTCTTACAGAGCAAAAAATACGGTATATTATCATGGCAGCTTAAGTCCATGTTTCTCAGAGTGCGTTGGCGTCTAGCGCATTAAAATATTAACTGACCTCATCTTCCGTGATGTCACCTTGCTTTTCTTTGATCTTGTTAGCAATCGATTTGGACAGTTCCACCATTTCCTTTGCCTATTAAGACACAACAGAGAGACAAGACAGAGCTGTTGAAGACAGAACACTTTGCCATGAGCCTCTGACGCAGAATCAAGCTTTGAGGGGCTTCAAAGCAGGACATTTGCAGATTTAATCAAGGCTACTTCCAGACGGTGGCTAATTTCAGGTGGGATTCAGTCACAACCTAACCAATTCAGGCTGGCTGCACAATTAGATTTGATTGGGTAGTCTTGCCAACAAACCCACGTCTCCAAAATGTTGGATATTTTTGCCATAAGGACACGCACTGGAACACGTGAAGGAACACTTCCTTTGACATAACATCCAATCTCTCTGCAAACAAATCAGGAAGAATGCTCAATAAACAGACAGACTGGAAGTACCCCAACTATTAGCTAGGGAAAGGGAGCTTCTGGACTCAGTCTGAGCGTTCCTTCTCTCACAAATGTAATGCTAATCATTAGTGTAAGAAGATTCAATCATGACTTCCTCCAAGATGATTTGCTTTGGGATGGGCTGGAGTCTGAGCCACATCCCCCTGCTTCTTACCCACTTAGAAGTGGATCTTTCAGACACCATCACATTTTACCTGTGACATTCAGCAGGGCATGCTCAACATTCTGCTTACTCATGGTTCTCTGGATGGGGCCTAGCCAATTTAAATTCAGAGAGGTAAAAAGTGATACTTTACCTTTTCCATTAGCTTGCTGAGGTCTTCAAAAGCCTGCAATAATCAGACACACACTTGGTAATGTGTTCCTCACTTCTAGAAAGACAGACTCATTGCATCATTGAAATATTTCTTCCACCGCTGCCTTCCTTCCAAAATCAAAGCCCTGGAAATAATTAGTTTCTAGCATTGTAAGACCATGTGCTTTAAAACTGTAATTAAGAAGATTCTAGCCCTGTGCTTTGTAACCTGAGCAGACTGTTTCTGTATGAATAGCACGCTGTGTGTTAAGAGGTCCTCACCTTCCAGATAAGAGGGTGGGGTCATTTTAAGTCAAGGGTTGGCAGTAAATGACCTTTAATACAGTGGTACCTCGGGTTAAGTATTTGATTCGTTCTGGAGGTCCATTCTTAACCTGAAACTGTTCTTAACCTGAAGCAACCACTTTAGCTAATAGGGCCTCCCGCTGCCGCCGCGCTGCCGGAGCACGATTTCTGTTCTCATCCTGAAGCAAAGTTCTTAACCTGAGGTACTATTTCTGGGTTAGCGGAGTCTGTAACCTGAAGCATATGTAACCTGAGGTACCACTGTACTCAGATTTCAAAAGCTTGTACTTATATTTAAATATTCATAGGCAAGGCTAATTTAAAAAGGAAAGTACCACATATGCCATCTATGAGTTCCCTGAAGAAAAGGCAGGTTAGAAATGTAATAAATAATTACAGATGTACACCACCCATTTAACTGGAGTTCTCTGGGCAGTTTGCAGACCATTAAAAATACAATATGAAACAACATAATAAACAGCACTAAAACTAATTGGGGGGAAATCAAAACAGCTAAAGCCAACACAAGTATTGCAAACAATTTAAAACCATGAACTGAAAAAACATAAACCTGACATCTCATCAAAATCCGGAAGCATTTAACAAGACATTATTGCATGCAACATTGCCTCCCCAATTATTCACCAAATTCACTATTCTAACCTAATGGAAATTATCAAACGTTTAGCATCTTATGCATGTTGTCAGTAACATGCAGAAAGACAAGCCAGCAAAGAGAGAAAAACAGATCTAGATAAATAAAGGGCATGCTGTAAATAATTCTTCCCCTGTCTAATTGATTCACGCCCAAGTACAAAGGAGAATGTGCACACACCTAACAGGAATTTCCTCAGAAAAACAAAGAACTAAGGGAATGAATTTTTATCAGCAGCAACCAGCAGGTGCAGGAAACCCATTTTGTAACGCAGGGCACAAGTTCTGAAATAAACTGATTGATAAGTGCAAAGCAGATTTCCCTATGTTTTCAACATCCACAGTTTGATTTCTTTTATCCTCTGATAAACAGAGTGGAAGAGAACAACACGGGGGCACAGAAAATCACCTCATACTGAGTCAGAACATTGGTCTATCTTGTTTAGTATTGTCTACCCTGACAGGCAAACTCTTCTGGATTTCAAACAGGGCTGTCTCCCAGCCCTACCGAAAAGCTAGAATCTTCTGCATACAAGGAAGAAGAAGAAGAGTTTGGATTTGATATCCCGCTTTACCACTACCCTTAGGAGTCTCAAAGCAGCTAACATTCTCCTTTCCCCTCCTGCCCCACAACAAACACTCTGTGAGGTGAGTGGGGCTGAGAGACTTCAAAGAAGTGTGACTGGCCCAAGATCACCCAGCAGCTGCATGTGGAGGAGCGGAGACGCGAACCCGGTTCCCCAGATTACAAGTCTATCGCTCTTAACCACTACACCACAGGCAGATTCTCTACTGGTGGCACAAGAAAATTGGCTGCTTTGGCTGCAAACAGTAGCCTCATGTCTCTTCCTCCACCAGCCCTCCCTGATAAGAAGGTAAAGGGTAAAGGGACCCCTGACCATTAGGTCCAGTCGTGACCGACTCTGGGGTTACGGCGCTCATCTCGCTTTACTGGCCGAGGGAGCCGGCGTACAGCTTCCGGGTCAGGTGGCCAGCATGACTAAGCCGCTTCTGGCGAACCAGAGCAGCGCACGGAAAGGCCGTTTACCTTCCCGCCGGAGCGGTACCTATTTATCTACTTGCACTTTGATGTGCTTTCGAACTGCTAGGTTGGCAGGAGCAGGGACCGAGCAACGGGAGCTCACCCTGTCGCGGGGATTCGAACCGCTGACCTTCTGATCGGCAAGTCCTAGGCTCTGTGGTTTAACCCACAGCGCCACCTGCGTCCCCACCACACAGTTGAAGAGAACATGCCGTATGTCTGCTTAGAGACCTTTGAAATATTAATCAACATAGAAATGCTTGGAAATTAATAAATAAAAAAATAAATAGTCATTGTGCTGTAAGATGACCCTTTCCCAATCTACTTCATGGGGTGAAGTGTAGCAGGAAGGTGGTGGAAAATGAACAGCAACACACCATCTTATAATGCAACCTCTTTTACTACATGGGGTGGAGGAAGACCAGCAGGAAACAAGGGGCTCCTATATTGTTCAGCTCCACCCTAAATTTGTATGTGCCAGTTGTAAAAAGAGGAGAGTAAGTAAATCCTTACAAAAACGACAGAGATCAATTTGTTGCAGTAAACAATAAAGAGTGACAATGATGTGGGTATGATCTTCTTGTTCTAAAAACAAGGAAATTCTACCACCAGAAACAAAAACAACAGTAGCCAGAAGTGATAAACAAAAACAAGCTGTTACAAATACCAGGAAGCAAATTATTAGGAAAGATAAACCCTCATGTTTATAGAATTCCCAATCCCCCTTCTTCCTTCTGCCTCTTGCCACTAGTTAGGCTGCATTCATATGCCCTTAAACGGCTCTTTGTTTTTCTAACCCTTAGAAAATGCTTTGGGGTCTCTTCGGACAAGTGGAAAAGCCTGCATTTTTTCTCTGTGTACAACGTTTTGCGTCAGCCAGGCCTGATCCAGTGATACCATGGCAATACCTTTGTCCAAAGCAATGGAGGAGGAAAGGATTGCTATATAGCAGGCATAGGGGAACTCGGCCCTCCAGATGTTTTGGGACTACAACTCCCATCATCCCTAGCTAACAGGACCAGTGGTCAGTGATGATGGGAACTGTAGTCTCAAAACATCTGGACGGCCAAGTTTGCCTATGCCTGCTATATAGGTTTGACTCTTTATAAAAATTAACACTGGAAATATGCCCTGCGATGCTGAGGCTGGAAGGCACAAAACTCAAGGAGCAAAGCAGCAAGACAGTGCAGATTTCTAAAACACAGAGTCCCCGGACGTTTGACGGTCTATTGATCCCTGTGCCACCACTGTGCTCGCTTCCCCGCTGCCACCAACCCGTTACTCTCGGGTACACACTGAGTCCAGACAGTTGTTAAAATTAAACAAAATAAACAAGTTTATTTTATAAGCATTAACAAGTTTATGGTTTCTCAGATAATTTTCTTGTCAGTTTATTAACCTTAGTTCCTTTACCGGCCTATACCTTCCTAATACCTTCTGACTGATTATCCCAAATGTCTATCTGACTCCTCTTAACAGATTTCCTCACTCTCTCACATCAGACTAGCCCAACCCACAGACTTATGTGCAAAGACACACTGTGATTTGTGACACGTTAGTGTGCCGGCCGCAGTGTGTAAGTGTGTTGCACAAACGCTCCTTTGCATTCCTTCTGGGGCTGGAAAGGGATTAGTAAAACTAAATTACAGTTGTACCTCGGGTTACATACACTTCAGGTTACAGACGCTTCAGGTTACAGACTCCACTAACCCAGATATAGTACCTCGGGTTAAGAACTTTGCTTCAGGATAAGAACAGAAATCGTGCTCCGGCAGCATGGCGGCAGAAGGCCCCATTAGCTAAAGTGGTGCTTCAGGTTAAGAACAGTTTCAGGTTAAGAACGGACCTCCAGAATGAATTAAGTACTTAACCCAAGGTACCACTGTACTGTGCTGTGAAATGATGAATGTCTATAAAGTGTGTCAACCAACATGAAAAGTTTGGAAAGCTCTGCTCTAAAATATAGAACATTTTAAAGTGGTGTGAAAGAAACACAGTTACACCACAGGCACTTATATGTGACGCTTTATACGGGCATGTTGCACGCAGCTCTCACTATTGCAACTGATGCACTGGCTAGAGGAGAAGTGGCATTTTTGATTACTTGATCATATAATTTCTATACCGCTTAATTTATTAAAACTATCTCTAAGCAGCACACAGAAAACTGAAGCAACAACAGACAACTTAAACTAACTGTCCCAAATAACAAATTACGCTATGCAAGCACTGGAGGAAAATAATTTTTCCACAAAAGAAGCATTCACTTCATGATAAGACACCTATATCTTGTGCAACAGCTGTGTAAAAAGTGCAATAACTGCATTTGTAGAGGGGGGATACATCCTTTGCAAAAGCCCGTAAGCACCGGTCATGTATTTTTAAACATATAACACATCTGGCTGCCAAACACAATGACTGTGATCCAAATATAATTACAGACTCTCCCTATCAGCAGCTTCCAACAACTCAAAGAGTTACAAAAAAAATCTGCACATGAAATTCCAATATTACTCACCTCGGAAATGTTCTTATCCATCTCTTTTCTTCTTTCTTCTAATTTTCTCTCAATACCTACAATTCCTGCAGCTCTTATTCTCCCTGTCTGAAAAAAAAATACAACAACAAAAGGGTTATGAAGGAAGTGCTTAGAGTTCCCTCCTTTTGGACACAAGTGAGGCCCTGATGAGATAATGGCTGGGCCCCAGAAGGACAAAGCCCCACCCCAAAAAAGCCAGCATCCAGCTGCACGACAGCCATTTCTGAGAAGGTATTTCAATTGCTGGGAGCTAAACAAATGTGTAGGGACACGGGTGGCGCTGTGGGTTAAACCACAGAGCCTAGGACTTGCCGATCAGAAGGTCGGCAGTTCGAATCCCCACGACGGGGTGAGCTCCCGTTGCTCGGTCCCTGCTCCTGCCAACCTAGCAGTTCGAAAGCACGTCAAAGTGCAAGTAGATAAATAGGTACCGCTCCGGCGGGAAGGTAAACGGCGTTTCCGTGCGCTGCTCTGGTTCGCCAGAAGCGGCTTAGTCATGCTGGCCACATGACCTGGAAGCTGTACGCTGGCTCCCTCGGCCAGTAAAGCGAGATGAACGCCGCAACCCCAGAGTCGGTCACGACTGGTCCTAATGGTCAGGGGTCCCTTTACCTTTACCTAAAGTCTGTGCCTGCCTTATAACATCTGTGAGATCTGGGACATGGGGTGTATTTAGAAACAACCAGGGGCGCCATCCAGAGGGGTGCAAGTCTCCCCGCAAAAAAAATTTCAAGGAGGGGTCGGGCCCCCTAAATATTCTGTGGCCTGAGACAGGCCCTGTTGGGTCTTCTCATGACTGTGACAGTGTCAGGAAAGGCTGTGCATGTCAGTGCACATTTAGTGCACCTCATTTAGTGCTATGTCTAAATGCAACTATATAATCAGCTTCATGTTTTCAAATTACATTACCTGTCAAAAATAGCCAATTTCAATTAACATTGTGGGGTGGGGTGGGGAGTGTTACATAATAAAACAGCTGCATAAAGCAAAAAGGATACTTATTGAAATGCTTATTTGAAAGCAGAGGTCCAATAATCAGAAACTGCATAAACACCTGCGAGCCTCTGGTAACATCAATGGTCTGAGAAGCAGGCATGTTTTCCCACCTCCGCTGAGTCATTTCTTCCGATAGTCTTCTGTAGAACTGTGCAGAGGTTTAAAAAAAGAAAGGAGGGAGGTTAATTGCAAGGATGCACTGAAACTGATTTAAATATATTTAGTATTTTCTAAATAAAAGCAATTTCATAAAAGTAATTTCTCAAAGGACTGAGTTTTACTGCATCACTTATCTTTACAGATCTCAAAAGTTTAGCAGTCCATACCAGCATGTTACAAGCAAGACACAATAGTAATAAACAGTAATACCTGTATAATGATTTATTTTTACCCATTTAAGTCTTGCAAAAATTTCATTTTAACCAGGCTTTATCTTTACACAAATGAAATTTATAAAACCCATCCCAATATCACCTCACCCCCATCAGGCTAAAAATACATATATACCTCAATCTGTCCATGTTCTTTGAAAGAAAGTTTGATATATGAGTATTTACTACTCTGGAAAGGGCCAGGCTCCTTGCTGGAAGGTACTGGATGAAGATGAACCACTATTTTCGCACTGAAGAGATGGGAAGAGGAAGAGAGAAAATCTTTATGTGCCCTGTAGTTATAAAAAAGCAAGGCTGCTTCCTAAATATTAACAAATGTAGATTTTTAAAGTTTTATGTAGTCTTTTATCACAGGCTAAAAATATAGCTGGTGGAATGTAATATAACATGTTTCTTATAAATTTTCAAGAATTCATTCAGTTGTTAAGAATTTTAAACATCAAATAGTTTTCAGAATATTTCATCTCTCTATATATGTAACAGGATATTCAAGGCAGACAAAAATGAACTTATAGAATTGCAGAGTTGGATGGGACCCTTAGGGCCATCTAGTCCAACCCCCTACAATGCAGGAATCCCAATTTAAGCATACATGGCAGATAGCCAAGGAAGTCCATCGCCTCTCATGGGAGTCCATTCCACTATCAAACAGCTTTGATGTTTAGTCAGAATCTCCTTTCTTATAACTTGAATCCATTGGTTTGGGTCCTAGTCTCTGGAGCAGGAGAAAACAAGCTTCCTCCCATCCTCCATGTGGCAGCCCTTTAGATATTTGAACATTGCTATCGTATCGTCTCTCGGTCTCCTCTTCACCAGGCTAAACATACCCATGAGGTTAGGCGCAGCAGCCTCTGCCAGTGGCAGCCCTCCTAACTTCTGGGACAGGGATGGAGAGGGGTATGGCGCTGATGACAGAATATTCCAAATAACCCAGGGAAGCGACTGTCCCCAACATAACAGATTTTGCTACAAACTCACAGTACTACCTTTTCCCTATCCCGGCTGCTTGTTCTTCAATGAAGATAATTTGGGAAAGAGGAATAGCCATACAACATTCCTAAAAGCAGCAATAGAGAGAATAAAAACAAAGACATTTTAATTGAATCCTGCTCTTATTTTAAGACTATAGAATCACAGCATTGTTTTTGCACTAAGTTCTGCGCTGAAGCATTTCATGTGTAGAATTCTTGACATTCTAGACCATTTTTGCTACTCATACACAGGTGTGTGGAGAAAAAAGCTCCCATGGATATGAAATAACAACAGCAACACATTGCTCAAAATGACCCATTTTTTTGCCTAAGCTATCCTGCAAGTATAAACTGCTTTTTACTGTTTTTGGTACTGCAACTGTACACATTTTGGGCTTATTAACATCTCCGGTTTAAATCTCTGTACCTCAGATTACATAGATCTATTTTATTTCATCATTTCCAAAGTTGTAATCCTCGTGAATTTTTATTCTTGAAACTAATTGTTTAATTAGCAAAGAATAAAATTAATCTATGGCCTTTTAAACGGAGGGGTTTTTGTTTTTGTTTGAATTATAGTTATAGTAGTAGGAGATTGGCTAAAGACAGTAAAGCCCTGTGAAGAGGAAAGGCTGCTAACTCACAATTCTCTAAATCATGTCCCACACACCTAAGCAGTCACATGCTGAAAACAATAATAAACCTTCCCTTGGGCTTGCACACACACACACCAAACCCTCCCTTCTCCATTAGAGAGGCTGCAAGGAGATCAGAAATTTTCGCTTTCATTTTTGATTAATCAGAATGCAGCATGTTGTCTAAACCCTAAACTGGGTTGCTTTACATGTAACGCCAAGTCAAATTATGGTTTAGGATGAGCAGGCAAGTGTGTTGGTTCTCCTTCAGTAATAGCAGCCACTTCGCTCACCCCCAGGTTCTGCTGCAGAGACAGCAAAGGGAATATAGCCAATGTTTGGGCTTAGCACTATGTCTGAGCCCAGATTTGTGCTATGTCTTGCTCCAAAACATACCACAAGCCAAGGTGTGTTCCAAGTTGTGTTCTTACGGCACATGGTTTGTTTGGGGGAGACAGTTTGCTCACACAACCATCACAGACAAATTAACTTTACTGTTCTTTTGCATATTATATGGAAATTATAGACATACCAGACTACTGAAACTTACATGATTTTTCTGATCTCTCCAGATCAATCTGTGCGTACTCAGAAGCAATATGCCCGTATCAAACTTTACCTGGGTAAGGAAGATATATTTCAGTTCATCTAAGTCTCATCCAGTTTTTGCCCAATACATAATTTAGAAATCATGCAGAGTACTTGCTGGATACTACTAAACACCCTGAGTGAGCAGGGCATCTGTTCTTACAGCGGGGCTTCTCCCTCTACTCCCCCCTCAAATCTGGAGGGCTGGATTAACTTCTAGAGCAGTTTTGGTGGGCACCAAAGCTTAAGAATACAGGAAAATGCCTTATACCATGTCAGCACTGACCGGCAGCTTTTCAGGGGCTACCAGCAGATATCAGGGATCAGGCTTAGAGCCTTCTGTATGCAATGCAGATTGCTCTACCACTGAACCACGGCCCTTCTCCATTTGAAATTTCAATTATCAACTTTCGCTTCGGCTCCTTCTAGATTGTGCAGGTAGGCAGAACTGGTTGAAGCAAGCATGAGCAACAGGTTCATGGGTGCTTCCGCCTTTGAAATCTTGAAATTCAGGTCCCCACCTATAATCTGTCACTTCCTGTAGCAAAATGAGAGGTGCTTCTTTTGACGCTGAAGATGGAATTCAAGTACTATTTCCCAGAAATACCAGACAGCAAAGACCGGTATGAATTAGAATGAAGTAGCTTCAATGCATATGAACCACAGATACTGTGAAATCCATAATAAAATGAGGCAAACTTTTTGTAGGCTTCTTGGTGCAGTTGTTACACTTGCAGTGTGTGGTGATGAGACCTTGTGCACTTGCATTGCTCCTTCATTGCCTGACTTTGCATTTAAGTCAATTGACTAAGCTTTCTCTAAACCAGAGGTGCAAACTGTCCTGTGGAAAGGAACAGGAGAGTGAGGCAGGCAAGGAGGACCTCACCGCCTGCTCCAAACAGGGCTATCTACCACCAACTGCACCGTGCAAAGGATCTCAATGACTTGCTTTGCTCTGACACTGTTTCAGTGTGATTTTCTTCATTTATTCTGATTTCAAAGGTGAGATGCTATTACAGCGTGATAATAAAGAAAATAAAAAACTCCACATGTGATCTGTGTATGAATGCTACAGAAAAATCCAGATATTTTAGCAAGCCTAACCTACTTAAAATGCGGGTATGAAAACTTTAAAAAGATGTAGTATTGAAAACCTCTGATTCAAAAGCAAAGCTGGAATGTAGAGGAAGACACTGAAATGAGTATTGTAAAGGGAGAGAGAACCACAATCCGCACCTTCTTGCAACAAATTCACTACCTTGCTTGATGCTTCCTGATACTACAAAGCTCCATTCAATCCAAAACTATACTTCTGACTAATTGGAAATAGCTTGCTGATATTTGATTGGCTTAGGATTTTATATAAGTTAAGTGATTAATTAATATGTTTATTTCAGAATGAAAAGATTCAAGGATGTTAAGGTTTAAGTTAAATTTATAAGAACTATGATTTGGAAAACCGTTAAAAGGATATGCATTGAAATTCAACCAAGGGGAAGCGAGGAAGTCACTTAACAAGGTTAATAAGTGTAATTTTAATAAGGTTATGATTTATGTTTATTTGTTTACTTGTTTGTCTATAATTTTTTTGAAAACCAATTAAAAAAACTGGGGGGGAAACAAAACTATACTTCTGGACACCTTGCCTAGGGATGATCTACAGTTCCAATACCTGCGACAGGTAAGAGAAATCAGTCCAAGCCCCACTCAATGCTGTTGGGGGTATTTCATTTCATAGTGCCAGGCAAAATACTCCCTGCAGGTAGAAAACGGAGCGGAGAGGAATTGGAATACAAAAGAGGGAGGTATGAGGAGGTCCGGGAAATAAGTAAATGTAAAAGTTGTGATGAAAAGATGGAATTGTTTTTAACTGTTTTTTCTTTTTGTGTTTTGTATTTTGTATGGTGTATTTTTCTTTCTATTTTTAAATTTCTTTTTTTTTATTTATTAAAATGCCTCTTTTCATGTGAAACTTCAATAAATATCATTTAAAAAAGAAAAAGGAGCGGAGAGGGGGGGCAGCAGCAGCCTATCTCCCCCTTGACACCCTAGCTTTCTAGATGCAGAGAGCCTTCCCTCAATTTTCTGCGGGAGGTTTTTTCCTTGTTAAAAATCCTCCTCAGGGCAATAAGGACCTCTAAAGGAGGAAAGCTCTGCCTGCTTCCTCCAGCCTCCGCCTTGCCCGCCTAGCCCAGGCCGGTGTCGGCTCCCCGGCCCGCTTGCCCCGCTCCCCGGCCCGCTCCCCCGACCTTCTCCTCGCCGTCGTAGAGGCGGACGCCGCGCTGCTGCGTGACCAGGTTCTCGTGGATCTCCAGGAGGCCGCTGGTCCAGCCGAAGCGGTCCATGGCGCTTAGGCCAAGGCCGGCCTCCCTCCCTCCCTCCCTCCCTCGGCAGGCAGGCAGGCGGGCAGGCGGCGGGGATGGCGGAGCCGCCCTCCGGCACCTCCCCGTTTCGGAAGCGGAGCGCGAGACGGGGAAAATGGGCGAACCGGCGACGAGGAGGCCGCTTTGGGGCTGGCGGAGGAGGAGGAGAAGGGGGAACGGCGCATGCGCATCCCGCCTCCGCAATCGATCAAAAGTATTTGCCTTCTCCCAGCCCCTTGACTAATTCAACCATCTATATATAACCTATTAAACTGGGTGGGTGGGTTGCGTTTGCTTTTGCTCTTGTTTCATTATGTATTTTGTGTTTTCAGAGGCTGTTTGTATTTTTCCATTATGATCCATGTGTACAAATGTGATAAACAACAGCAACGTCCATCTCTTTGCCCGCCCACAGTTCAAAGCAAAGCCTTTTATTGCCTCAAGTGAGCAGATGATTCACTCCAAACATGAAGTCAGCGGATACTTTTGCAGTACACTTCTAACTACCTAAGTCTACTACATTTTAATATTTTAATGTTTCAATATTTTAATGTTGTATTTTAATTTTGTTTTTAAGTTGTATTCATTCAACTTGTTTTTATTATTGCTTTTTAGCTGCCCTGAGCCCAGCCTTGGCTGGGGAGGGCGGGGTATAAATAAATATTATTTTTTCAATATTATTATTATTATTATTATTATTATTATTAAAATGAGGCTGCATTTTCAATTATAACCTGTATTTTAAATTGGTTGTTTTTTTTAATTGTAATTTTACTGCTGTTAGCCGCCCTGAGCCCAGCTCTGGCCGGGGAGGGCAGGGTATAAATACAAATTATTTATTATTATTATTATTATTATTTAGTCAGATGAAGAGGAAGGGCAGCTCAAGAGAAAATTCCATGCGCAATGAATGCAATTAACACCAACATTTAAATTACACATATGCGCTCTTGGACGAAACAATAATACTGTAATAAAAATTTCCCTCCATACACCCAACCCTCCTTTCCTGGGAAGTATTTGCATGCATGCGTTCCCCTCTTCCCACGCTAGGAACCTGAATGGACCGTTGAAAAGTATTTGCCCTTCCCGCTCATGCGCACTTTCCTCGTTTGAAGCAGAAACCGGCCTGGAGCAACAGCTCTCGCCCCATATATGGAAGTGAGGGGGCGGTGCTGTGGGCGGACTCGGCCGTACCCCAGCAGCCAATAGCACCGCATCTCCCCCTCCCCGGGGGGCGTTCATTCTAATTGGACGATTTCAAGCTCGCAGGCCAATCGCGTTCCGGAAGACCGTTTCGCCTCGCGCGTGATTTAAACCGAAGTTGCGAGCCGCCGCGAAGGAGAGTGGCAGTTGCGGAGACGAAGTCCGGTCGAGCTCCTCACGCAGGTGAGCGCGATAACGCAAGCTTATTTAATAATAATAATAATAATAATAATAATAATTTTCCCCAGCCGCTCAGGGAGGGGTGGTGATGACGAGTCGTCTGTGGTTCCTCCACAAGCAGATAAAACAGAATTTTACCCTTTGGCCCGGGGCCATGCATTCAGACAGACCGTTGTCGCTTGGGCGGGTGTTCCCCATATTATTATTATTATTATTATTATTATTATTATTATTATTATCGCTTGGGCGGTTGTTCCCCATATTATAATTATTATTATTATTATTATTATTTATTTATTTATTATTATTTATTATCATCATCAACATTGTTGTTGTTTAGTCATGTCCAACTCTTCGTGACCCCCTGGACCAGAGCACGCCAGGCACTCCTGTCTTCCACTGCCTCCCGCAGTTTGGTCAAACTCATGCTGGTAGCTTCGACAACACTGTCCAACCATCTCGTCCTCTGTCGTCCCCTTCTCCTTGTGCCCTCCATCTTTCCCAACATCAGGGTCTTTTCCAGGGAATCTTCTCTTCTCATGAGGTGGCCAAAGTATTGGAGCCTCAGCTTCAGGATCTGTCCTTCCAGTGAGCACTCAGGGCTGATTTCCTTCAGAATTGATCGGTTTGATCTTCTTGCAGTCCATGGGGCTCTCAAGAGTCTTCTCCAGCACCATAATTCAAAAGCATCAATTCTTCGGCGATCAGCCTTCTTTATGGTCCAGCTCTCACTTCCATCCATCACTACTGGGAAAACCATAGCTTTTACTATACGGACCTTTGTTGGCAAGGTGATGTCTCTGCTTTTTAAGATGCTGTCTAGGTTTGTCATTGCTTTTCTCCCAAGAAGCAGGCGTCTTTTAATTTCGTGGCTGCTGTCACCATCTGCAGTGATCATGGAGCCCAAGAAAGTAAAATCTCTCACTGCCTCCATTTCTTCCCCTTCTATTTGCCAGGATTTGATGGGACCAGTGGCCATGATCTTCGTTTTTTTGATGTTGTGCTTCAGACCATATTTTGCGCTCTCCTCTTTCACCCTCATTAAAGGGTTCCTTAATTCCTCCTCACTTTCTGCCATCAAGGTTGTGTCATCTGCATATTCGTCCGTAGATCTCAGGGCGGTTCACAACAATACGATATCTTTATTGTCATTGTCCCATAAGGAACAATGAAATTGAAAATCTACATAAAACATTCAAAAACCCCTAAAAACTCTGAAACTCTATTTTAAAATACAGTATACTATAGAGACTCCTTATGATGCGTTTAAAACCAGAATTGCATTTGCGTAGAAACTGTTTCTCAGGCGGCTAGTCCTGGTCTTTATAACCCTATACCTTCTTCCAGAAGGCAGAAGCTGAAAGAGATTGTTTCTGGGGTGTGTACTATTCTGCGCTATCTCTGCAGCTTTCTTCTGGCACCTGACAGCATAGATTTGATCTAAGGTGGGAAGAGTGCACCCAGTTATTCTCTCTGCAGTCTTTACAACCCTGGACAGCATTGTTTTTTCCCTGGCCGTGCAGCTCCCAAACCACACACACAGACCATAAGTTAATACACTCTCCACAGTACAATGGTAAAATGCCATCAACAGGTCCTCCCCCTCTCCAGCCGTGATTAAACCAACCACCGTTGTATCATCTGCAAACTTAATGATCTTATTACTGGGGTATTTGGGGGCACAGTCGGCTGTACAGAGCGTATATAAACGCAGGCTCAACACGCACCCCTGCGGCATCCCCATATTCATGATAAAATCCGCAGAGACATAAGGCTCCTCTTTATTCTCTCTTCGAAAACGCGTCAGTCTCCGGTGCTATGACAGCCAGGATGTGGGGCTCAGATTTGCAAGCTGTCAGGATCTCCTTTGCTTGCCGTGTTCCCATAGCTCCGACCAGCCTCTAAACAGCTGCCCTCCTCTGTGCGGAGGACCCTGCTTTCCCTCTTTAGATCAGTTGGCAGAGGCTCAGCTCCCGTGCTCCTCCTAGGCTCATAGAAATGGATGGACGCGATGCTTAGGACAGGACAGTGTACATAGTCTACAGCTATGTCTGAAGTGTGGGTCTGCAGGATAAGGCTTTTTTTCAGTTGTGGTGTCAAAGCTTTGGGAATGCCCTCTTGTTAAGCGATCCTGGTGCTCAGCTCTTGTTTTTTTGGTCCCCTAACAGCTTATCAAGCAAAAGCCGCAGGACAATTTTATTGGTGAAGCAAAAAATGGAAAGTCCTGTAAGTATATGTCTCTTGAATTCATTCACTTGAATTTTGGACTCAAGGTGGATTATACTAGTTTGTAGTTAAAGAAGAGAATGAGGAATCTATTTCTAAAAGACAGACAGCTAAATTTATTTATAAGCCCAGGAATTTCCAGATCATAACTCTAATAATGCATTAGTAGCTTTTATACAGTGGTGCCTCGCAAGACGAAATTAATCCGTTCCGCGAGTGTCTTCGTCTAGCAGTTTTTTCGTCTTGCGAAGCAACCCGCTTAGCGGATTAGCGCTATTAGCGGTTTAGCGGCTATTAAAGGCTTAGCGGCTTAGCTGCTAAAAGGCTATTAGCGGCTTAGAAAAAGGGGGGGGGAGCGAAAAAAAATCTCAAGACTCGCAAGACATTTTCGTCTTGCGAAGCAAGCCCATAGGGAAATTCGTCCTGCGAAGCAACTCAAAAACGGAAAACCCTTTCGTCTAGCGGGTTTTCCGTCTTGCGAGGCATTCGTCTTGCGGGGCACCACTGTAACTTGTTTAAAAATGTTAACTATAAATTAACTAATAAAAAGTCTAAACCGGCTTTTCTTGCTCGTTACATTTATATTACACACATATCTACATACCCATACATACTGTTTCACAGTTCTTGATTGATTGCTTTACATACAATGAAAATGGGGTGGGGAGCAGTGTTCAAAATTCCCATTGTTCTAAGGGCATTTTGCAACAGGGAATTTCATTAGTGCGAGCAGTTTCTGAGCTCTGTGCCTAAGATTTCAGGTTAAAACTGCAGAGTGGAAGGAAAGGCGGACCTTTTTCTGCCTCCCCACTTCCATCTGCTCTCTGAAGACTGGAGAAGACTTAAGAATATTAGGGGAGTGGGCAGGGGAAAGACTAGACCAAACATGTCCAACAGGTCGACCGCAGTCGACAGGTAGATCCCCTGCTGATCGCAGTCAATCGCGGGATCCTTATCGCTTGCATTACTTAAAACTGGAATGAATGCCTCCGCTCTTTCGCTTTGGTTCATCCTCCAATGACAATGGGGAGATCCCTGCCAGTATTTTTATATTGGGAGTAGATTGCAGTCTCTTGGGAGTTGGACATGCCTGGACTAGACCATGTGAAAAATGGACATAATATTTTAGTTGCTGTTCATTCATTTTCAGCTTTGTATTCTTGTTGTAAAAAAAAATGTGCCTAGACATTCCATTGTTGTCCCCATAACCTAGGTTTAAGCTGTCATTTAGCTCCTAGCTTTCATCTGTTTCTAACAACAGAATTAGATCTAGAGATTTTTGTCTGGCATTTCTAATTACCTGGTAGTATTATTCTCTGGAGTATATTACACTATGATAATATAGGAAATAATGGTGTTGAAATAATATCATTTTCCTATTTAAAGAAAAAGTAAAGCAGATATTCTTATAACCATTTTGTTTTCCATGTGGCTATGTGCACCACCTTTATGTTGGAAAGCGTGGAGAAAAAGGTCTATAATGTTAATTTAATATTTCAGGAAAACAAAGAAAATGCAGTTGGACCTCTATGGACCCAAGTGGATGACATGTTGGAGGAAAACTTAGCTTCTCCAAAAGCTTTAAAGTCTCCTGTCATATTGAAGCAGATTTCTTTGGCTGAAAACTGTAGCCCTCTGGCTAGTACAAAAACAAACTGTAGCCCCCTGGCAGTTGTTTTTGAACCAGCTAAAACAAAAAGCCAGCACATGTCCTTTAACCAGACCTCCTTACTCAAAAGAAATGGAAAAGAGAAAGTGCTGAAAACAGCTGCACCACCCATCTTCATTCCACCCCTTTCAGAGAAGCGTGCGCTTGGCTCATATTGTGGTAGGATAGTAGAATCTAAAATAAACTCCTTCAGAAGAAAACCAGAACATGAGAATAGGAGGCACACTATGGCTGCTGCTCCTAAATCAGCAGTGAGGACTCAATCCACAAGCAGCATTACAGGCAAAAAGGATGATAGAGTCACCAGCACAGTTAATACTTCTAAGTCTGTTGCTATTGCCAAACCTGCAGCTGTTCTCTCACTTCAAGCCAGGCCTCCTGTGAAGGTGCCTGTTGGGCAGCCAAAGCCCATTCTGAACCATGAGACAAAAACTATCAATAGAACACCAGTGAATAATGGGGCATCCCAAAGAAATCCTAATAGGAATGGGAAGCTCGTCAGTGCTAACGGATCTGTGCACAGAACAAAGAAAAATGCTCCAACGAAAACTGGACTTGGCCCACATTTAACAGGACCTGTTTCTGAAGCTCGTGGTGCTATCTCAGCTTTGAAATCAGCTGACGGCGTCAGAAAACATAATCCAGCGAAACCTGCAAAAGGAATAAGGTAATAGAAAGGTGTGGGGATAACATTGGCTTAGATCTCTGTGAATTTAGGATATGCACAAGTTATTTTGCTCAAAAACACAAGCAAAATTCTTTTGAGGTCAACTTTTTAGGTGTAGGATACTGATACAGTGGTACCTCGGGTTACAGACGCTTTGGGTTACAAACTCCGCTAACCAGGAAGTGGTTGCTCCAGGTTAAGAACTTTGCCCCAGGATAAGAACGGAAATCACGCACCAGCAGGAAGCTCCATTAGTGAAAGCATGCCTCAGGTTAAGAACCATTTCAGATTAAGAAGGGACCTCTGGAACGAATTAAGTTCTTAACCCAAGGTACCACTGTACTATACACAGGTGGGGAACCTCTGGCCTGCAGGCCACGCTTGGCCCACAGTGGGGTCCAATTTGGCATACCAGTCCATTTTCCTCAAGTCAAACCTACCTCTTGTTTACTACCAGTTATTTACCCATGGTTAGGCATTTGGTGCGCCATTGGGTTACATCTGCATTGGGTCTGTTGCATGGCCTATTCCTAATTACATTATGGGGCAAAGCAGAATGTTGATAACTTAGTAATATACTGACTTGTTTGTAGAACCCGACCAGCTGAACGGCCACCATTGACAGGGCTAAAGAAGCTGCCACCTCCCATATCTGTTTATACTCTGCCTGAAAGAGAATCCTTTCATCAAACTATAAAAGAACCAGTTGAATCCTTCTGGTCTGCCCTTGCAGATGAAGATGAACAAGGACTACTGAGTGACAGCGTCAATAAGACCCTTGTGGAATGTCTGCACTTAATTGAGGAGGTGAGGCCTCTGTTAAGCCACAGTCATGAGGAAATAAGCTTTTGTATATGTTCAATACTTTCACTCAGCTCTGTAAGACCATAAAAGGCAAGACCATGTTGGATTTTAAGGGGAAATTGGGTTGTTTTGGGAGACATTTTTAACGGATGATTTGTTATACCTTGGTGGTAGAACGTATGCTTTGCATGCAGAAGGTCCTCCTAGGTTCAGTCATTCTCATATCCAGGTAGTGCTGAGAGAGACTGCCAAAGGTTTGATTTAGTATAAGGCAAGCTTCCTGTGTTCCTAGGTTCCTTAATGATAAAATCCTGCTGTGTTTGCAAGAACTTCTCCATTATACGTGGGACCAGATGAATTCATGCTGTACAAAATAAAGTCACATTTTCCCCATGAGTTGTTTTCGTTTTGAGGTGATCACACAAGTATGAGGCAGAATATAATCCGAACAGATGGCTCCTGAGGGAAAAATTCTGCTGTTAGATATTTGCTTAGGAGATAAACCCCTTGCAGAACATGGGGAATAATTCATGAGCAGGGATAAAGATGCTATTGGCTCCCCCTTGCAGGCCTAACCCACTTTCAATTTAAGATGAACAATAAGAGGAGTAACTGGTGGTCCACAGATTTGTTAGTCACTGGTAACAATCTTTAGTTCTGTTGACTGGACCTCAGTCAGCACAAGCCGTATTGCAGAGGACAGAGAGGTCCAGCGTGCTTATTTAGGGTGGGTTGCAACAGAGGAGATCTTCCCCAAGTTCTGTGCTAAATACGGGGAGGCATTGGGTCTCTGCTGTACCCTAGGCTTTGAAGACATGGTCCGTAGTCTTTGAAAACTTATACCACAAGAAATCTGCTAGTCTATAAAAAGTGCTGCAAGAGTTCAGTGTCACTGTAACAGATTAACCAGCAACCTCTGGAATTCATATTACATAACAACTTTTAAAAAGTAAGCCAACATATAATCTATCTTTAGGGTTATCCAGGTCATGACATACATTCCACTTTGGAAAAGCTGAGCTTGTCTGTGCCAGATGCAAAGAAATTTGCCAAATACTGGGTATGCCAGATGCGTCTCGAACAGTTTCGCTCCATTGAAAAGGTCCTTGCTATCTATGAAAAGGCAATTCTGGCAGGAGCACAGGTAAGAATTCTTAAATGTTGTTATTGTGTTAGCATTTATATTTAATTAGAGTAATTTTAATGCATTCTGCAGATGAGGCTTTATTTTCTAAAATTCCGTGGTTGTGTCCTCTACCACGTAAAAGCTTATATTTATTGACTTTTCATCCAAGGAACTCAAAGTGGTGTACGTACTGTAGTATTTTATCCTCAAAACAACTCTGTGAAGTAGATAGCTCCAAAGTCACCTAGTGAGTTTCATGGCCAAGTGGGAATTTAGTCTTGAGTCTTCACAGTCTTAGTCCAACGCGAACTGCTACAGCACACTGGCTAATTACAATTGACTTGGGCATGATCTGGTACTAACAAAATCACATTTCTTTTAGCCCAAGGATGAGTTACGGCGTACATTAGCAGATGTTATGAAGAAAACAAAAATCACATCTAAACCTGGTAAGATTAACTATTTTTAATTTAAGATGGTCATACTCCCCAACTCCCAACCTGTTGCCCTTAATTTAATAGTTTTATAACAAAGCAGAAACTTTAACTGGAGATTATCTGCGCCCATTAATTTGAGTGCAATTATGAACATATTAACTTTTTTTCCTCTTTTTCCTTTGTTCCTTAAAGCATCTGGCTCCTAACCTTCTTAGCCGTAACTCTGTTGCTATCGTTCCACATTCTAAAAGCTGAAATGTATAGTCGGTGAAGATATTTCTGTCCTTGGTTTGCTATACTGTGACTCTGCTTGTTGCCTACATTTTAAAATTACCTTTCTGGAAAGATGGACCATTCTTCATCAGGTTTTATCAAGATACTTATTTTGAACGTATAGTCGCAACTTGTTTGGAAATACAACCATTCATCCTATTTTTGTAACAAAAATGTGCTACAAATTCTACTTCATAGTGAATGTGATTTAACTATCAAAAGATATGGTTCTAGTCTACATTGAGTAAGTTAACCCCTGAATTTCATTTTTTTTCACAGGAAAATGTTCTGGGTCACCTTGACTTATGACAGTGTATTTCTATTTTCAGAGGAATGTGTGGAAAAAGAAATCACTCTAAATCATGAGGCCGAAGTTCACTTAGATGAAGAGAAGATAGAAAACGCTTTCAAGGAATTAAATGTCAATAACAAGATGGAGTCTGGTAATGAAGTGACTTCTCAAAAAGCAGAGGCTTGTTTGAAGTCTGAACAAGAGAGCATTGCAGTTGAAGAAAGGCACCAAAATAAAGAAGAGAAGCCTACAGTTCTCAAAAATGAAGAGCAGGATAGCGGCAATGCAGAGGGAGAGAGAATACTAGAGTTCCCAACTCCTGAAACTGACAAAGGGGGCTCGTACTTAATTAAGTATAACTTGTCAACTACTCCCTCCTTGATAAGGTAAGTTGCCTCTTCAGGTTTACATTCTCTATCCGGTTTCGAATGTGGGTGGGTCACTATATTTGACACCTTTGTTCAATCTCAAGCTGAATAGAGAACTCAGTAAGTATTTGGGGGGGGGTGATTCTGCCAGGTATGGCTTATTTATTCATTTATTTTGCAAGCCTTTCAAGGGATATCAAAGTAAAACTTGCAACTGAGAAAGATCATTCCAGTGAACCACAACAAGTCCTAATCTTCTCACCCAGCTCTCCAGTTCAGTTTGAGATTAGTGCTGTAGAGAGAATAACTTAATTACCGTATTTTTCGCTCTATAGGACGCACCTTGTTTTAGAGGGGGGAGAACAAGAAAAAAAATTCTCCCCCTCTCTGCCCAGCGCCCCTTCAGCGAAGCGGCAGGAGGCACTGTGCAGAGAGGGGGAGAATTTCCCCCCTCTTGTTTTCCCCCTCCAAAACAAGGTGCCGTTTAAGGTGCGTTCAGCCGCCTTCAGGCGGCTACCTTGGAAGCCTGCAGAGCGAGAGGGATCGGTGCGCACCGACCCCTCTCGCTCTCTAGGCTTCAGGTTCCTTTCGACCTGCTCTTTGGAGCTGGCGGGGGGAAGCCCACCACCAGCCCCAAAGAGCAGGTCGGGGAGCAGTGGAAAGGCGCGCAGCGGAGAGGCTGCTGCCATAGTCGTGCATCACCTCTCCAACCAGGAGAGGGTCGCGGGGGGCTTCTTTAGCCTTGCGCGCGCTCTCCCGGCTGGAGAGGTGGCGCACGGCTAAAAAGGCTCCTGCCATAGCCGCGCGTCACCTCTCCAGCCGGGAGAGGGTCGCGGGGATATGGCTTCTTCGCTCCATAGGACACACACATATTTCCCCTTCATTTTTGAAGGGGAAAAAGTGTGTCCTATAGAGCGAAAAATATGGTAATATTCAGTGTCAAACTTTATGTCTGCTTGCATTATAACAAGTTGTAATCTTGCAAATATTTTGTATTTATGGCCTACCTCTTTTCCCTCCCTCATTGATCTCCAAGCACAAATAAAAAAATGCAGGGTGACGGTAACCATCCTGCAATCAAGGATCTGAAATTTTTAACTCCTGTGAGACGTTCTAGCCGCATACAAAAGAAGGTGTGTAAGTTGCCAGATATGTTGAAAGACCACAACCCTTGTGTTTCTTCACTTGAACAACTTGAAGAATTCGGAGCTGAAGGCATTGGTTTCATCTACAGACACAACAGTGCACTGCGCAAACTCTGTACCCAACAAGGTCAAGAGTGATTATGGCACAATTTTAAGGTTTCTTTGAAATGATCAGAAACAACACGAGTGACATTGCTTTTGATGCAACTAATAATAGCTGTATTGAATAGAAAAGGGTCTCATGGGTGTATAAGGTGTGATGTATTTTAACAGTGAGTAACGCTTGGTCATCTATTTGGTTTATGGATGTGACCATCAAAGTGGTTTTCCTTGGTTATGTTTAGTAATATGCCTTTAATCTGCAAGTGTAAGTTCTAAGAATAAGGTGGTCTTTTATTGTGTGTGTATTTTTCATTTTCAAATAAAATAAACATCTCTGAATCGTGCTCCAGTACAGACGTAATGCTCACATTCCTAACCATGGTTAAGAAATGTGAAGCAGGTCTTGAGATGGCACACTCATAACTTCCTCTGGCCTTAACTCTAATTCAATTCTAGCAGTAACTACTAACCCTACTATTCAGTATATACAATTTTTTCAATCTCTTGTAAAACTTGTCTCTAAAATTTAGTGCTATCCCTTTAAAAGCCTGTTTGTATAACTTTTCCATAGAACTTTTCCACTGCAGAAGTTTAAAAACATTTTAAATGAATGTTTAAATCTTGGTTTATAGTAACACATGTTTAAAATAAAATAATTTATATCCACTTTTTTGTGATATGTTTCTTCCAGAAAGAATTAAGCTAAGCACTTTATAAGAGAGGAAAACAACAGATTCAAATATCTTGTCCTAAAGCCAACGTAGACTGCAAATATATTTTATACTTGAGTAGATGCTCCATGAGATCTACCTCTACCTAAACAATCAGATTCCTCTCCTAATTCAAAGACACTATGGAGACCTGCCTAAAAAACCTCTTGACTGCTTGGCTTGATTTAATGGGCCTTGGGATTCTCCCAGAAAATAGTGTATTTTAAATCTTCACATATGCAACAAGAAAACTTAATGCACCAGGAGATAATTACAAATTCAAACAATTTTTATTTTTTTAAAGTTTCTTTATATCCTTTTGTAGTTCTTACAATTGTTTTTTCAAAACTTAATTCTAAAATTTTCAAAGGTTATTTACACAGTGCCATCCATATGTAGGGTGCTTACAGCCAGTAAGATGGTAGTTCCTTGCTCCAAGGGGCTTCATCTAGAAAAAGGATGGAAACAAGGAAAGACAACTGATAAGGATGATGTGAATTTAACAGAAACAAAATTGGTTCCTTTTTAAAGAGGGTGGACTGGAACTGAAATTCCTTTTAAAATGAACTTTCCAAGCACATCACGTTTTCACGTTTTATCTGCAATTGTTGCTGTTTTTTTGTGTTGAATATTACGTACTGAAGTTCTCACCCTGGGCCAGCAGGGGGAAACTGTAGATAGTTTTCACTCAGCTCCACATATGCAAATAAGGGATTGAAAGTAATGTTCAGTGATTGGGTAGTTATAAAAAGTCTTACAGTTGCGTTGTAGTGGAGCTCTATATAAGCAGGCTGGCTGAACCGTTCAGTTCATTTCTGTTCTGGCCTGTGAATAAGCAAGAGCTGTTTGAAGAATCGCTGTGTCGTCTGATATGTTCACCCACAACTTAACAAATATATGCTATATGGTAATTTATGGACCTAATAGGTATCTAAAGCCATTTGCACATAACAAAATATGTATTTTATCAAAGCAATTGTTGAAAAGTCCATGCAGAATGTAGGCTATATACAGAAACTATAGTGATCTTTTAGGGAGCAGGCTAGCAGGTGGGGCCCATGATTTACATCAAGCACATCCAACAGGTAGATCGTGATCTACCAGTAGATTACTGGATGTCTGTGGTAGATCGCTGGCTCCCCTAAGGAAAACTAAACATTTTTGCCTGCACCCCAAAACAGGGACTTCCTTCTTAAAAGCTCAACAACTGTGACCTGAACCCCAAAAAAGGGGGTAGATCACTGCCCATCTTTAACTGGTGAGTAGATTGCAGTCTCTTGGGAGTTGGTCACCCCGATTTACATCATAGGAGCCTACACAAAACAAAACACTTGCTGTTTTATTTTGTTTTTTATCTTATATTTTGGAAATGTACGTCCAGGTTTTTATTTAGTTTCTTTGGGGGGGGCCAAGAGAGTGGGGCCCTAAGCTATAGCTTGTCTAACTTATACGTAAATCCAGCACTGCCTACCTGTCAAAGTGGCCACCAGGGTGGGGGAACCCCAAGATCCAGCCTGACAGGCTAAAGAGGTTCCCCCACTCCTGCCCTAAGCTAATATCACTCTTCAAACCTGTCTATCCAGTGATATATGGACCCTGGGATGCATTCTGTATGAGCTGTGCACTCTTAAACATCCAGTAAGTACCCTTCCTTATGTGGTACCTCGGGTTAAGAACTTAATTCCTTCCGGAGGTCCGTTCTTAAACTGAAACTGTTCTTAACCTGAAACACCACTTTAGCTAATGGGGCCTCCTGCTGCTGCTGTGCCGCCAGTGCCTGATTTCTGTTCTTAGCCTGAAGCAAAGTTCTTAACCTGAAGCACTATTTCTGGGTTAACGGAGTCTGTAACCTGAAGCGTATGTAATCTGAAGTGTATATAACCCGAGTTACCACTGTATTACTTCCAGGAACTGATCCAAGGCCAGTTTCTAAAAATGCAATGTGAGAATTGACCCTTCCCTTAAATCTTCACAAATACTTTTGTGGCTTGATGTAATTGCACGCATGCCATTGTAGGGAGTATTTATGATATGCTGCAAATAGAGTTTTCAGGGGGCAGGGAATAGAGTTTTCATTTGGAAAGGGGAAGCATTTACAGTGCAAACCTATCTGTATGTACTCAGACTGGTCAATACATACATACATACCCACAATATGTGGTTTTAGGATTGCTGTCATGCTGTAAGCCTTGTACTCAGGTCGGCTGAGTGCTCTCACCACTGTGACGGTTTCTCTGTCACAGGCTGCTCTCCCAAAAAAGAGTGCGGGTTTTTTCCCATTTAAATGTTTTTCGGGGCCCCAAGATAGCGGGGCCCAAACTATAGCTTGTTTAGCTTATACGTAAATCTGGCACTTCTTGGGAGAAAAGCAATGACAAACCTAGACAGCATCTTAAAAAGTAGAGACATCACCTTGCCAACAAAGGTCCGTATAGTAAAAGCTATGGTTTTCCCAGTAGTGATGTATGGAAGTGAAAGCTGGACCATCAAGAAGGCTGATTGCCGAAGAATTGATGCTTTTGAATTCTGGTGCTGGAGGAGACTCTGGAGAGTCCCATGGACTGCAAGAAGATCAAACCGATCCATTCTGAAGGAAATCAGCCCTGAGTGCTCACTGGAAGGACAGATCCTGAAGCTGAGGCTCCAAGACTTTGGCCACCTCATGAGAAGAGAAGACTCCTGGAAAAGACCCTGATGTTGGGAAAGATGGAGGGCACAAGGAGAAGGGGACGACAGAGGACGAGATGGTGGGACAGTGTTCTCGAAGCTACCAGCATGAGTTTGACCAAAGTGCGGGAGGCAGTGGAAGACAGGAGTGCCTGGCATAATGTGGTCCATGGGGTCACGAAGAGTCGGACACAACTAAACAACAACAACAACAGTAGCACATGAATATAGAGCTGTGCTTTTTGGTTTGACCAGTAATTAGCCTTTCAGAATTTGGATGTGCAAAGGCCAAGAGAAGACTCCCTGGAAAAGACCCTGATGTTGGGAAAGATGGAGGGCACAAGGAGAAGGGGACGACAGAGGACGAGATGGTTGGACAGTGTTCTCGAAGCTACCAGCATGAGTTTGACCAAACTGCGGGAGGCAGTGGAAGACAGGAGTGCCTGGCGTGCTCTGGTCCAGGGGGTCCCGAAGAGTCGGACACGACTAAACAACGACAACAAATCCGGCACTGCCTAGGGATGCTGCGCCTGGAGGGGGGGGAAGCAAAAGCTCCGCCCGCCCTGCCCTTTGGCCGAGCGGAGCCGCGCCCTGCCGGAACGGGACCTTCCTCCTCTTCGCAGCCCAAGCCGGGCGGGCCAAGGGCTTGCGGAGTCCCGGTAGGTGAAGGCGCTCGCGGGTCGTGGGCGTGAGGAGCCTCGTTGCAACGCCTCCGGTTGCAAAAATCCACATTTGTCCCGTGGAAGAAGCGCGGGGAGCGCGGCGTTGCTCGGCATAAAGGGGATGAGGGAAGAGGCGCGCTCGGCGCTTCTCCTCCTTTGTCCGCGCCGCTTCTTGCTTTTCTCCCTCCCCAAAGCGGAACAGGGCGTGGGCCGAACTCGGGTCATCGCACCAACAAAGCCGTTGCATGAGATCCGGAGGGCTGTGAGAGAATTTTTTTCAAAAAAGGAGTCGTGTCTTGTGCGCAACGTCCGAACAGACAGACACGCGGAACGTTGTTTTTACACGGCCAAGGGCGGCGACAAGCCCTTCCACCCAAATAGTCCCCTTTCTCCAATCCCCACATATACTGTACATTCTTTTCCATCGGAAATCTAATATATGGGACAAAACTTGTGATCTTTTTAAAAAAAAATAGTTTAAAATATTCATACGTATTTTCAGGGCTGAAACTAGGCTTTTTGTCACCCTGTCAAAGACCCAGTTTGGCGCGCACACACAATGCGTGTTAGCATACATGCACATACACACACAAATACACAGCTCAACACATTTATTCGTAAAGGGCATAAACAGTAGGCGTTATATTATTTGAACACAAAGGAATCCAAAAATTATGGTGACTGTATGATCAAAAGCAAAAATGTTTTGTCAAAAGTAGAGCTTCCATGTGCAGCAGTTGCCTATCTGAGGTCAGGTTTTGAATTGGATTTATTTGTTCACAGGATCATTAAAAGACTGCATTTCCATAAGATCGGTCAAGACCCTCTGGTTTCCTTTTTAAATGAATTTATTTATTTTTTGGTCTCTCTGAGGCTTTTTGCCACCCACCCCTCCTCTTGGTTCTGTGCAAACCCTTTCAAGGAGTTTTGATGTGTAACTTTACTCCCGAGTAAGCTTAAACAAGAGCCGCTTTCCGTTTTATTTTTGTTTGATTGCTCATTTTAGGAAATGATAATTTTGTAGTCATTTTAGGTTCCATGTAAGGTGAGGAAATGTTTTTTGAGAGTCTAAAGTAGAAAGTGCCCTTCAAATTACAATCCTAATGCCGCTGGGCTGACCAGTGCTGGCCAGGGAACTGCCTCTAGCAGGAAAAATGCTCACACACCCTTTACTTTCCTGTCTGTAGATCATGGGTAGGCAAACTAAGGCCCGGGGGCTGGATCCGGCCCAATTGCCTTCTCAATCTGGCCTGCGGACGGTCTGGGAATCTGCATGTTTTTACATGAGTAGAATGTGTCCTTTTATTTAAACTACATCTCTGGGCTATTTGTGGGGCATAGGAATTTGTTCATTACCTCCCCCCCCCCCCTAAAAAATATATAGTCTGGTCCCCCACAAGGTCTGAGGGACGGTGGACCAGCCCCCTGCTGAAAAAGTTTGCTGACCCCTGGTGTAGATCATGTAAAGTAAAATGAATCAACCTTAGCTTTTAAACACATTCAAAGTTCTGAAGGGATCATAGAATTGTAGAGTTGGAAGGGACCCCAAAGATCATCCAGAATAGCTCCTATTGCCAGCTTTTAACTGAATCCGTTATTGTCAGTACAGTCATACCTCAGGATAAATACGCTTCAGGAGAAGTATTTTTGGGTTGCGACCCGGAAGTAACGGAGTGCGTTACTTCCGGGTTTCGCCACTCGCGCATGCGCAGATGGTAAAAAATGACGTCGCGCGCGTGCACAGAAGCAGCGAAATGCGACCCGTGCAGTCGTGTCTTACGTTCTGTTCAGGATGCGAACGGGGCTCCAGAACAGATCCCGTTCGCATCCCGAGGTACCACTGCATACAAATAGTCAGATAATGCAAAAGCTTTCATTAGGCAGAGTGAAAAAGTAGCTAAATCTCAGTTTCCTATAGCCAAGATTGGTTAGAAGTACAGGCAACTCCCCATTTACGCGGGGGTTACGTTCCGAGGCATTGCACGTTTAAGTGAAATCGCGTCTATTTGGAACACCATTGAAAAAGCGTGCAAGCGCCACAATCGCTGTCAGCAGACTTCCTTGCTCAAACTCCTGCTCTCCACTGGCCTCAAAGGTTTGTGCAAGGGCTCCTGGGATTGCATTTGCAAAGGCTCCTGGGATTGCTAGGCACTATTTTGACTCCATTTTTGCCGTTTCCGTGCTCTTTTATGGCCATTTTTGGCCCTTTTCATGCCACTTTTGGGTTCACGGCAATGCAGGTGAGTATGGTTGTGCGTGCCTTGAATGCACGTAAATGTGGAGTTGCTTGTATACATATTTTAATGTATTTAATATTCACAAAGGTATTATTATTAATAATAATATTAATATTCAACATGGAAGTTGGTGAGAGAGTGAACAGGGTTTCAACATCAGGAGGAATCAACTAGTTTCATAACGGAACCCAAGTCTAATATGTTTACTATTTTATTGCTTTCAAGGAGACCTTTCTGAAGAGGAAGGGAAAAGTGCAATCTGTCAAAGATCTGTAGAGACGCCTGCAAACAGTCAAGCAATTTGGTAGCCATGGAGAAATACAGTGTGCTAGCGATACTTGGAGAAGGATCATTTGGGAGAGTTCTTTTGGTCTGTCATAAAAACAAAAATCAGAAATATGCAATGAAGGAAATAAGGCTTCCTAAGGTAACTTTTATCCAAATGCTATCAGAACCTGTTTTTTTTTTTTTTTTAAATATTCTTAGCTTGTGCTAAAGAGGTCAAAACAAGGGAAATCTTAAATGGGTTTTCCACATGCCAGATAGGTAACATTCTGTCTCTGGAAGTGAGGAAAACCCCAATATCATATCCCTACAGGCCTAGAAAGTTTTTAGAAAATACAAAATTGCATTTAACTTAAACCGTCTGCACTATATTTAACATATACTGATCCAGCTATAGTTAGCTGTGGTTATGGTTGCGATCTGGTAAATACTAACAGCACAGTCTCAACCATATGTATTCAGAAGTAAGTCTCGTTGAATTCAGTGGGTCTAACTCATGGAAGTCAGGTTAGAATTGCAGTCTTATTAGTCTTATCTCATTAATGTGCCATTTGTTTCAAGTTAGTTGTGCTGTTGTTTCAGTTATGACTAATTTCAGCTGGATTGGGGCCACAGTTCAAAGATCAGCAAGACCTTTATTTTTATGGAAGGCTTTTGGGTTATTGGTCTGTATTGTAGATTATATATTTTGCCTTTAAGTTGCTTGCCCATTAAATTAGTGCATATTGTAACTACATTTCTACACTTTTAAAACTATTTTAATCTAAATTATTAAATTATTTCAATTGTATGCATTTCCACAGAGCAGGAATATATATGGTACACAATTGCTCTTAAGTCTCTTACCCCAGTCATAAAACAGCAAACTAAACTTGACTGTTACATCTTCTACAATAACCACTTGGGTTGAGGCTGTTACAGATCTCTAATTGGAAATATCTCCATATTCAGAGAGCTCAGCAGTGCTGGCCTATGATTAAAGATTAAAACAAATTGAAGTCTGATAAATGTTTTCTAGATATCTTAATTTGTTCCTTCATTATTGCAATAACTATACAGTATATTTTTCTTTACTAACTAGCAATATATTTGTAGTCTGTCTTTGGTGCAGAGAAGTCCTGGAATGAATCTATTTTATTAGCTAAAATGAAGCATCCAAATATTGTCGCCTATTTGGAGTCGTTTGAAGGTAAATATGGATGCTTAAAAACAGTTTTTAGTATTATTAATTTTGCAGAACCAAAGCTTTCTTTGTACTTGTCCTATTGGTGTGGCCTTAAAAAATAGCCTAATAGTAATATAATTTGCATAATAGTATCTCTACTAATAAATCTTAAATTCTCTGTACATTAGCTGATGGACATCTTTACATAGTGATGGAATATTGTGACGATGGAGATCTAATGCAAAAGATTAAACTTCAGAAAGGAAAGTTGTTTCCTGAAGATACGGTAAGAATACAATACATCAGGTTATAACTGAGCACCTTTTGGATATATTCATTTTCTGGCCTGGTTTAGGCTTCTAATGAGCTTCTGTCCCCGGCATAGAATTGGAATTAGAGCTACAGTTCGGCCTGGATCAAAAAAGACATAAAGAGAATGCATATTGACTGTAGGTCCATTAGAGCGGCATTCTCTCATACTTGCAGTAGGCTTGCCAAACAGGTTTACCATCACTGATCTAGTTAGTTGATTGTTGTTGTTGTTTAGTCGTTTAGTCGTGTCCGACTCTTCGTGACCCCATGGACCAGAACACGCCAGGCACTTCTGTCTTCCACTGCCTCCTGCAGTTTAGTCAAACTCATGCTGGTAGCTTTGAGAACACTATCCAACCATCTCGTCCTCTGTCGTCCCCTTCTCCTTGTGGCCTCAATCTTTCCCAACATCAGGGTCTTTTCCAGGGAGTTTTCTCTTCTCATGAGGTGGCCAAAGTATTGGAGTCTCAGCTTCAGGATCTGTCCTTCCAGTGAGCACTCAGGGCTGATTTCCTTAAGAATGGATAGGTTTGATCTTCTTTCAGTCCATGGGACTCTCAAGAGTCTCCTCCAGCACCATAATTCAAAAGCATCAATTCTTCGGTGATCAGCCTTCTTGATGGTCAAGCTCTCACTTCCATACATCACTACTGGGAAAACCATGGCTTTAACTATGCAGACCTTTGTTGGCAAGGTGATGTCTCTGCTTTTTAAGGTGCTGTCTAGGTTTGTCATTGCTTTTCTCCCAAGAAGTTAGTTGGTTAGTTAAACTTAATATGCAGCTTTTCCACGGTAGACGTTATTCCATATGCCAAAAGAGAAGTGAATATTTTTAAAAGTATAACTGGAGATAATAATCACAAAATGAGATGCATAGTTTTAGAACAGAGAAATAAAATAAGAAATAATTTTTCTTGCCCAGCTTCTATAGTCCTTTTTACAGTGTTTGTCCTCTAGTTTCCTTTGTCTTATTCACGATTGTACAAGTAGGATACAAGCCCATGTGCCATATATTTTTCTCCTCTCCCCACAGATACTTAATTGGTTTGCACAGATATGCCTGGGTCTGAAATACATTCATGACAAACGTGTCTTGCACAGAGACATCAAATCAAAGGTAAGTGGACCCCACTTAATGACGGTTTTTAATATAATATGTATTTTTATTAATAATAACATGAAACAACACAAATAACAAATAATGGGTATTGGTCACCCAGATACCAAGCAAAATACCGTCATGATGTGTATAAGGCAGAAAATTATAGCAGCATGTTAAATGAAATAGCCAAGCCAAACAGATGTATGAGTTACTGGGGGAATAACTGTTATTATAAAATTACCACCAGTCCTTTCATACTTAGAAATACAAAAATCCTAAGGCTAGGTCTTTCGTAAAATTCGGTGGTTTTGTATTTCTTTACTTGTTGGCTTATAAATACTTACATCTTGCCTTTCTTCATTAAGAAGGGCCTATGCCATGGCATTTGATGCCAAGAGAGTCCATGGCCAAATGGGTGCTATGTTGTGGATTCCATTTTATTGGGAATATTCAATTTTCAATTCAATCTTTATTATGGTCCAGAGACCCAACAAATCGTTACAAAGCAATGCACAATTCATACAGCCTACCTCCAGGTTAAACAAGCATTTTGTTCAAAAGATAGGGATCATTGGTTCTTGCATCCACCAATAAAAACTTTGCCACTGCTAATGTTCTAGCGTTTGTCCGGTCTTCCAATAGGAACCTGACATAGTGAGCCTCTGATTTTCCTGGGAAAGGTACCAGCAAGGGTAGTATCAGTTCAGCCCTGGCTTGCTCATATTTTGCACAATGCAGCAAAATATGTTTTATGGAATCCATGTCTTGAGCACATGAGCAAAGTCTGTCCTGGTAGGGAACTCCTCTCAACCTGCCATCCAACACTGCAGAAGGAAAGACGTTTAGTCTGGCTTTGGTGAAAATCCTACGATAATTTGGTACTGTCAGGTTTTTAATGTACGATGTTAACTTAAAGACATGCCCATATTGTACTCCTACTGCCAGCGGGAATATTGGGAATATTATTCTGTGGAGTAGGGTGCTGCTGCAGATGTGTACCTGATTTAATTAGAGAGATGACTTAACCCCACTTACATCCTCCTCCAAGCTGTTGTTAGCCCTGGGAGAGAAGCTTCCATTGCAATCCTACATGGGGTCTACAAAATGGATGAAAACATTTAATATGCGTGGTATTTATTCCATAAATAAAAAGTTTGTTTGACTTTTGCTCCTCAGGGAGCGTAGAATCCCAACTAATCTTACAGCAGAGTGTTGATTGACTTCTGGTTTAATAATACAAACACTGACATAGAGAGTGATAAATTTCTCTCTCTCTCTCTCTGTTAATGGACTCTTTTTCCTATTTCGTAATGCAGAACATATTCCTCACACAACATGGGAAAGTAAAACTGGGAGATTTTGGGTCTGCACTTCTTCTTTCCAGGCAAGTCCATATCATACTGAGGCTGGGAATTTTTAAAAATTAGTTGCTATCTGTTGTAGAAATGTTAGTCTCTTCCTAATATTACTTGTGTTTGTTTCTTTTTTCTGAGCAGCCCAGAGGCCTATGCTTGTTCCTATGTGGGAACCCCTTATTATGTGCCTCCAGAAATTTGGGAAAACACACCCTACAACAATAAAAGGTAAGAATTAATCAGAATCTCTAAGAGCACTTACTTTAATATTGGGTGTAATACTAGATAAACAATGCAAAAATCAATTTATGTATAGCCTGGACAACCTTTGCAAATTAGATTCAAATTTTGATTTCAGAAGAGCCATTCCTCTGATCTTTCCAAAGTCTGAGTTGCTACTGACTAAGGGAATTGAAGTTACAATATATTTCACAACCACTATACATAGTCACTGACAGGAATATAATTACAATGTTGAGGTTCCCATTGGATTGTCATAAATCTTGGATAACGTAGTAATGATAGCTATGATGCCAAGTGTGGGACAGGTAAAGATGCAGATGCAAAGGAACAGTTGGAGGCCTTAAAATTGTTGAGCAAGCAGGGTTTGTATTCAAGCCCTGCTGGAACTGGTTCCTATTAGGAGCTCCCAATTGGAGCACCAATCAGCTGATTGGCCACACTCAAGTTGCAGAATGAGCCTGATTCCAGTGGGGCTTAAAGCCACCACTGATCAGCTGATTGGTCTCACTTGGTTCAGCGGGGAAAACGCCCTGTTGAGTTCAGCCTTCCTTGTAGCAGAAGGATGGGTCAACTGATGTCATTGTGACATCATATGATTGACAGGTAAGTGGCCTGGCCTACCTGCCGGGCTGGATTTAGGTTTGATGAGGCCCTAAGCTACTGAAGGTAATGGGGCCCTTTATGTGTCCAGCTGTCCTTTGCCAACAACCGATTGTTGCTTTTTTGTATGTTTAATATATTCTGTATGGTAATGTACGGACCTAATGGGTATCTAAAGCCATTTGCACATAACAAAATATGTATTTTATCAGAGTAATTGTTGAAAAGTCCATGCAGAATGTAGGCACCCTATATATAGAAATGAGCAAACCAGTGATACTTTAGGGAGCAGGCTAGCAGCCGGGACCCATGACTTACGTCATAGGAGCCTATACCAAACACTGTTGCTGTATGTAGGTTTTATTTTATTTGTTTTTTATCTTATATTTTGGAAATGTATGTCCAGGTTTTCTTTCTATATTTTTTGGGGGGGGCCCCCAAGAGAGTGGGGCCCTAAGCTATAGCTTGTTTAGCTTATACGTAAATATCACTCTTCAAACCTGTCTTTCCAGTGATATATGGTCGCTGGGATGCATTCTATATGAGCTGTGCACTCTTAAACATCCAGTAAGTACCCTTCCTTATGTTTATTACTTCCAGGAACTGATCCAAGGCCAGTTTCTAAAAATGCAATGTGAAAATTGACCCTTCCCTTAAATCTTCCCAAATACTTTTGTGGCTTGATGTAATTGCACGCATGCCATTAATATTGTAGGGACTGTTTATGATATGCTGCAAATAGAGGTTTTTTTTTGGTGGGGTGGAGTTTTCATTTGGAAAGGGAAAGCATTTACAGTGCAAACCTATCTGTATGTACTCAGATTGTGGTCAATACAGCATACCCATAATATTCGTTTTTAGGTTTGCTGTCATGCTGTAAGTAATAGCCTTGTACTCAGGTCTGCCGAGTGCTCTCACCACTGCGATGGTTTCTCTGTCACAGGCTGCTCTCCTAAAAAAGGGTGAGGGTGCGGGAATGCCAGGCTTAGGGCCGGTATTAATGTCAAAATATCAAAAAGAAATGATATTTATTGCTGTTCCAAAATACAGTGCACAGCTCCCCTAACTGCAGACTCAAAGAATGCTATTTCTGAAGATTTGTAGACTGGTCAGTTTATGTAGAATGTAGCGCTAGGTCTTTTGCATGCATTTGTATGAAGATAATGATCAATTTGTATACAGCAGCTAGTTTTAGGAAGCATTTTAGTAAATATTTAATGCAAGTAAAATCATCTGCACCCCCCCCATCTGTTCAATTTAGTTTCAGGCCAATAGCTGGAAACATCTTATCCTTAAGATATGTAAAGGATACTACAATCCACTTCCACCTCATTATACTTATGAACTTCAGTATTTGATAAAACAAATGTTTAAAAAGAATCCCAAGAACCGTCCATCAGCTACCACGATTCTTGCAAGAAGCTGTCTGGCAAAGTGTATTAGAAATCTTGCTTCAGCAGAGGTACTATTTTGACTTAAGAAAACTGAGCATACATTTTTGTAGGCAGAAAATTATCTTTTCATATGATGGTTTCAATGATATTATTATTTAATTATATTATTATAATTTAATCATATCATTCATACGTGTGTATGTGTGTGTGTGTGTATGTGTGTGGTTGAATGGAAATATGGATTTTTGAAATTTTAATGCATTCAGCAGATAAGTGGAGGATTGCCCTTGTTCCCATGTGATTATCTTTGGGCTCTGCTTTTCGAATGATCACTGACATATGCCACATTTTCCTTTATTTTTAAGTTAATTACACCAAGGAGTTTAGACTTCTTGTCAGAAACTAGGATTCTCTTTCATAGCATGAAATATAATTGTGGAGCAGTTGTTCACAAGTATGCTAAGATATTTGTTCACTTAAGATAGCAAAATAAAGATACGTACCTTGTTCAATTATGAATACTGTTCTTCAACCCTTTAAAGGAGCAAGCGAAACATGCAAGGAGCAAGAGTTGCGATCCAGAATCAGAAGCCATTGCCAAGGGTTTCTGTGAAATGGGATTGGAGAAAGCAGGTGAGGATAAATAAACAACCATGAAGTTCTAAAGTCATCTATTAACTGACATTTGAGCCAAGTTCTGACATGGTTATCGAGGGGCTTACTTACATTAGTGGTCATGAATTACTTCTCTGAGATTACAACCCTGTACATACTTCCCTGGGAGTAAGTTCCATTGAACTGATTGGGTCTTACTTTTGAGTAGACATGCAAATAATTGTGCTGAGATTTTTGTGAATGGTATTGCCAACAGTGCCAAAAACAAGAAATATGCTGGAGGGAAGACTGAATTTAAAATATTTTGATGTGTGTTTTTTTAAAAAAATCCAAATAAAAAAATATACACTATAACTTGGGTCAGATGATACAATATCTGTAATCCTGTGTTCAGGAAATATATTGGTGGGGGGGGTTGAAACAGGGGAACAATTGTAAACACTCCTAATGAATTTTAATAAAACATTTCATTAGGGAAGGATGAGGCCTCCCTGGAAGCTGTTTTACCAAACCCTCACAGACAACAGTGGGAAAAGGGAAGATCCAGTAGTGTCATCAGAATTCTGGGAAATGCATCTTTACTTACTTCCAGTATTACAACCAAGGAGGCTACAAGTAAGAATAAGATTCAGTATATTTGTTTGCGTTATTTGCTGTTAGAAATAACAGTTGCTATTAAATATGGTATTCCTATCAAATTATTTCAGAGTCTACCCCAAATAATCCCAGTCCCAATTAGAGTCTCGCATAGGAATCTGTCTGGGAAGAGAGTCTACTGGATGGCAAATAAAGAACTAGCAGGCTGGAAAAGTTCACCAGACACTGACAGCACCAGTAATGGGCATCTTCAGACCAGCACTTTTGTGGCCTCTGGCCTCATTGAGAATGAGCTGGCTTGCATGGGTCTTCGTAAAATTATCTTTTATTATTATATCTTAAAGGGACGTGGGTGGCGCTGTGGGTTAAACCACAGAGCCTAGGACTTGCCGATCAGAAGGTCGGCGGTTCGAATCCCCGCGACGGGGTGAGCACCCGTTGCTCGGTCCCTGCTCCTGCCAACCTAGCAGTTCAAAAGCACGTCAAAGTACAAGTAGATAAATAAGTACTGCTCCGGCGGGAAGGTAAACGGCGTTTCTGTGCGCTGCTCTGGTTCACCAGAAGTGGCTTAGTCATGCTGGCCACATGACCCGGAAGCTGTATGCTGGCTCCCTCGGCCAATAAAGCGAGATGAGCGCCACAACCCCAGAGTCGGCCACGACCGGACCTAGTGGTCAGGGGTCCCTTTACCTTTATCTTATTATATCTTAATTTTGTATGCCGCCTTTGTATCCCAGGGCGGTTCACAACAGAAAATGCTTAGCAGCACTGGGAAAAGAGGTTGGAGACCTTCAAGACAGTAGGATGAGGACCTTTGAGCCCTGCCCCTCTGTATCACGGGTCTGGTTACAAACGGAGAATATGTAAGATTGAGGTGAAGCCAGCTGGAAGGGAAAAGAAGGGTCTGTGCTTGACCAATTAGGCAATCCTGTTAAAGCAACCCGGAATGTGTTTTTTGAAAAAACTAATCTGGAAACGTTTCTGCTATAATTCCACCTGTGTCTGTGTTTTATCTATGTCTGTTTTAATTTTTGTGAGGCTCCTTGAGTCCCACTTCAGGAGGGTGGGACTGGAGTGAGGAGATATGTATATATATATATATATATATATATATATATATATATATACACATACATACAGTGGTGCCTCGCAAGACGAAATTAATCCGTTCCACAAGTGTCTTCGTCTAGCGGTTTTTTCGTCTTGCGAAGCAGCCCTATTAGCGGCTTAGCGGATTAGCGCTATTAGCAGTTTAGCGGCTATTAAAGGCTTAGTGGCTTAGCGGCTTAGCTGCTAAAAGGCTATTAGTGGCTTAGCGGCTTAGAAAAAGGGGGGGGAAGCGAAAAAAAATCTCAAGACTCGCAAGACATTTTCGTCTTGCGAAGCAACCCCATAGGGAAATTCGTCCTGCGAAGCAACTCAGAAACGGAAAACCCTTTCGTCTAGCGGGTTTTCCGTCTTGCGAGGCATTCGTCTTGCGGGGCACCACTGTATATATATAAAATTAAATTAACTACTACAGTGGTACCTTGGGTTACATACGCTTCAGGTTACATATGCTTCAGGTTACAGACTCCGCTAACCTAGAAATAGTACCTCAGGTTAAGAACTTTGCTTCAGGATGAGAACAGAAATTGTGCTCCGGCGGCAGCAGGAGGCCCCATTAGCTAAAGTGGTGCTTCAGGTTAAGAACAGTTTCAGGTTAAGAACAGACCTCCGGAACGAATTAAGTACTTAACCCAAGGTACCACTGTACAGTCATACCTCGGGATAAATATGCTTCAGGATAAGTATTTTCATGTTGCGCTCGTGTTACTTCCAGGTTTCGCGACTCGCACATGCGCAGATGGTCAAAATGACATCATGCGTGGAAGCGACGAAATGTGACGCGCAGTCGCGTCTTACGTTCTATTCAGGATGCGAACGGGGCTCCGGAACAGATCCCGCTCGCATCCTGAGGTACCACTGTACTACTATGACTAATTGTTATTATTTCTGGGGATGAGACCAAAATTTTAAAGTGGGTCTTAGGAGGGAACCATGCCTATTATAAACTGAGCCAAACCCCTCCTCCGAAATGAAGCTCCGTTTCTCATTAGCTTGCTTTCGTATCACGTATCCCCAGTCTTCTCTACTACTGGTTCCGTCTTCTCTCCCTCCAAGAAAAGGGGGGGGAAAGGTGTGCAGAGGAGGGAAATGGGACTGGTACTTGAATGACTAGTTTTTTTCCAGGCTTTCATAGAAGAGAAAAAGTGTTGAAAGGCTTTGCCCTTTCTGAACTGAGATGGGCTAGTAATGCCCATTTCTAGTAAGTTCACATTATACATGAATAGACATGAAATGGCATACTTATGTGGAAACTGAGGGCCATATTCAACTAAATACCGTATTTTTCGCTCCATAAGGTGCACCGGACCATAAGGCGCACCTAGTTTTTAGAGGGGGAAATAAAGAAAAAAAATCTTATTTCCCCCCCCCAGCCCTAAAGAGCAGCGGACAGGCTGCGCACAGCCTGTCCGCTTCTCCTAGAGCTACTGGGGATGCCGGGGGATGCCTGGGTTCTCCCCCCAGCCCCAAAGAGCAAAGAAGCCAAGACAGCCAGTGGGATCCATCCCGCTGGCTGTCTTGGCTTCCTCTTTAGCCGCACGCAACCTCTCCAGCTGGGAGAGGCTGCACGGGGCTAAAGAAGCCATAGCCGCGGGCAGCCTCTCCCTGCCGGAGGGGCTGTGCACGGCTATCCCTGAAGCCTTCGGAGCGCAGCGCGAGTTCCCACTGTGCTCCGCAGGCTTCAGGTTCCTTTTGCTGAAGCCAGGAGAGTCTTGCTCTCCCGGCTTCAGCAAAAGGAACCTGAAGCCTGCGGAGCACAGTGGGAACTCGCGCTGCGCTCCGAAGGCTTCAGGCGGCTATCCCTGAAGCCTGGAGAGCGAGAGGGGTCAGTGCGCACTGACCCCTCTCGCTCTCCAGGCTTCATCGAAAGCAACGCAAAGCCTCTGGAGCGCGGAGGGAGCGCTCCCTCTGCGCTTCGGATGCTTTGCGTTGCTATCGCTGAAGCCAAGGAGCCTGCATTCGCTCCGTAGGACGCACACACATTTCCCCTTAATTTTTGGAGGGGAAAAAGTGTGTCCTATAGAGCGAAAAATACGGTAGTTGTCTAGCAGGAGCCAGCACAATGGGACTTTCCTCTCCTGACTTTCCTCAGTTGGCTTGGTGGTAGTGCATGGCCGGAGCAGAGGGGAGATCGTTCCAGCAATTCAAGCATTTCTGCTTGCCTCTAATTAGTGCAGTGTTTAATTCCTCCTTGAGATTCTGTACAGCTCAGTAGCAACAGTTTTAATTTTTCAATTGCAAGGAGCTGACAGGTGGATCCAGGCACATCCAGCCTTCACAGGCTAGCACTCCATTTGCATGACACCACTTGTGAGAAACTGTTTGCTGCAAGTCAGCCAACCTTAATCGCCATTAAGGCCTGATGAAACTCTGACAGACCAATCGGTGAATTCCAGTTCAGCAATTTCACACACTTCCTGCCCTTTAAACTAGGGGTGGGCAACCTGTGAGCTACTCGTTGGTCTTTTCTGTAAATCAGTGGTGGCCAAACTTGGCCCTCCAACTGTTTTGGGACTACAACTCCCATCATCCCTAGCTAACAGGATCAGTGGTCAGGGATGATGGGAACTGTAGTCCCAAAACAGCTGGAGGGCCAAATTTGGCCACCAATGCTCTAAATTGTTGTTTTTATTTTTGGCGACTTGGTGTGGGTTACTGTCCTAACATTGTAATGTCTTACTATTTGTGTGAAAAGGTGGAGATGTAAGAAGATATGATGAAAATGTCACACGAAAGCAGTGGACCAAGGAGCCTCCGGAAACCTTGATGAATATTCTTCGCAATGCTGATGTTAGCTTAGCTTTTAAAACATACACAATCTGCAAAGGAGGTAAATCATAATGGTAGCAGGGGCGTGACACCCAATATGGGTTAAATTGCTGGTCAGGGCCCCAATCCATAGATCAAGGATAAGGAACCTTTTAGGCCTGGTGAACCGGATTGCTGTCTGTTCTCTCACTCCCACAGTTCAGCTTCGACAGGTGGGCTGGACAAGCCACCTGTCAATTCACCTGGCATTATATGCCCTGCCCACTTGTCAGATTCGCTTGTGCAGCCTCTTCCCAAGTACCTGACAGCCAGCTGATGGTTAGGCCCTTCAGAACCGCAGTGTAGGGGGCTTTGCCTTAAGCTTAAAAAAAATTACAAGGCAAAATTAGACAAGATCAGCCTAGTGCCAGTGGTGAATAGGTCTATGGATGTAATGGTGAATATTTTAAAATAAAGGGTTGTATCGAACAAAGTTATCCATTTCACAGAAAGACTTCTTGTGTAAGGAACTTTCCCTCCCTCTACCCCCTCCGGTAAAGGTAAAGGGACCCCTGACCGTTAAGTCCAGTCGTGGACGACTCTGGGGTTGCAGCGCCCATCTCGCTTTACTGGCCGAGGGAGCCGGCATATAGCTTCCGGGTCATGTGGCCAGCATGACTAAGCTGCTTCTGGCGAACCAGAGCAGCGCACGGAAATGCCGTTTACCTTAAACGGCAGGTAGCAGGGACCGAGCAACGGGAGCTCACCCCGTCACAGGGATTCGAACCGCCAACCTGATCAACAAGCCCTAGGCTCTGAGCAGGTATGCAAGGGGTGTGCAAGAAGAGATGAGGGAGGGAAAGTTTAACTGCAAAAAACCTTGCGTATATGGGACGATCTTTTGGATACAACCCAAAAAATAAAATCTCAGATAATGGTTATAAAGAGGGGGAAAGCAACAGGGAGTTCTTTGTCATTGACACAAAAGCTTTCACCTCTTAATGAGATAGACTTTTACAGGAACAAAACAGGAAATGAAATGAAACAGGAAGTAATGATGGAGTAAAATACATTGTTCTTATATTGAACTTAATACTGAAGCTGTTTAATTATCGCAGGGACAGGACTGATAATTCCTGTTTTCATTTTGCTAATGTTAAAGGCTCTGATGACCTTCTAAGAGGACCACTTACTGAAGATATCAAAACATCTGATGAACCAGATGGTGAAACTATTATGGAGGATGTAGAGAGACTTGAACCTAGATCAGATGATGAGGACACGTATGTTCAAATACAATTTGAAAGCTTTATTCTTGGAGGTTTTTTTCATATCTTGAAACAACAGCTCCAAAAGAAACATTCCTTATCTAAAACCCAGCTATCTATAGTTTTGTATCATTTTCTCGCTTTTGAAGTAGCAGCAGTGTTAAGAAGCACCATCTTGAGGAGTTTCTGTATGTGAAACTTTAGAACCTGCCTTCTGATTGCAGTCTCCCTCTCCATTTGTTAAGCCACTTTTGGAACTTGGGGGATATTTTAGAATGAATTGTCGGTATTGGAAGCCTATGGGTCATGTAAATCTATGTTTGTTACATGGCCACCGGTTCATGTGGTCTCTAGAATCCAAATATGCCAATGGTGGAGAGAAGTGTCAGCCATTTGCAAGTTATGTTCTATGTCTATAAACATATTGAAGAATATTCAGAACAGAATGATAAAGCTGATATGAGATACATGAGTGTTTTGTGAAGAAGGAACTAGGAATATTTAAGTGGAGGACATCATAGTAATTTCCAAAATCTAAAACGCTGCATTGAGGAAGGAAAAAACCCCACCCAACTCTCGCAAGTCCTTATTAAAGAAGTGTTGTGTACACCAAGGATGGATACTTCCTCATAATGTTAATACAACTTCCATCATGGCTGATCCCTGTTTATGTTGGGTGGGATTGGCAGGATTTGAAGTCCTGGTATTTATAATGAATTGAAACAGCTTAAGTTTGGATATTTAGAAAAATAACATGGATTGGACATTATAACAAATTGTTCTGGAAAAATGCTAGAATCTACAGGACTGTTTTTATAGGTATAATATATTATGTAGACACCTTTAAGTCTTTGGAGGTCATTGCAGTAAAGTAGAGGCCCTTCCATTTCTTTAGTCCAATTATTTTATTTAAACCATGTTAAAATTTGGCTCTTTTGCTTTCATTTTGTAGGGATTTTGAAGCAGATGATGATCCAGACTGGGTTTTTGAATTAAAAAGGATGACCAAAATGGAGAGTGAATAAATAATTGAATAATGGAGGAAGTGAAGAAACTGGTACCATCAGATGACCAAATGTCTTGATGCAAAAAATGTTGCTCAAAAATTCAAAAGTTCTGCATAAGCATACTAGTTACAGTGATTTTGGATTAAATTCTTTGGACACCAGTGTACTGGCTAAGCTTTTGTATTTTGGGGTGGTAGATGTATATCACTTTCAGAATAAATGTGAACATTCATCTTCCTAAGGTGTTGTTTTGTGTACTTCCTGTATGAAGGTGGGGTGTTTTTTTGGGTTAATATGTTACATATTTTGTGTTTTTATACTGTAAACCGCCCTGTGATCTTTGGATGAAGGGCCCTATATAAATGTAATAAATAATCCAAATAGTAATCCAAATGCACAAGCTGGTAGAGGCAATTTTAGCCTTCTAGCTGAGTTAACCCAGTACATTTATATTTTTTATATTTTTATATTTCTTAAGGTGCCAAAAACACTGGGTGGTATTCAACCAGAGTGGACCCAGTAAAATTAAGGAACACTACTAAGATAGATCCATTACTTTCAATGAAACAACTCTGCATAAAATTTAATTGAACACCATCCACTCTACCATCTTTTTTTACTAAGTTCTTGGGAAAGGTCCCATTGGAACTGAAATTTATTTGAGAACTAGACCGATGGAAGGATAAACACTACTTTCAAACTCCCGTTCTGTTCACATGTACCTGTGCCTAAGCTAACCTCAGTGAGGCTTACTTCAAAGCACACATACATCTGCTTGCCCTGTTGGTCTGTCCAAGAAAGTTATTATGCCTATACATCCTAAAAGGCATGTTCCTGTATGTCCAAAACTTTGCTGGAATGCTAAGCAAGAACATAATTTGCACACGCACCCTAAATATTTTGTATTTTCACAATAATTCCTTTTGGTACAGTTGCTTTTTAATGGATCTTAGTTGATTCATATAGATGCTGTTGGTGTTTTTGTTGTTATTCACCCCCCTGGCTTGGCGCCCTGTGCGGGGAAGCTGTTCTTATCACCCTAAATCCGACGCTGAGGAGACTGAGCCCTCAAAAGTTGGGGAAATGTCAAGCATGCTAGGTTCTCAGGAGCTGGACCCTTCATGCTTTTTTACTCACCCTAGTGTGCCTTGAATTATCTCAAAGGGCTAGTTAACATGTCAAAAGTGTCACACAGTTTAAAGGAACGTCGATTCCCCCTCCGCCATGAAGTCGACAGAAGCGGCCAATATTGTCTCAACAGGTGTAGTAGGGGTGTGTGTCAATATTTATTCTTGCCATGAGAAATTTTATTTTCTTGGGCTCCATGATCACTGCAGATGGTGACAGCAGTCACCAAATTAAAAGACGCCTGCTTCTTGGGAGAAAAGCGATGACAAACCTAGACAGCATCTTAAAAAGCAGAGACATCACCTTGCTGACAAAGGCCCATACAGTCATACCTCAGGTTGAAGTTGTTTCAGGTTGAGTCCCTTCAGGTTGCGCTCCACCGCGACCCGTAACGGAACGTGTTACTTCCGGGTTTCGCTGCTTGCGCATGCACAGATAGTAAAAATGACGTCATGCGTGGAAGTGGCGATATGTGCAGACGCGAGTTGCGTTTGCTTCAGGATACGAACGGGGCTCCGGAACGGATCCCGTTCGTATCCAGAGGTACCACTATATAGTTAAAGCCATGGTTTTCCCAGTAGTGATGTACGGAAGTGAGAGCTGGACCATAAAGAAGGCTGATCGCCGAAGAATTGATGATTTTGAATTATGGTGCTGGAGGAGACTCTTGAGAGTCCCATGGACTGCAAGAAGTCAAACCGATCCATTCTGAAGGAAATCAGCCCTGAGTGCTCACTGGAAGGACAGATTGTGAAGCTGAGGCTCCAAGACTTTAGCCACCTCATGAGAAGGGAAGACTCCCTGGAAAAGACCCTGATGTTGGGAAAGATGAAGGGCACAAGGAGAAGGGGATGACAGAGGACGAGATGGTCGGACAGTGTTGTCGAAGCTATGAACATGAGTTTGACCAAACTGCAGGAGGCAGTGGAAGACAGGAGCATAGCTGTCAACTTTCAGATTTGAAAATAAGGGATCAGCAGCCTCGCCTGTCCCAGAGACCGTCTATGGGATATCTAACAATCCGGGATAGCAGCGGGAACTGGCGCTGGAATAAGGGAATTTCACACAAAAAAAGGGAAGGTTGACAGGAGTGCCAGGCATGCTCTGGCCCATGGCATAGCTGTCAACGTTTCCCTTTTTTCAAGGGAAATCCCCTTATTCCGAATAGGATTCCTCGCAAGAAAAGGGGAAAGTTGACAGCTGTGGTCCATGGGGTCACAGAAGAGTCGGACACGACTTAAAGACTTAACAATAACGGGGTGTGTGTTTGTGTGTGTCGTGTAGGTGGCAGCGACCCCCTTCCCCGCCCTCCCTGCTGCGCAGGAGACCTTCCCTCACGGGCCGGCCGAGGCCGCCACAGAGCGGCCGTTTGCGGAAGCGGCTCGCGCGTCTTTCTTCTCTCCGTCGCCTTGGCAACGGGGAGGAGGAGAGGGCCTGCTCCCTTCACGAGCGAGGAGCGGGGACGCGCTTAGCCCCACCGCCCACCCCATGGCGTCCGGGCGCCCCGCTTTGGAGACAACCCCCGACGTGCCGACTCGGAAGCCGGCTCCCCGGGTAACCCGCGTGTGGAAAACGGAGGGTCGCCTTCCCGAGGCCTCAACCGCCACCCCCTTTCCCCGCTTGTGGGTTCGCCTCCGTTAAAGCAACGACGTCGTGGGGTGGGGGTGGGGGGGGTTGCACTGCCTTCTTTCCTATATGCTTGCTTTCCAATATGCATTTTGTGTTTTTTAATCTTGCCTTTTTTGGTGCTGCGAACCGCCCCGGAGATCGACGGGTGAAGAAGGGCTAAGGAAGAGGAAGGAGCGCCGTTGAAAATTTGAAGCGGTCACAAAACTGATCGCACAGTTATTCAAAATCCTGCTGGAACTCGTTTCGTTATTTTAACTATCCAGGGAGATCAGCTTCTCAAAGTGCTTTTTTTCCCTTTAAAAAAAATGTTTAGGGGTACTCTCATTTTCCTACTCGTATTGAAGTACTGCCCCTCAATGAGGCCAAATTTAGATTCACAAAATGTTTAGGGGTCTGCGTCCCCCCAGGAAAAAAAAAGCACTGCTGATAACCATTGTCACATCCAGAGGTGCAAATTCCCACTTTGAGAACTGCCGCATGAGAAAGTGCGCTCACGCTACCAAGTGGCCTATTGTTTGAGAATAATGCATCAATTTTGGGGGGTGGAGGGGATCTTGAATGACTCGGGTGGCAAATGGATCTTTGTTTTCCCTGGGGTGGTCATCAAACTATTTTTTGCTCAGGAGTAGCTCCGTTGAAATGAATGAACATGACTAACTCAGGCCTATTCATTTCAGCAGGTCTGCTCTGAGTAAAACTTAATTGTTTCCACACATTTTTATTAGATGTGTTATTTAGTACATTTTTATATCCAGCCTTTTCCACTTTGTGGAATTGAAGGCTGTGCTTCCCATCCAAGCAAGTACCTGCAGACCTGCTTAGATTTCAGCAAGGTGACTGCAAACCTGTGCTGTGGGTTATAGAGTGTCCACTTACACACTGACCCAAAGAAAAATGAATGCATCATCAAAGAAATAGGATGCCAGTTTGCCTATCATTTGTGGGCACACAATAATATGTATGGTAGAAATAATTGCTGTAATTGAAACAGAAATAAAATACAGCTCACCATTGTTTGGAAGTATCTGACCAATCTGCTGTTCAGGTGCAACTTCAGGACTCTAGCTGTCTGTTCTTAGAGATGTTTATCTTTAAACCAGACTGTCCTTTGAATTAGAGCAGTTTTTCTCAAACTTGGGTCGCCAGCTAGTTTTGGACTACAGTTCTCATCATCCCTGCCCACTGGTCTCGATAGCTAGGGATGATGGGGCTTGTAGTCCAAAAATAGCTGATGTCACAAGTTTGGGGAACACTGAATTAGAGGAAGCCTTTAAACAGAAGAGTGTTCTATCTAAAAATAGAACATGTCAATACTACCCTGGGACCACAAGCAGCATGCACTTTTCATTTTACTCTAGTTTAATTAAGTATTATATGGAATAAAGCAGCCTTTTGCCAACTTGGTGCCTCCAGATGTTTTGGACTACAACTATCCTCAGTCCCCAGCTAGAGTTTTAGTCCCAAACACCAGTTTGACAAAGGCTGGAATACAGGATGTGTGTGTGTTTCACAGCAGACAGGATGAGAAGGGGTCTTCTGCAGTAGGTGTAGCTCCCACAGTCAATGTGATGATAATCAATCTTTAATAAAGGCAATTCTCCCCAAATCTATAAGTTTCATCGTTTCACTTCTAATGGAGTAGGTGTGTGAATATCCTCTTAATGTTTCGGATTGTACCTAATCAACATTTGTGGGACAAACTTTTGAAACTATTCGGTTTACGAACTCTGCAAAACCGGAAATAGTGTCTTAGTTTGAGAACTTTACCTCAGTCTAAGAACGGAATCCGAACGGTGGAAGGGCAGCGGCGGCGGGAGGCCTCATTAGGGAAAGCACACCTCAGTTTAAGAACTGTTTTGGTTTAAGAACAGACTTCCGGAACGGATTAAGTTCGTAAACAGCGGTACCACTGTATTAAGTATCTATCACTTAAATATTTTTGTTTTACAGACATTTCTCTAAATCCACAACATGGATGAGTATGAAGTGATTAAAATGATTGGAGAAGGATCTTTTGGCAAAGTATTCTTGGCTAAAGGAAAGGATAACAATCAACCATGTGTTATCAAGGAGGTCAATTTAACAAAGGTAAATAATCTCTCCTCCCACCTGTCCCAAATGCGCTTACCTTTTAGAGTAATGTTACGTATATCATCTACACTCATGATTCATGACATAGGGAATTAGATATAGTTAGTTTTGGAATGGTTTTATATTTATCCATCTTTATGTATACATGTGTTCAAAACAAAATAAAAAAGTAGATATTTAAATATTCAATACTATATAAATAAAGTCTCTAAATTTCATCTGGGAAAGTGACAGTAATAATCACATGCTTCTCCTTCCTTGTTTCTCAACCAATTTAGATGCCAAGAAAAGAAAAAGAATCCTCTCAGAAAGAAGTCGCTGTTCTGTCCAAGATGAAGCACCCTAATATAGTAGCTTTCTACACTGCCTTTCAAGGTCTCATTTTCTATGGCTTTGTTTGTTTGTTTGTTAAAAAAAACTCTCAGGGTGAGCAGATGCAAAAGAGGACAGGGATTGTGTACCTTTAATAGTTGTGTAGAAGAGGGGTAATCGGAAGGTATTTAAATAAATTATTTCCATCCCAGTGGTGGAAAATTAACAATCTCACAGTGGACCGTTTGTGCCTTTAATTTTGGGTGGTTTAGCTTTTTATGCAGAACCATGAACAGTTGCTCCTTGCACATGTTTGAAAGACACAGGATCACTACATATTTCCTTTGCTTCTAGTTACCCTAATGCTGTGTATACCTAGTGTAGGGTGGGGGTATCTGTAATATCAGTATATTGGAGATAGCCAGATCTTAATCTGTTTGGCATAGAATATGTGTCTCGGTGTTGCGAGCCTAAGAATTTGGGGTCTTTAGTTGAAATCACTATTACCTGACTGCACTGCTCATAGAAGGAACCATGTACAAACATTAAACTTTAAATGACTTTAAGCATTTTTTGAAATAGTGATGGTGGCAAGATTTATTTTTTTTAAAAAAACACTGATTTATTGCTTCGGTTAAGTTTGCTATACCAGTTGCCATGAAAGCAGTTAATTGCTGTATTTGTAAATACAAAGTTTGTTCATAAGCCTAATATACTTTTATTACAGAGAAAAATAAGTTATATATTATTATGGAATATTGTGATGGAGGTGACCTTATGAAGAGGATAATTTTGCAGCGTGGAGTGTTATTTGATGAGGACAAGGTAAGTTTGCATTTTGAAGAACTGCCTTTTTTACATTCTTCCATTCAATTATTTATCACAGAAAAAAGGACAACGAGGAGATTGGCATCCTGCCTTTCATTTTCTTTTATTTACCAAGTCATTAAGGTAAAGGTAAAGGGACCCCTGACCATTAGGTCCGGTCGTGACTGACTCTGGGGTTGCGGCGCTCATCTCGCTTTATTGGCCGAGGGAGCCGGCGTACAGCTTCTGGGTCATGTGGCCAGCATGACGAAGCCGCTTCTGGCGAACCAGAGCAGCGCACGGAAACGCCGTTTACGTTCCCGCCAGAGCGGTACCTATTTATCTACTTGCACTTTGAGGTGCTTTCGAACTGCTAGGTTGGCAGGAGCAGGGACCAAGCCACGGGAGCTCACCCTGTCGCGGGGATTCGAACTGCCGACCTTCTGATCGGCAAGTCCACAGAGCCACCCGCGTCCCTTCACCAAGTCATTAGTGCCATAATAATTTGTGCCTCTGGCAGAGTGATCAGGGATGAGAGGGAGATCCAACAACATCCAGAGAACCACAGGTTCCCTGCTCTTCTTTAAAAAGCTGGCCTCAAACTGAGGTCCTGGGTGCAAATTTTGGATTGAAGTTGAGGGCGCTGGAACAGATGGACCTATCGTGGACTGGGCTTACTTAGAACTACAGAGAGTGAAGCGTGCCTGCTACTCAGGGTGAGTGGTTAGGAAGTTGTTTGACTCTAATCCCAGAGATTCTATTAGCTAGATGTCTAAATGTCTAAATGTATCTTCTGACCTTGTAGAATAGATAGTTGTGTCCAGGTTATATGTCAAGAGTGAGGTTGGAATCCCTATTTCCTGCTTTTTGACGAAGAGATGTATATCTTATTTTTTTCTGATATCTACTGTATACAATATTAAATTCATCATTTTTTACTGGCATGTGTATGTTTTAAAGGAAGTCCCCTCCCCCCCCGGTAGAAATCACAGTGGTGGTGGTTTATGGGGTATTCACATTTTATCTTTGCCTATAGATCTTGAGTTGGTTTGTGCAAATCTCCTTAGGACTGAAGCATATACATGACAGGAAGATTCTGCACAGAGATGTAAAAGCACAGGTAAGTCAAAGGGGGAGTGCCTTTTCCCAGTTGCGGTTGGTATGTCAACTACAACTGTTCTTGGACAGGGATCCATTGCTGTCACTTGAGGCTCAGGTGACTGCAGTGGCACAGCGCACCTTCCATCAGCTTCAACTGGTGGCCTAGCTGTGCCCCTATCTGGATAGGGATAGTAAGCAATCTGGCTGCAAAACAGTTTGAGCATATAACACCACTCCAGGCTGACTGCACTGGCTGCCAAGTTTTGACTTATAAAGTATGGTGGATTCCATTTTTATGGAACTCCCTTCCAGTTGACAAACACCCTCCTTGTTGAACTTCCAGTGCCTACTGAAGCCTTTATTTCAGCAGCATTTTAACTGAATTCTGATCTTGCAGTTTTAAACAATCGTTATTTTCATACTTGTACGCTGCTTAGAGTCAGCTGTGATTAAGCGGTATATAAATCATCACTTTTATGGATTGCAGAACATTTTTCTCAGCAATAATGGAGTGATAGCAAAACTTGGAGACTTTGGGATTGCGAGAATGCTGAGCAAGTAAGCACTATTTTATGGACTCTCAATATTGTTCTTTCCGTGCTATGTCTGAAAAGGATTACTTTGTTTTAGATAGTGAAATGTTTAGAGAGTGGGATGTAGACTGGTCTTATTCTGACGCTAACTCTAAACAATGATTTATCCTTATTTTTATTTATAAAATTCATACACTGCTTGATTGTAAAAAAAATACCTCAAAGTGGTTTACAATAAATGAAGAGAAGAGGTTGCATCAAGCACCATTTATTTAAGGGCAATAACCATGTTCACCATGGTTCTTTGGAAGATAAAGGTGGTATATAAATGTAAAAAATAAATAAATGAGGGTAGCAAATTAAAAGCTTCCAAATTCAGTTTTGAATAAACTGCAGTTTCCTCTTATATCTAAACTAGGGAAACAATGGTTTAGTCTAACAGATTATTAAGCAAACTGATCTTAAATCACATTTTTTGATCCTGGTTTATTTGAGGGTTCCTATGTCACTGTTGGTTGGAATACAGATTTTCTGTTGCAAGTTGAAATGTATAAGTATGTTCTAATTTGTTCCTGGAGTTTCCAAATGATGAATTGATGTAGGCATGTATAGTTGCTTCCCCCGCCCCAATTTCCCTATATATAACAAACTTACTGGTCAAAACCATTATTTTTCAACGTTGTTTTCCTTTAGTACTATGGAATTTGCTCGGACCTGTGTAGGAACACCATATTACTTGTCACCTGAAATCTGTGAGAACAAGCCGTATAACAACAAAACGTGAGTCTGAATATTTCTGACGCACATATTTCAACCACATCATGGGAGGAATTCAGTGTTGTCATGGGTTTGAGCCCCATGTTGGGCAAAAGGATTTGTAGCTTCAAGAACACTGTCCAACCATCTCGTCCTCTGTCGTCCCCTTCTCCTTGTGCCCTCAATCTTTCCCAACATCAGGGTCTTTTCCAGGGAGTCTTCTCTTCTCATGAGGTGGCCAAAGTATTGGAGCCTCAGCTTCAGGATCTGTCCTTCCAGTGAGCACTCAGGGCTGATTTCCTTAAGAATGGAGAGGTTTGATTTTCTTGCAGTCCATGGGACTCTCAAGAATCTCCTCCAGCACCATAATTCAAAATCATCAATTCTTCGGTGATCCTCCTGCTAGACAACTGGAATTGCCCCATAAGAAGGCCTTTTTTCAGGAGTGGATAGTAAATCTCTTACTTGTAGGTTTTGCCTCTGCCTTCCAATGGCCTGTCTCCCCAGGCACTCCTAGCTTACATGTTGGACATGCCATGTCCCAAATGTGAAAAACCTTTGCTCTTAGAGATTTGCCAAGCTCATATGATTGAAGGATCCTCTCACCAGCCCAACAGGCATTCATTGTCATGAAAACATGAAATCTACTGAACATCATGGGTGATCCTTACATATTGCAAGTAATACTGAGACTTCTCTCTCTGAGGCTGACTATGTATTTAGAAGCTTAACTGTTCTATTTCTCTTTTATGCAACTTCTCTGTCATCCTTTATATATCCATCCTTATTATTAAGAAAGCTTCTTAATTTGGAACCTAGGATGTGACCATAAATTTTGTGAATTGTATTTGTTTTTCAATGAACAGTATGAAATAGTTTATTGACTGCATAGTTGAGATGGATATTCTTGTTTTACAATGTTTCCCCACCCCATACTGTGATTTCTTTCTTTTACAGAGATATATGGTCCCTTGGCTGTGTATTATATGAACTCTGTACTTTAAAGCACCCTGTAAGTACATTAGCAGACTATTTGTAAATCGTTTAATATAATATTTACTAAGAATGAACATTTTTCAAGTGGAACTTTTCAAAGGCAGCAGTTAGTATTGTAACTTTCAATGCTTCTAAATCTTAGACAGCTTAGGAAGGATATTATAGATCTGAGGGGGTTTTTCCTGGGCCACATGGTGATATTTTCCCCAGAAAAGATGCTGAGTCAACATTTTTATTTAAACATCACATTTCACTTGGCAGCTACTATTCATGGCTGTATTTTAATATTTCAGTTTGAAGGCAAGAGTTTGCCTCAACTTGTGCTGAAGATCTGCAGAGGCTATTTCTCACCAGTATCTATGAAGTATTCATATGAACTAAGAACATTAGTATCCCAGCTGTTTAAAACAGCTCCAAGAGATCGCCCTTCTATCAACTCCATTTTGAAAAAGCCCTTTTTGGAGAAACAAATAAAGAATTTTCTGCCCCCTGAGGTGAGTGTCTGCTGTGGCTGCAGACAATCCAAACAAATGAGAAAACCCTTCCCTGGTAACCTTCACACTCCCTTCTGCCTCTTTTCACTTTGCACATGGTAGTCACATTTAAGGTGAATGTATAGAATTTACATTCGAGGAGTGGGATTGTCTGACATCAATTGCTGCTAATGCTTGCTTTCCGCAGGAAAATGTATTTATTAACTGAATTTATTAAAGAAGCCCAGAGTGGTAAACACCAAAGTGGTAAAACAGGGTGATTAAAAATAGAAATATATTTCCAAACAATGAAGAATATTTTTAAATAGTTGCTGGGAATGGTATCTCTGAGCCATCAAATGCCCAGGTGAACAGAAATGTTTCTGAATGCTTTCTGAAGGTTAATAACGAGGGAGAAAGAAACACCTCACGAAGGAGGACATTAAGCAAATGGGGAACCACCACCAAAAAGGGCCTGTCATGGGGTAGTGCCAACTGGACAGCACCCAGCACCACCACCACCACCACCAGGTCATCCCCTACTGATTGTAGGGCCCCAAAATACCGTATTTTTCGCTCCATAGGGCGCACCGGACCATAGGGTGCACCTAGTTTTTAGGGGGGAAATAAAGAAAAAAAATTCCCCCCCAGCCCCAAAGAGCAAAGAAGCCAAGACAGCCAGCGGGATCCATCCCGCTGGCTGTCTTGGCTTCCTCTTTAGGCACGCACAACCTCTCCAGCCGGGAGAGGCTGCGCGCGGCTTCCCCCGACCCCAGCCCCCAGAACAGGTCCGGGAGCGGAGGCAAGGTTGTGCAGCCTTGCCATCGCTCCCGGAGCTTGCGGGCTGGGGGAACGCTCCGAAGGTTTGCGGATAGCTGCCTGAAGCCCGGGGAGCGCAGTGGGAGTTGGCACTGCGCTCCCCGGGCTTCGGGCTGCAGGCTGCAATCTGCAAGCCTTCGGAGCCCGGTGGGTACTAGTGAATCACCACTTAGCAAAGATGCAGCATAGATAGATAGATAGATAGATAGATAGATATGCATGTGTGTGTAATCTGTTATATTTGCTTTTAGATCATGGAGGAAGAATTCAGCCACACCGTCATTCACAGAAAACGGTCACTAGATTCACTGCCATCAGGCAAGCTGTTGCTCACTAAGGTTTATATATACATATATATAAATGAAAGCATAATGCTTGAGAGAGAGAGAGAGAAATTTGTTTTAAATGGGTATTGGTACTGAGATAATTAGTCAAATTTCAGTGAAGATGCTGTATAATGAATATGCATGTTCCTTCCCCTTGGGGACACAGTGGCATCAAAACTATTGAGCAGATGCGTGTTACTGAATAGGGCTCTAGTTTATGGGTTATGCTTTCAAGGTGGTGGCCCCATTCTGCTGGTGCTGTAAGTAAGAAGTTGGATCAAGAGGTATTTTAATTATGTATTTATAGAAATATTTATATAACACTAATTAATAAACAACATATCAAAGTGGTTCAGAACTACATAAAGCCATAAATTAAAAAGCATATAAAAAGATAAAATCAGTTAACTACTGAGGTAGTATGTATTCTTAATTGCCTGCATAAGCCGACGGAATCGGAAAGTTTTCAGCAGGCATTTAAAAATCGAAACAGAAGAGGCCTGCTGAATCTCTGTTGGCAGAGTATTCCACAGAACTGGGCTGGTGACGCTAAAAGCTTGGTTTCTTGTTGTTGTCGAATTAGCCTCGCCAGCTTGGGGGAATGATCAGCAGCAACACTCGTGCAATGATTGAGCTGGGATATAATGGTATAGCTCTTAAGATCACAGAACTGCTTTAGTCAGGTGTAGTTTTCTCTCCAAGAGAGTGAAACTTTAGTTTATATATTGTTTATAAGTGTTGCACTCAAATAAATTCAGGCCTCTGATTCTGTCATCTAAAATGTAAAACATGGGTAGAATTATTGTTGTTGTTTAGTCATTTAGTCGTGTCCGACTCTTCGTGACCCCATGGACCAGAGCACGCCAGGCACTCCTGTCTTCCACTGCTTCCCACAGTTTGGTCAAACTCATGCTGGTAGCTTCGACAACACTGTCCAACCATCTCGTCCTCTGTCGTCCCCTTCTCCTTGTGCCCTCAATCTTTCCCAACATCAGGGTCTTTTCCAGGGAGCCTTCTCTTCTCATGAGGTGGCCAAAGTATCTGTCGTTCCAGTGAGCACTCAGGACTGATTTCCTTAAGAATGGATACGTTTGATCTTCTTGCAGTCCATGGGACTCTCAAGAGTCTCCTCCAGCACCATAATTCAAAAGCATCAATTCTTCAGCGATCAGCCTTCTTTATGGTCCAGCTCTCACTTCCATACATCACTATTGGGAAAACCATAGCTTTAACTATACGGGCCTTTGTTGGCAAGGTGATGTCTCTGCTTTTTAAGATGCTTTCTAGGTTTGCCATTGCTTTTCTCCCAAGAAGCAAGCATCTTTTCATTTCGTGACTGCTGTCACCATCTGCAGTGATCATGGAGCCCAAGAAAGTGAAATCTCTCATTGCCTCCATTTCTTCCCCTTCTATTTGCCAGGAGGTGATGGGCCCAGTGGCCATGATCTTGGTGTTTTTGATGTTGAGCTTCAGACCATATTTTGTGCTCTCCTTTTTCACCCTCATTAAAAGGTCTTCTTTCACCCTCATTAAAAGGTAGAATTATTACTTTGCTGTTATAAGGTAGCATTAATTTTATGCATCTTCTAGTAAAAGGTGGGCCAACGTATTGCCAGTGTATTGTGTGCAAACCACAGAGGCGAACACTACACCCTTTCCCTGATGAGGTAGACTAAGATGGTGGTAGGTACTTCAGTAAGCATTGTTCAGGAGTAATTCTCATTACCTGTGTGCTCACATTTTGGAGCATATTTAATTGGAGCCGAACTGCACATTTGGTGCCAAACAGGATTCCCAACTCAGTGTATGCTGCTGGTCATTCTGGGGTTTTGAAGGGGAGGGGCATAGGAGTATGATACTGGAAATAATTATCAAAACCTTATTTAATTGAATTATCAAAGGAGCTCCTGAAGTTCAGAAATCAAGAATCCATGATCGTCATTCACCCAAAATCAAGCTGGAGATGCTTCCCAGAAAACAAGAAATAATGTATGAAAATGAATGGAAAGCTCCTTCAAGGCCCCAGGATCCTATTAATCAGGTAATAATAATAAAAATAGTAATTAAAGTTCTCTTGGTATTTACCATATTTTCCCGTGTATAAGACCAGGTTTTTTCCCTTAAAAATAATGTCAAAATTAGGGGGTGTCTTATTCATGGATACATCTCCCCCCCATTTGAGTCCCCCAAAAGAGGGGGTGTCTTATAGATGGAAAAGTACAGTAATTATTTAATAGAGTTATTTATTTGTCATGTGCTTTCACTTTGCAGCAGTAAAGGTAAAGGTAAAGGGACCCCTGACCATTAGGTCCAGTTGTGGCCGACTCTGGGGTTGTGGCGCTCATCTCGCTTTATTGGCCGAGGGAGCCAGCGTACTGCTTCCGGGTCATGTGGCCAGCATGACTAAGCCGCTTCTGGCGAACCAGAGCAGCGCACGGAAACGCTGTTTACCTTCCTGCTGGAGCGGTACCTATTTATCTACTTGCACTTTGACGTGCTTTCGAACTGCTAGGTTGGCAGGAGCAGGGACCGAGCAACGGGAGCTCACCCCGTTGTGGGGATTCGAACCGCCGACCTTCTGATCGGCAAGTCCTAGGCTCTGTGGTTTAACCCATAGCACCACCCAGTAGATGGCACTAATTCAGAGATGAGTGACCCTCCAAGTGTTGCTGAACTCCAGTACCCATTATCCCTAAATATTGGTCATGCTGATGGGAGCTGGAGTCTAACACCATCTGGAAGGCCACAGGTCTATTATTCCTGTACCGACTAATTTAACAGTGTTTGACAAATAGTCAAATTAGGGTCAAACTAGATGTGAGGTTTAATGTGTCTTTGAATCTGATTCTGGAATTCTTTTCTTCATTCTGCCCTTGTATTTTTTAAAAATCGAAAAGCAGTTATGAGGCCGTAATCTATATAATGGTCCCTCTTAGCTGCTGTTAGGATTCTCACCTTTTTATTTTAAAAAAAACTAAGTAGCAGATTCAAAGCTATGTTCTGTATCTAAAGGTACCCCTGCCCATACGGGCCAGTCGTGTCCGACTCTAGGGTTGTGCGCCCATCTCACTTAAGAGGCCGGGGGCCAGCACTGTCCGGAGACACTTCCGGGTCACGTGGCCAGTGTGACAAAGCTGCTCTGGCGAGCCAGCACCAGCGCAGCACACGGAAACGCCGTTTACTTTCCCGTTATAAAGCAGTCCCTATTTATCTACTTGCACTTTGATGTGCTTTCAAACTGCTAGGTGGGCAGGAGCTGGGACCGAAAGACGGGAGCTCACCGCGCCGCGGGGATTCGAACCGCTGACCATACGATCGGCAAGCCCTAGGCGCTGAGGTTTTACCCACAGCGCCACCCGCGTCCGTATCTAGTTTGACCTTAAGTCTGTGCCTCTTTAAAGGGATGTGCAAGCCACACTTTGCTGTTACACATCACTCTTGATCCAGATCACACAGTTAACATAAAAAGTCCATGAGCACTTGCAAATTGCTCACTTTTCTTCTTAAAGTTAGGTCAAGAGGAAGGCGTGGCTGCCTAATGAGATTGCCCCAGTGGGGTAGGGAGAATGCTTAGGCACTTGTGGTGTTCAGTTGTTTAGGCCATCAGCAGGCCAAAGGAGTTAATGGGTTCACATGAGATGAATTGATAGGAGTCATAAATATTGTTTAGCAGAATGCTGTGTGCACAGAGAAAGCATAAGGTGCTGGACTATATGGAACTTGCCAAACTGACCGGGAGACTCCGAGACCAGAGAGAAGAGACGGTGGAAGAAGACTGGAAGTAGTTTAAGGAATATTTGAAAAAAATATGTTAATATTTAAATCTTAGAATAGCCTTGGAAGTGGATATAGGCTGTAGGGTTAGAAGTAGAAGATAGTGTATTTTAAAATAATATTATTGGTAAGCGATAAAACGTGAAGTTATTTTAAGTGTGATTAAAAAAAAAGATGGCTAGAAACTATGATATATGTAAACTGCTAAAGATGAAGTAAAATGAAAATCAGATAGGTGGGACTTGGGGAAGACCACTTAACAATGTTTAGAAAAATAAGGATATGACAAGAATTTGTTTGTATTGTTTGTTTTTCTGTTTGTGTTCTTTATTTGTGTTATAAAATGAATAAAAAAATTTGAAGAAGAAAAAGAGAAAGCATAAGGCGCAGCACAAGCAGAAGAATGGGAAATGGAATATGTTTGCTATTTTATGTTTATACCCCGATTCTCATCAGAAAGGTTGAGTCTTGAATGAAGTTCTCAGCAGTCTTGTGTCCAGACACTGATCAGGACCAAACTTCTTCAATTTCAAGAATGGCAGACCCTCCAAGTGCCCTTATTTTCCAGGGACAGTCCCGGATTTACAGAAGTTGTCCTAGTTTCTGATTTGATCCCGGAATGTCCCATTTTTCTTTAGGACATCCCTATTTTCATCCGAGAAACGTTGAAGGGTATGGAGTTATCTGACCCCTGAGCCATCTGAAGGCAGCCCTGTATGCAGAAGTTTTTTTAAATGTTTAATGTTTTTATATATCTTGGAAGCCGCCCAGAGTGACTGGGGCAACCCAGTCAGATGGGTGGGGTATAAATAGTGAAATTATTATTATGGAATAGGACATCCTATTTTCTTCAGAGAAATGTTGGAGAGCACGGAAAAATATACCATTGGGTGCTAATCACTAGACCCAGGAAGTGATATGCTTTAACAATATGATTTAGCAAAAGGATAACTTCAGAGTCAGTGGATTTCTTGCCTTCATCATTTTAATATGTATGATGTTTCCAGCCCTGGGGTCCTCGGTTGAAGATGCGTGGGAAATCAGAAGCTGCCAGAATGAGGGGGCACTATGGCCATTATTATATGAAACTTGAAAACTTGCAGAAAAGGCCCTTTGAGCAGGGTGATGATCCTTGTATCAGCGAAAGATTGGAAGAGTATTATAAGCAGAAAGGACAAAAACCACCACCACCACCACCTCACTGGTAGGGTGTTTTTCCTTGAATATTGATACTTCTCATGATTTTGACAGGGGTATTCTTGACTGTGTAAGAATTGGTAAGATTTTCTTTGCTTGCTTGCTTGCTTTCAGTTTGATCCCACACCAAATTAGGTAAGCTAAAGCCCATTGACTTCAAGCTCATGTTCAAATTTGAAATTCTGAAGTCATACTGAATACGAGCAGGTTTGTCTGCAACGTATGTTGTGGCAGCAACATTTATTTTATTTATTGCATAACATTTATATACCATTCAATTGTAGCAAAACTTCAAAGCGGTTGGCAAAAAGAATAAAAACAACACAATCAGTTTTTAAAAGTTACAAAAATATTTAAAACATTTAAAAAAAAAATTAGCAACAAGCCAAAACCAGATTAAAACAGCATCGACTAGTCTAGATAGACTTGCCTAAACAAAAATGTTTTTAGCAGGTGCCGAAAAAAGTACAGTGCCTATCTGGTATCAGTAGACATGGAGTTTCAAAATATGAGTGCTAAGATGCTAAAAGATAAATTTCTTACAAGTGCAAAACAATACATGTCACCTGTAACAGTGCCCGTCCCTCAGATGGAATTGATCCTGTGGGCATATATGGGGTTGATGATTATTCAGCTTCAGGTGGGGAGAGTATGGGATTGCTAGACCATTTATGACTGAAAAATAGAGAAGCAGCGTGAAAAGATTAGACTTCCAATTTAACCTTTTAATCTATAGTTTTTGTATTCAGTAGAGTTTGCTAATAAAACTTGGAATCCCGCTTCAGATTTTCGCTGATGTTCCTGTTTCTTCCAGGCCTGCAGAATATCTTCAGAGACGATACAATGCCCAGCAATACAAGATAAAAGTAGAGAAGCAACTTGTAAGCATTTTTCCCAATAAGATAGAATAACAAACTGAAACCGATAAGCAAATAGAGTGATATTTAAAAATGCACTAGCATGGAAAAAAACTCCAACTACATTTTACTTTTCCATTCAGTGGGGTGGGTTCAGAAATGTTTACATTTTGTATGTTTCCATTATTTTGCATATAGGGATTGCGCCCATCTTCTGCTGACCGGCAGTATTTTCAAATGCAGAATCAGGAGATGAAGGAAGAGCAGTTGAGAGCTCTTGCTCAAAAAAATAAAATGAAAGAACAGGTAAGAAAGAGCAATGTTAGTGCTCCCTTGGGCTAGGAATCATAGAGTCTTGTTGTTGTTGTTGTTTAGTCATTTAGTCGTGTCCACCTCTTCGTGACCCCATGGACCTGAGCAGGCCAGGCACTCCTGTCTTCCACTGCCTCCCACAGTTTGGTCAAACTCATGCTGGTAGCTTCGACAACACTGTCCAACCCTCTCGTCCTCTGTCGTCCCCTTCTCCTTGTGCCCTCCATCTTTCCCAACATCAGGGTCTTTTCCAGGGAGTCTTCTCTTCTCATGAGGTGCCAAAGTACTGGAGCCTCAGCTTCACGATCTGTCCTTCCAGTGAGCACTCAGGACTGATTTCCTTCAGAATGGATCGGTTTGATCTTCTTGCAGTCCATGGGACTCTCAAGAGTCTCCTCCAGCACCATAATTCAAAAGCATCAATTCTTCGGCGATCAGCCTTCTTTATGGTCCAGCTCTCACTTCCATACATCATTATCTCACCACATCACTACATAGAGTCTTATTATTATGCATAGATCCATGTAAATCTGCTACTGCAAAACCATAGTACAGGCATTCTTTTTAGTATGGGAATACAGGTGGTGTTGCTTTTAAGCACTACCATATTTGTTAGGGCAGAAGTAGTTACACATTTTGGAGCCATTTTGAAGCCATCAGCACTGGCAATTAATGGTGGATTGCTTAGAACTAGTGCTATATCTTCTAGTCTTAGCTTTTGGGGTCTTGCGTGGGGTAGAGCAATCCAAATCTGTGATCCACCGTGCTGGGTTGGATGAGGTGCCCCCTCTACTCAGCTTGCCCAGGTGTGTCATCACAGAGCTCCCAACTACACCTGCTTAAACTACATGTGGTCTGAATGGCAGCATTCTCACTGGCAGAATACTAATGGCAGAATACTAATGGCAGCATTCTTACTGGCAGAATAATAATAATAATAATAATAATAATAATAATAATAATGGGTGGGTTATAAATATTATTATTATTATTATTATTATTATTATTATTATTATTATTTATTATTATTTATAACCCGCCCATCTGGCTGAGTCTCCCCAGCCACTCTGGGCGGCTCTCAATCACATGTTAAAAACAATATAGCATTAAATATTAAAAACTTCCCTAAACAGGGCTGCCTTCAGATGTCTTTTAAAAATAGGATAACCTCTTATTTCCTTGACATCTGAAGGGAGAGTGTTCCACAGGGTGGGTGCCACTACCGAGAAGGCCCTCTGTCTGGTTCCCTGTAGCCTCACTTCTCGCAATGAGGGAACTGCCAGAAGGCCCTCGGCGCTGGATCTCAGTGTCCGGGCAGAACGATGGGGGTGGAGACGCTCCTTCAGGTATACAGGACCGAGGCCATTTAGGGCTTTAAAGGTCAGCACCAACACTTTGAATTGTGCTCAGAAATGTACTGGGAGCCAATGCAGATCTCTCAGGACTGGTGTTATGTGGTCCCGGCGGTCCCGGCAGAAGCTGGCCTAAAGCCCCAATATGGGACATTTTGGGAACAGGGAGAGGGTGGGGAAGGGGCAGAGCTGGGCTGGCCAAGGTAGCCAGCCCAGCTACCAGTAAGTTGTTGTAGTAGGCCTGATCTAGGCCTCTCCACTGAAGTTTTCTCCCCCCACACCCGGCAAACTGGCATGATTGGCAGAGCTCCAGCAGCAACTCCACTATTCTATCAAGCCCCTTTGCTGCCAGGAGTTTGGATTGCTCTTTTACTTATTTTAGGTGTTCTCAAAGGCTTTGGCCTTTGTTTATTTAATATGCCACCTATCAGTTCGGCAGCTACTGAGATAAATTTATTATTATTATTGAGCAGACCACTTCATGCAAGTGAAAGGTCATTTAGTTCCCAAAGTAGTGTGCCGTCATGCTTTGGAAGCTTCTGTTTAAGAAAGGCGTAAAATATTCATAGTAGTGTGTGTGTGTGTGTGTGTGTGTGTGTGTGTGTACTGATATTTGCTAAAGTCCTTTACACATCATATAAGCTCTCCTGAACACAATGGAATTCCTGAATGGACATGCATAAAAATTTGCTGTTAACGTACATATTACTGATACATCATGTTGCTTCTAAAGTGGGTACACATTTTTTAAAAATCTGATAATGTTTAACAGGAATACCTGAAACAGCTGAAGAAGATTCGTCAGCAGTACCACAGTGAAGTAAATGAAATTAGACGTAAAGCAGAATCTCTAGAGGTAAATTTCACTGCACCGAACCTTTACTAGAGCTTTCTCACACTTCCCTTTCCAAGATGTGGAAAATGATAGTAATTATGCTGAAGTTGTTTATCCTTCTATTTAGACTATTGTAGTGGGAGGATTTTAGCAGTTGAAATCCATTCTGCCCCTTTAGTGGTCAATAGGACTGACAAGAGTTTTGGGTGTGAGAGCAAATAGTGTCTAGGATTCAAAGTTCTCACTGCATGCACAAGCAATTCTACACATGTATCACTATTTCTTTCGATTTTTAATTTAATATATTCTTGTTTTAAAGGAGAATAAAAGTATAAAGGACAAAACATATATTGTGAAACAGGGAAAGACTGAGAACCAACCTACTTATAATTATATTATTCCTGGAGGACAAGATGAACCAGTTCAGGTATTAGCAACTCTGTATGGTACAATATGATAGTTGAAATGTTTACATTAATGGAAAAGGTCACAGTTTTTTAACATGGTTGACTGTGCTTTATCAAAATATAATACGAGCATACTTCATTTTTGACTGGAAGTAACTGTGCCTGTTAATTTTTTATTTTTTTATTTTTGTCTTACAAGGATCTTGAGCAAAACCTGAAACAAATTGGAGTACATAACTGGCAGGAGGAAAATTTCCTTGAAAGAAAACACAAAGCAAAGGTTAAAGATAATATTCTTCTCTTCATTTTGTCCAGTCTTTGTATACTGATAGCTCTGAAAATGGGGTTTCAGGTGACTGTGTCAGCCAGTGATGATCATGCATGTGATGGCCATTTCAGGTAAGTGGGAGATATATGCTGTCTTTTCCTATCTTCTTTCCTAATCTACTCTTCCACAAAATCCCATACTGGGGAAGGGAGAGGAAAAACTGAAAGCACATGAGTGGATTGCTGCCTTCCCTTGGACCGGAGGAATGATAATCAGCGTCATCATGCTCTCCTCTGCCTGTATTTCAGATGATGGCATGAGAATTCTTTAAAATATGTCTGTGATAGTTGGTAACTCTGTTTTATTTTCTTCAGGGAGGTGTAAAGTTTCAGATTGATCTGAAAGATGGTGTTTCAGATTTCCAGAAAGAGAAAGAGGTATGGGCTATTGTTATATGTTACACCAGGTTAGCCTAGAAAATGTTTTGGCTGGAGAAAAACAAGCTAAGCCTCATAGTTTGTTATGCTCAAAGAGAGCCGAGATAAGTGATTGAATACCGTGGAGAAGCACACTTCTCATTCATAAAGCCGTAATTTATTTTTGACCGTGGTTTACTGCTGCATGTGGGCCTATGTGCATGAATTGAGTAAGTTCTCTCTTTTTTTTTTTAATGATATTTATTAATGTTTCAAAAAAAGGATACATAAATAAGAGAGAGAAAAAAATAAAAAAAGAAGAATACAAAATACAAAAAAAAAAAACAATTAAAAACAATTCCATCTTTTCATCACTTCTCTTTCATTTACTTATTTCCCGGACCTCCTCATACCTCCCTTTTTTGTATTCCAGTTCAATTTATTAGTCCAGCAATTCCTTTCCCTCCTTTTTAATCCTAATCTTTAATCTTAATATATTATAGCATTAGTTTTTTACGTATTGAAAGTCCAATTTTTCCATATTCTTTTATACCATTACAGCTAGAAACCACTTAACTTCAATCCAACATCATTCTAACATTCATTAATTTTACAATATTTCTGTAAGTAGTCTTTAAATTTCTTCCAATCTTCTTCCACCGACTCTTCTCCCTGGTCTCGGATTCTACCAGTCATTTCCGCCAATTCCATATAGTCCATCATTTTCATCTGTCATTCCTCCAGTGTGGGTAGGTCTTGTGTCTTCCAATGCAATAAGTATTCTTGCTGCTGTTGTAGCATACATGAATTGAGTAAGTTCTCAATGTACATTGTTTCTTTTGATATTAGGAATGTGATAAACTTAATGAAGCCCTAACTTTTGAAGATGGAGAAAACCTTAAGAAAAAACTGACAAACATCTGTGATGATTATATAGACAAAGCACTGCTAGAACTACAGTGTTGGGAAACAGGTGTGCTTCTCTAAACTGCTAGACTTTTTGGAGTGCTGTTCCCATTATTCATTTTCAGTTACATTCCTTCATGATCTTTCTGTTGCTCATATTATATAAACCTATATTTCTTAGAGCTTATTTGTATAACTTTTGTTTGTTTTTGTTTTGGGCATACAATGATACTGTCTTGTCACCATGCACCTGATCAGCTCAGTTTTTTTGTTTGTTTTGTTAGGCCAGTGATAATATGTAATCAGTATATAACAAGAATGGGTTCCATGCATAACTTCATTACAATATATGTGCTGAAAAATCAACCAATGGACCTTTGTGTCTCATAATTAACACCAGATTTTTATCCATTTAGATTTAAAAGCAATTGAAGGTAATCTCCTTTCCCTTAGGTGGTGACAATGAAGATGATGCCATAGTAAACAGAAAACACTGGCAAACATCAGTCCCACAGACTCTTCTGAATCTTCTAGAAAATGCAGATATTTCCTCTACATCCACTACCATGGATGAAGCAGGTAATCTCTTGGGAAGCATTTTCTCAGTGTTACTGACTCCACTTGGTTCTTTTACATGTGAAATACAGTGGGCATTTCAGAAGGGTGCTGTACTGTGACCTGAAATATCATTTCCTTAGTTCCCAAAGTGCAAGAGAGGCATCCCTAAAAAATCACCGTATTTTTCGCTCTATAAGACGCACCAGACCACAAGACGCACCTAGTTTTTCGAGGAGGAAAACAAGAAAAAAAATATTCTGAATCTCAGAAGCCAGAACAACAAGAGGGATCGCTGCGCAGCGAAAGCAGCAATCCCTCTTGCTGTTCTGGCTTCTGGGATAGCTGCGCAGCCTGCATTCGCTCCATAAGACGCACACACATTTCCCCTTACTTTTTAGGAGGGAAAAAGTGAGTCTTATAGAGCAAAAAATACGGTACTTGTGAGTGCTAAGCTAGACTATGAGCAGGTGGTTTCCTGACCATTCCTAGCCTAGTGTGCTTGCTCAGAGCTATTTTAATTCTATGTTTTGTCTGAAAAGGTCTGCAACCCCTGCTCTGTTCCCTCCCTATCTCTATAGTCATCATCCATTCAGCTGTTTTCCGAAATGGTTCATGAACCTCCTAACCCACCAGAGGCCCCTAAGACTTGTTTTGTCTTAGTTTAGAAATACTTTACACTGTCATCTTCCTGTCCTTCAAATATTTTGTCTTTGGAAAAAATGTTCCATAGTGCTGTTGCCTGAGCAAAAGTGTCGGCAAATGAATGCACCTTTGTAGAAGGGTGAATTATGATTACAGTGGTACCTCGGGTTAAGAACTTAATTTGTTCTGGAGGTCCGTTCTTAACCTGAAACTGTTCTTAACCTGAAGCCCTACTTTGGCTAATGGGGCCTCTTGCTACTGCTGTGCCGCCAGAGCACGATTTCTGTTCTCATCCTGAAGCAAAGTTCTTAACCCGAGGTACTATTTCTGGGTTAGCGGAGTCTGTAACCTGAAGCGTCTGTAACCCGAGGTACCATTGTACAGGAGCAAGAGAGGAAGCAAAAGGCAGAAAGTTCTTGACATTTGGAGGTGAAATGCAGTGGGGCTAGTTTTACATGAAAACCTTGCTAATGCAGAGTGAGTGAACAAATATGTATTATTATTTCTCAGTGGGCCAGGTTAGCTTGATGCCTCCAGAATTCTCTGAAAACAGGAGAAAATGGAGCCAAGAATCACCTGGGACACTGATGAACATGCTAGCTGAAGCAGAATGCTCCAGTGACACTTTGTGCCAAGCCGAAGAACACGGTAAGTTGCTACTTACATATTTTGCTACTTGATAGTCACATCTGAGATTTATTTGACATTGCGTGCAGCTACTGAATATATCAGTGCACTTAACCTATGCACAACAAGCACACAGATTGAGGGGGAAGCTTGAACTGCCCTAAAACAGACAGTATCTGTGTAATGTTCATACCTCAGTACACAATACTGAGCATAAAGAAAACAACAGGAGGATGGTTTTAAAACAATCAGTCATGATATTTTTAACGTACCATGATATAAAGACAACATGTATGCTTGAAGTAAATGGGGAAAGTTGCTGTGGCGTTCATACGGAGCCCCCAGTCGTCTCACGGACTATTGACCTGTACACCACTAATCCGCTGCCACCAACCAGGTCCTCCCTGGTAAAATCACTTCAGTCTCAGTCAGCTTTTCAATTAATAAAGAAGAGTGTATTTTATTTCAGACACAAACAAAACTTTTACAGCATTCCAAACGTTGTTGCTCTTTACTTTCTTAGTCTTATTTTCCTCTGTCTCTTCTATCTCCCCACAGTCAAGAACCCACTGCCCTAACTGTCTCTCTATTACCAACTGCCTTTCCCAACCAGCCAACCCACGAAATCCAACCAGCTACCCACCACAACTCCCAACGAACTCCTTCCACAACTAGTTTTATAGACCCACTGACTCCACCCCCCGGGTCCTGTCTGTGCAACCTATTTAACTATTTCCCCTCCAGCACTCTCTCATATATGTTAATGTCACAGTTGCCTACAGTAAAATTGTGCCCAAATATCTTATACAACCAATTATCGCTTGCAGGATAAATTGGAAAGTTAAGAAGCTTCACGGTAATGAAACGATGTGAAAGATCGTCTAGTAATTCCAAACTTAATAATGCCTATCCAGGACCTTATGAGAATGCTGTAGAGCAGGCTTCCTCAACCTCGGCCCCCTAGATGTTTTGAGACTGCAATTCCCATAATTCCTGTTCACGGGTCCTGCTAGCTAGGGATCATGGGAGTTGTAGGCCAAAAACATCTGGAGGGCCGAGGTTGAGGAAGCCTGCTGTAGAGTCTTATATATTTTTCAATTCCAGCAGAAGGCTTGGTTCACGGTGTTTCAAGCAGAATTATTCCTCACTGAGCTTAGGAGGTTTGGTGTCCTGCATATTAAAAAAGGTGGTTTCATCGAATCCTTGCTGAGCAAGGGGCCACCTCTATCAGGCTAGCAATAGTGACCCCTTATCCACTAACCCACCTGGAAGTACCACTTCACACAAACAGAGAGAGTGCCTTTATGCAAGTGTGGCCTAGTCCCATTGTGAATTTGGAAGCAGACCCACATTTGGAAGGCAGTTCTCTGTGGGCTACCTCATGTGAACTGGCCCCATATATTTAGATTAGATTAGCATCAGGCATAAACCAAATAGCTATCCTCCTTGCTGTAAATTCAAAGTGGCTTACAATCTTAAAAACACAATAAAACCAACTAAAACATTTTCTGCTTCAGAGGAGACGGTAACCCCATGCACTCCAAAAAATGATGAAGCTGATTCAGAAGCGAGTTCTGAATCAGAAGTGGATGCTGCTGTTGAAGTGGATGAAGAAAGGCTTGATCCAAGATCTGATGACGATGATACGTAAGTTGGCCTTTGCTTCTTTGACACTATCAGCGTAACATAAAAGACTCTTAAGTAACAGCATTTTTGAGCTGTTGAAACCTTTAGATTTGTGACAAATGTATAGAATGGGGAGAATCAGCAACCTCACCAATTTAATAGCATAGTTCTGTCTAGATAAATTAGTGTAATTGCTAAAAACCAGCATGCTGTTTGCTTTGAAAGGTGTCTAACTTACACTTAAGCTCATGTTTGATATAAAGTACTGACAGTGGGCAAACTGATAATTTAGTAAAAATAGGTTGACTAGCAAGCTTGGTGAAGCTAAAACTCCAGAACTGAATACTTGGCTCTCAGTCTCAACATTGTGTGAACCAACATTGAAGGATGAAAAACAGGAGGAACAGCAAATACTTTCATACTGCTCTTTGCTGACTCCTACTATGAGGTCTCCCTTGAGCCAAAAAGTTTTAGGTACCCCTGGCTTAAACCAATAGCACTTTCAGACAGTCCTGCTGATTCCTTAAAAGCTGATGAGATGGGAACTCTGTGCGCTCACAACTGTGTAGGGCCCCATTAACACATAAACCAGCTCTCTTTTTCAAAAAAACTTTTTTGATAAATATTGGCCAGTTTAGAAATTCAACATTATGATAACTTGATCAAGAATCGTAATAGCCATTTTATCCTATTAATTTAATCTGTTAATGCAGAAACTTTGAAGAATCTGAGGATGAATTGAGGGATGAACTGGTAGAATCCCTGGAAAAAGTAGTAACATCTCTTCAAGAGGAGATTATAAAAGCCCCAGCTGAAACAGAAGACACAGATGAACTGAAAAAAGAAGCAGTATCCAATGGTAACCTTAAATCCACTGAAAGTTTGGAAGAGGATATTAACCTGACTACAGACAAACAGGAAGGAACAATCAGTTAACACTCTCTTGGCAAATAGTTCCTTAAGAATGACTGGTAGCTAGCGGAGTGTGTTTTAAGAAATGGTGATCTCTTTCTAGGCTTATCAACAACTATTTGGGACCATAATTACAGAGGTGAGAGGTACGGTCCAGGTAGTGCAAGGCAGTTCAGTTTAACCAACTTTACATGACTGGTTCCCTGCCTTCCTGCATTTTGACATTATCCCCAGAGCCTTTACAGCATTTAGTTCCTCATTCTCCAGTTGCGTATTATAATGTTACTTAGATATAAAAACATCATTAGGGATTTGCAGCCCAGAACAAGTCGAGGTCTTGATATGGAAGCATTTTATTAATCTTTCCCCCACAAGTCTTACTCAGCTAGAGACCTTGCAGCATAGCCTATAGAATAGAATGGTGTTTTTTTTAATGGGAATGTCACCATGGCTATTTCCCTTGCATGTCTCCAAGGGTTGTCTTATAGTGGAGGAGTCAGTATGGAGGAACTCTTTCCTCTTTTGAGGAACTACTGTCACTCCCAGGTACCACTGCTTGCAGTTCAGGATTATAGGATGTGTGGTCTAGCAACAGTTAAGGAAGGCTGGTGTTTTGTTTATAGCTGTATGTTTAGGGCTGCTATAGATCAGTCATCATCACACACACCTTGTGTGATTTCTTATGCTGATGCCTTACCAGATTTAACCAGCAGGATAAGAAATCTTTATTGAAGCTGTTCTACTGTAGACTGCCTTGGGGCGTAGGTGATCATTCGTGATTAAATGCCCCTCCCAAAAAATGTAATTGACACTAAACTCCATGTTAAGGCAGCTGTGGGGAACCTCTAGCCCTCCAGATGCTGCTGAACTACAACTCCCATCATCCCTGGCCATGGCCAAAGGTTACCCACCTAGCTTTTACCTAATGTGAGGGTTTTCTGTTATAGAGAATTTAGTTTTGTGAGCTTTTGTCCCTATACTGAAGTAGAGCCTAGACTATATATATAATTTGACTTTCCAGGATCATTTTCATTGTACACTACTTCACAACTTGATAGCATACAATTCTGGTTGATGTTCAGAATCCACTGAGTCCTCCAAGGACAGCCTTTTCATGACTCTGTATTTATTATGCCAAGCAGATCATTGAAATGGGAAGAAACTTTTTAGAAATAAGTTATGGGGAAAATAATCTGGGACAAATGTAGATTCAAAACTTGATGCCACAAATTCAATTTAAGATTAAACAGCTTGCTCTTTTAAGAAGCTAGGACTGAGTTGTCACCACTGGAAGCTGCTGTGTATATTTTGTAATATGATTATTCAGCCCAGCTACTAGATCCTTAAGCATATTATGTATCATTTCATACCTGCTTGTGTCTATGTCTAAGTTTGGGAGCATATTCTGTCAGACTGTCATACAGGAATAAGATACCCTTTATTGTACAATAGAAATACAGCAACTGTATATACATAACGACTTATGTCCAGGTATCTATGTACAAAAAATTATTTAAATAATTGTTCCACAGATAACAGAAATGTTTCCTCAAATTCTTGTTCTGCAAATCTCTTCACTGACTGACGAGCAGTTTGTCTGATTTCTAGCCTTTTTGTAGGAGGCAATGAAAATATATAGGCCATAGTATCTGCATAGTCGTCTTCATTTTCTGCTAGAAATCCAGTAATATTTCCTTCATAGGGCACCACAATATCCAGCTTGGGGCCTCCAGAATTGTGAGCAAGGATAATTGTGCCAGCTGCCATACATTCAACAATTCCTATATGAGACAAAACAAGCTATTGTTAACTACAGTTCTCACCAATAACTAAGGATTTTAGTGTCACTTTAAAAGCATGAAGGAAAACAAAATAGGCTGGATCCTGAGATCCCACCCACAGAAAAAGGTACTCCTCACACTGTTACAGAACAGAGGGGAAGCAGATTTTGGGAACTGCAAAGGGAGGGTCCCTGAAAATCTTTTCCAGGAGTATGAGATAGTATAGGAAGTGGAATCACTAACCGCTTCTGTTAAGAGCACAATTTCTTGGTAGAAGAAGTGATATGACATTGGTTCAAAACCATAATGTGTACAAAATGGAAATGGTGACCTGTTTGCATTCTGCAGCAAAATAGATCCCAAAAAATGATCCAGCAAAAGCGGCTGTCAGAATGATTGTCACAGGGATATGCAAAACCGTATCATGATGTGCACACACAGTTTTGCGGAAAAGAGGCAACTTGTGACCTCTGCTGGCTCATTGAGAAGATTAGACATGTAAGTAGGATTTCTCTCAGCATCTGCATTCAGTGATGATAGTGAATTCCTCTTGAGCTTACAGCTTATGCTGACAGTTTTCAATTTTTGAAAGGGATACAGGGAGGGGGGAGAGAGCAACTGATTTCCCTTACAATGAAGGATAAAAATAGATGAAGAAGCCATGATTGTAACCTGGGAAAAGATAAAAGTCGTTCCTGTGAGAGTTCAGCACTGGAACAAACAGCCAAATGAGTTTGTAGAATTTCTCTCCATTAAGATTAGGATTCAATATGCTGGTCAGGCATTATGTTTGGATATTTTTTAGGGTGTGATGTGCAATAAGGAAAAGAGATAATACTAGGTTGGATCCCTTCCAAATTTACAGCTCCCAAGAATGCACAATATGGAAGTAGCTGAACACAGTATCAGTTTGATGGAAGAACAGATGAAAACAGCACTAAAGCACTTTATAAACTCATAATTAGCCATGCGTTTCAACACCAGGAGCCAAAGAAATGATACAGCTGACTATATATAGCTCCACTTACCAATCCCAAAGTGTTCATTCCACATGGTGTGAAGTCCAATGGTCGCATCTGCCAGATGTTGCTTTAGCTCTTCAAATGGAATGTTAACTCTGAATTCTACCCTTTTTTCAATGCCCAACTCTTGGCAGAGCTTTTTAAGTCCATTTACACGCTGCTCATCTTCTTGGTTACGACAGCCACCAATCAGAATGAGTTTGGGCAGCAGCTCCTGCCCTGCAGTCTTTTCCAGCAATTTCGCAAAGGCTCTGATCTGCAGACGATGGTCTTTTTCTGGCCTGAACTGGCTTACAGAAACAATAGTTTGCTCTACAGCGCTCTTTTCCTCACATAGAGGAATATCCAAGAATGTCTGAACGTCACAAGGTGGATACACAACACTGGTGCGATCACTGCATCTCCAAAGGGAAAGGATGTGATTGAAAGTCCATGAAGAATTAACCATGACAATGTCACTGCAAGAACCAACTAAGCCATATATAGAAGCAAAAATATAATAATATGTGAGTTTCAATTTACTCAGTAGGGGATTTCTTGTGATGATCGCTGCATTATTAAATCGAGCATTCTGATTCCTAACCACAGAAAGCATGTCAGTGCTGATTGTAGGATAATGAACATAACAGCCTATCCGACAACCTCCTAAATATTTAAAAAGAGGAAGTGTGAAAGCATAACCCATGGAGTCAATGTAGACATCAGGAACACAGTTCACAAGAGCTTCCCAGCCAAGAAATACAGATCCTAAGCTCTGACCCAGCAGTGTAAAATGTGGGTAAAGGGAAGCTTCTACAAGATAGCGCCTTCTCAAAAACACAAATTTCACAGGTTGATTTAATCTGATGTTGAATCGTCTGTAAGCACCTTCAAGGATATTTTCAGCTGTGACACCAGCATCACCAGTGTAGACAACATAGGACACATCCTTGTACCTGAAAAATGAAATGTAATTTATCATCTGCAAATCATCTTAATTTTACACTCAGTAAAAGAGTCCATTTATGGGAAGACGCTTTAATTTGATTGCCTTTCTTGGAATGTCTAAAACTACAACTGTCGGCCACTATTTATCTATCTTTTCTGTACAACTACTAAGCTCTGTTTTCCTTGGATGCATACGTTTTGTTACTTGAAATTAAAAATCAATTAATAAAAGAGACTATGTCAAAAATAAAATAAAGCACACATGTTTAAAAGAGTTGTATAAATATGCTGCAAATACATATAAAAAATAAGGCAGGCACAATACCCAAGCAGGCTTGTTGCTGTTTTGTGAGCAAGTATTTTTATATATATACGCATATTTAAGGACAACAGACCAAAGATGCAATACAGGTGTAAGAAAATAAAAAATGAAAAGCAAACAGTAACCGCAAGGGAAAACTGATTTTAACTGAGGAGTATCATCTTATCAACCCAGCTTGTCATTTTCATTGGCCACAAGCACATGTAAACACTAAACCATGGTTTATTACTATGGATGGACCCAATTATGTTTTAGGCTCATGCACTCTGCTTTCCCCTGCAACTGGGAAGAGGACTTCTGATGACTTCACTTCTAAAGAATCCTAACTTAGTATTGTGTTCACACCTGGGATATTTCTTTTAAACAAACAGTTGTAGTTTAACCTGCCAGCTTCATAAGCTATGATTTGAAGTTTGCTTGTTATAACTCGTCCACATAGAGTTAAACCAGCCTTTGTGAACCTGGTGTCCTCCAAATGTTTTGGGCTAGCACTCCCATCAGTCCTAATTAGTGAACTGGTAAAGGCAGCGCTAACCATGGTTTAGCATAATGTGTGAATGCAACCATGGCTTTCAGGAAATGAGGGATTAATGCAATAAACCAACATCACTGTACGAAAAGTGAAATGCATACTTACTTTTTCTGTAGTGCTTTTATAGCACACCACAATACTCTCTCGCCTCCTCCCCCTGCATTGCAGTATGGGTGAAAAAATGCAACCACAAGTGGCCTTTTTCCATCTCGGCCTGATGGAATTTGTTGTTTTTTCCTTTGCTGGAGCCATAGTCGTAAACCAAACAGGAACAGGAGCAGACAGACACATAAAAATCCACTTAGTAACAAGGCAGGGAAAGCCAATGAGTACAGCAATCTGAAATGAGAAGGAGAGGGAAGTGGAATTATAGCAACAATTCTGAAAACTATAAAGAAGTTCAGCAAGGAGAGCCAATGTTTGTTTCCATATGAAAACAGGTAATTGTTTTTGTTATGGCAACCCTATCTACATGGATGAAGCCCAGACTGAAGGGAAATGGAGGAGCCTGGCAACTGTACGAAGTATTTTGCTTCCCATTCATGCTTTGGATACATTCGGCTCAGAAATCTCTCCCACCTGCCATCAACATCAAGTGGGTGGTGGGTAAGAGAAGAAACAAACAAGCTGAAATTTATCAGCCTTCATTTTGACAAAGGGATTTCTATTCCCATCAGAATGGCAGGCAAAGTCTTAACACAAAGCAGGCAAACCAAATCCAGAAGTGTGCAGATGTCTATAATGGACACAGGCAACTGAACAGTGATTTGAGCAAGAAGGGGCTTGGCTGGGAAGGAGCTCTGGACTGGCCAGAACAGGGAGAGAAGGTCTGGACTGGACATAAATGAAGAAGAGAGGACGAGCCCCCAGCAGTGATGGACATGGCTGAGAATCATAATATTGCAGCGCTGGAAGGAACACCAAGGGCTTTTTAGTCCAACCTCCTGCAAGATTACCATTCTATGGCTTTTTAAATATGTGTGGGAGGACGGTTATTGGTTTTTGTTTCTGCTTTATTATGTATTTTGTATTCCCATTTTGCATTTTTCTGCAGTGAACCACAGGTGAAGGGCAGTACCTAACTTTAATAATTATTGTATAAACTGTTTGGCAGAACAACTCTGCGTTGTAAAAACACGAAAGCTGGCAAATTTAACCCTGCTGTGTGGGAAATCCCTTGCAGTTGACCACAGTGCCAAGTGACAGGTTGTGTATCCACAGCAGTGACCAGAGGAGGAATGACCGCTTGGAGGAGCGCAGAAAAGAAACGCCATGGTGCATCTGCATCAGCTCCACTGGCCGCCTTCTTCTGCCCCAGCTGCAAGAAAACATGTATCTCCCGTATCAGTTTCTACAGCCACAGCAGGCGCTGTAACTCTCCAAAGGTTTAACTTCACTCCCCCCCCCCCAAAAAAAGTGTGTTCCTCCACAGATTGTCAGTCAGGCAGATGCCAACAAGAACAAAACTAAAGAACCCCTTCCTGGGTACCATTTCCATTGTCCCTTTTTGTTTTCTCCTGGTATGTCATCGACCAAGATGGATCTGTCAGGATCTCTGCTTGGCCAAGCTGATAAAGCTCATCTTCCTCCGGAATCGCCTTCCCGACGAATAATTAACGACCTGAGCCTTTGATGAGGCCTCAGACACATTCCCATTCAGCAGAGAATCAAAGCAGCAGAAGTGATGAGATTTATGGCTACATCGCTATGCTTTATTTCTTACTACGCAGACAGCAAAGAAATATACATCCTCCCTCTATGAAAGCAGAGAGCAACTGAACAACAAAGGAACAGGAAACCAGTAACGTCACATCCGTCTCCCATTCCCATGAGACTTCCAACAGCCTGGACTGTCTCTGGAATGTAAACAGAGCCTTGTGACTCTAAGCAGCTGCTCAGTGGCAAACAGAAACTAGCAGGATCAAGGGGTCTGGAAACCAAGCCCTATGAGGAACGGTTGAGGGAGATGGGTATGTTTCTCCTGGGAAAGGGGAGATAGGATAGACATCTTCAAACATCTCAAGGGCTGTCACATGGAAGATGGAGCAAGCTTGTTTTCTGCTCTGCCGGAGGACCAATGGCTTCCAGTTAGAAGAAAGGAGATGTTCCGACTCAACATCAGGAATAACTTTCTGGCAGTAATACCGTTTCCCCGAAAGTAAGACATCCCCCGAAAATAAGATCTCCCCAATAATAAGGCCTCCCCGGAATATAAGGCCACCAAAGCCACCGTAAGGCGTCTGACTCCTCTGGACCGTAGTGATGGATGCCGCTGCGCAGCTCACTGATTGGCCGCAGCGCAGCTGGAGCTGTTCAGGCAATGCGAAGTCTCTTTAAATCGGAGAGCCCGCGCCACCGCCAGGACAAGCTGCTGCCTGCTGCTTGCTCTCCCCTGATGGAGTCTGGCTGACTCACAATTAGACAATACAGTGGTACCTCGGGTTAAGTACTTAATTCATTCTGGAGGTCCGTTCTTAACCTGAAACTGTTCTTAACCTGAAGCACCACTTTAGCTAATGGGGCCTCCTGCTGCCGCCGCAGCACGATTTCTGTTCTCATCCTGAAGCAAAGTTCTTAACCTGAGGTAATATTTCTGGGTTAACGGAGTCTGTAACCTGAAGCATATGTAACCTGAGGTACCACTGTAAATGTGTGCCATATTCTTCTTCATGGAAAAGTAAGACATCCCCTGAAAATAAGTCCTAGCACATCTTTGGGAGCAAAAATTAATACAGTGGTACCTCGGGTTAAGTACTTAATTTGTTCTGGAGGTCCGTTCTTAACCTGAAATTGTTCTTAACCTGAAGCACCACTTTAGCTAATGGGGCCTCCTGCTGCCGTCACACCGCCGGAGCACGATTTCTGTTCTCATCCTGAAGCAAAGTTCTTAACCTGAAGAACTATTTCTGGGTTAGCAGAGTCTGTAACCTGAAGTGTATGTAACCCGAGGTACCACTGTATAAGACCCTGTCTTATTTTCGGGGAAACAGGGTAGCTGCTGGGCAGTGGGCCAGACCCCTTCGCCAGTTGTTTCCTCTCCTCCCTTGGGAAGTTTTTAAGCAGAGGTTGGATGGATGCTTTAGCTGACCTTCCTGCATTGCAGCGGGCTGGACTGGATGACCCTCGGGGTCCCTTCCAACGCGATACCTCGGGCGTCGCCACGGCGTCCTCCCCGCCCCGCAGAGTCCGCCGCAGGTGACGAGCGACTGGTTCTCCGCGTCCCGCCCCCCTCCTCGGGCCTTTGGCAGGGGAAATGTCCCTCAGACATTCGTCCCTCGGGAAGCGGCAGCAGAGACGCGCCGAGGCTGAGGGAAGAGGGGAAAAAAGAGAGCAGCTCGCACCTGAGAAGCGGCCCGGCCGGGAAAGGCGCCATCGCGGAAGCCGCCCTCAGGTTCCGGAACCGGAAGTCGTGCTCCTTCTCCCCGCCTCCCTCCCCGCGACTCCCAATCCCGTCGTCCTTCATCTTCATGTTTTACCTCAGGGAGCAACGTTTTACCTCAGGGAGCAACCGTTTAAACTGCGCGCCGCTCGCTAATGCCCGGCGGCAAATGGCTTCTCGCCCCAGAGAGGCGGAGTTAGGGACGGTGAAGTGTCTTATCACCGTCCGTAAATGCCCACATTCAGATGAAATGCGGGTGTTTAATTTTATTTTATGGCTCTAATATTTTATGGCTCTAATGGAAACTGTATATCTCTCTCTGCGCGCATCTAGAATTTTCATAGCTCTATGGGCTTTTTTTTAGCGCGTGAGGCAGAACCGCGCCGCGTTGGCTTTCCCCATTAGACTACAATTCCCATCAGCCCCGGCGAAAGCGGCCACGGGCGGGGGTGACGGCAATTGTAGTTCCAACGACATCCGGAGGTTAAGGCGAGAGGAGGCCAATCGGAGCTCCCTGCTAGCGTACCGAGGAGCCAATGAGAGCTCGGAAAGAAAGGCAGCCAATGGCTGGCTTTGATTCGCCAATCTGCGAAGGATGCTAAAATTTAAAGGGTAATGTTAGGAGGGCGGGGAGCTGAGTCTCTGCCATTGGAGGCGACGGAGCGAGCTCTATAATAAGCATGTTTACATCGGATTAATTTTTCCCCGTCTAATTTTTTCCCCCATACCGGGTGCCTTTGGAAGGAAGTCTAGATTGAAATGCGAACCTGTTAAAGCTTCCACTTAAAACTTAACTGGGTAGGTTTAAAGCCGGGAAAGTAATCAGGGGTGAAATATGTTGGCTTTATATTTGGAAATGGACTTTTACAAATGTGACACAAAGAAATTGGGTATTGTAGGGTTGCTACCGGAGCCAGGGATTGCTATACTGACTCAGGGGCTAAGATCAAGGAGACGCTGTGTTGTTTTTCTATAGGCTTTGCCACTGAACCCACATAAGGAATCTTGTTATCTTACTGTTCTCTCTTGTTTGTTTCCCCAGGGTTTTGTGATTTGTTGGGTCATAATTTTTCTTTTGGGGATGGAGAGCGGAAGTGAAAATAGAAGAGTAATGATTAATGACACTTCTAAGATTTTAAAAAGATCCTTTGTAAAGCAATCTTAGTGAGAAAGCTGACCAGTGCTTTTTTCCCCCTGGGGGTACTCAAGGCTATTCAGTATCGGCACCTTTTTTTTCTAGAAGAAAAGCATGGCTGCTGACTTTCTGCAGTACTGTACAGTTTAAGGATTGCTTTTGAAGTTCACACCGTAGCTTACCTTAATGTAAATGTGTAAGATAAATATTTTAATGCAATCTGTTTGTCAAAGTTTAGGCAGTGTAGTACAGTGGTTCTCAAAGGGTGTGTGGCACACTACACTGGTGTAGCAGGAGCGGGTGGCAAGTGTGGCTGGAAGATTCAAGGACAAGCAAAGAAACATTTAACCAGACAGGTCTTTCTATGTAGCGGTGCCTGCCCTGTGGAACTCCCTCCCATAAGATGACAAGGAAATAAACAACAATCTGACTTTCAGAAGACATCTGAAGGCAACCCTGCTTAGGGAAGTTTTTAATGTTTGATGTTTTATCATGTTTTTTTATATTCTGTTGGAAACCCAGCCAGATGGGTGGGATATAAATAATAAATTATTACTATCATTTATTATTTCAACATTTTAGTGTAGCATAGTATAGTATCAAAATAACCTTTTGGATACAGGCAGTGACCATTTTGCGCATGTGCAATTGACCCACAGATCCTTTGGGATACGAAAGAGGGTAGAACGGGGGCAGGGGGCAGAGAAGTTAAGGAAGCAATGTGAAAAAAAATCTTTTCAGGATATACACAAAAGATGCCTGTTGCTGGCTACTGTTCTTTGAACTTTGGAGATGAAGAGATAACACAGGCATCCTTAAATTTATCCCTTGTACATGAATTAAAGGCAAAATGACACAAATGATTTTAAGCTTTGTTGGACCTAATTTCCATATTTTGAGTAAGCTTTAGAATTTTGGGAGAGAGGACAAGTCCCCCCCCCCCGATTTATTTTGTGAATTATATACATTTTAACTATTTAAATAGCACCGTTGAAGTACAGTACGTGAACTTTACAAAGAACAGGTTTGACCAGGCTTCCTCAGCCTCGGCCCTCCAGGTGTTTTTGGCCTACAACTCCCATGATCCCTAGCTAGCAGGACCAGTGGTCAGGGATGATGGGAATTGTAGTCTCAAAACATCTGGAGGGCCGAGGTTGAGGAAGCCTGGGTTTGACAGTCCCCTCTCCCAAGTGGCTCACAGTAGATTTGGGGAAATGAAGGAAAGGGGATTGTTGGGAATGAAATAGGAATGAACAGGGGGGAAATAGGCAATTGTGTCAATAACACATTTTGACTTAATTACAATAACGTATTGGTTTTCCCAAAGCTTTCCTGGAAACTTAAAACTTTTCAGGAGGGACTTAGTCATATGGGGGTGTTTTGGGCGTAGTTTTAGACACAAGGAACAATGAGAGGGGAGGGTGGAACCTTTTGTGGCAGTTGGAGACCTACAGTCAGTTTTGAGTGGTTCAGCTTGATGATGAAAGCTCACAGGAAGGGATGTATTTTGAGATAAGAGAGATAAGATGGGGCAAGGTTGAGAAGGATTTTGAAGGTAAGGACATCTCTTGCAGATTTCCTTTGGGCTTTTGATAATGGTAAAATGTTGTTTTCAAAAATTCTTTGATTTATTATTAGTTGCTAAACAAAATGACGTATTTGAATCACATTTACATGAGAAAAAGGGCCAACTTTCCTTTAGGATAACTTTTATAGCCCAGCTGGATTGCAAAAATCAGTAAAGTGGTAACTTGGTTACAGATGCTTCAGGTCACAGACTCCGCTAACCCAGAAATAGTACCTCAGCTTAAGAACTTTGCTTCAGGATGAGAACAGAAATCGTGCTCCGGCGGTGCGGCGGCTGCAGGAGGCCCTATTAGCTAAAGTGGTGCTTCAGGTTAAGAACAGTTTCAGGTTAAGAACGGACCTCCGTAACAAATTAAGTACTTAACTCGAGGTACCACTGTACTCTGCTCAGGGTCCATTAGGAAGAAAGTTCAGGGGATGGTCTCTGAGGTGTTGAAGGACTCCTATGGTCCTAATTGAAGAGGGAAGATAGGCAGCAGAGAGGTTTTAGCTGAAGGTTCCTCATCTGACCGCTTGTGGTGTCACTTGGAAAGTGCAAGAAGGAATAACGACATTTCCGTTTTTGTAACTTGAGATGTATAGCTGTCTCAAATTGCCTTCTGTAGAACTAGGTGTGTACATATTGTGCCACCACAACAGAATATAGTATAGTAATAAAAATAGAGCTTGCTCTCAGAAATTGTACTTTTTCTTGGTATATTTCTATACAAATGTGTTCTTTTTTAGTTTTGCATTGTTGTGAGATATAAATGAACTGCCTGTTCGTGGTATAGTGTTTTCTTACAACAACTGTATTTACAACTTAAATTTGCTGAGTGGTTATTTTCAATTATTTTTTTAAAGAACAGTTCAGTTGAACAACAAAAGAAAAGAAAAGAAAAGAAAAGAAAAGGGGGGAGAAATAAAATATATACTTATATACATATACATATGTACAATTGTACTTAACTAATATTGTATTATGTACATATGTACTTACAGTATATACTTATCTAATACATAGGCATTGTTATTATCCAAATGCATATATTTTTATTTTAAACCTATATTATGTATTAATGCATTCCAAATATCATTATACTTGTCCATGCAAAGTCTGTGTTTGTAAGCAATCCATTCATAAGTTGCAAGTGTAATCATATAGTCAAGCCATTGATTAAATGGAGCTGTACATTTAATCTTTCCAGCTCATCAATACCAGTCTTTTGGTCATAATAAGGGCACAAGGAATCCATTTATGTTGTTCAGTTGTCAAATTCCGTATTGCTTTAGGTATGTCGTTGAAAAGAATATTTTCCTCTGAAATTTTTAACTTTTTCTGCACAGTCATAGTTATACTTTCTCCCAGAACTTAATAAAGAAATAAGGACAATAAAAAGTCAGAGGAAAGAAAAAGAAATGAGAAAGCAATAAAGAGGACTCCACCTGTTAATTATGTATAAAAAGATTATTCATACTATTTAAGGTGTTCACTCCAGAATGGTATCAGAATCCTGACTTAGTGTTGTGTTCAAATTAGGGGACCTGTTTTGTTTTGTTTTGTTTTGTTTTTAAAGGTCTGTTTCACATGTAACACTAAGCCACGGTTTTGTGCCATGTGGGGGAGTCTCAGTGAGCCTGAATGAAGAAACTTGCTCACAGGCTTCTCTTTTCCCACTTGAAGCTGTGCAGGATCACATCTTTGCTTGGGTTTGCTGAGGCTCTTCTACATATCATATCACTAAAGCACATCCTTCCCCACCCAACTGTTGCTATCAGTCCCAGCTACTTTCCCCCCGCTCTGCCTTACAGATAATATAAGGCAGCTGCTGTCTGTCTGTTTATATAAGAAGGCTTTACTTTCAGAAAAACATCTAGTCCAATCCTTGCAATGTAGGAATCGACAGCCATCCCTGGGTGGATCTGAACCACCAACCTTCAAAGGGCACAAAGAAAACCTAGGAAAAGCTGTCTCTGTGGAACTAAGTGCTGGCACGTGAAATCTTTTATTTAGTCATGAGAAATGTATGCAGTCAATTTCATGCAGTAAACCTATTGGTAAGTAATAGATTAACTTGGCACAAGTAGATTCATATGACCATCATGTGGCCTTTAATTACTGGTTGTAGAGTTGTGGGCTTTTGTTTTCCCCTCCTTCATATGCATACTGCAGTAGTGGAACTATAGAAGGGTGAGTGGCCCGCTTCCGGAATGCATAGAAATATGTCAGACAAAAGAAGCTTTAGACTGCTGACATGCACGGTAAGTTTACATATTTATAGACTACATTTGTAAGATGTTTTGCGTAGCACATTGATTGTATATTGTATCGTGAATA